AAAAGTCAAGTATAAGTAGTTTTTATTAAGAAATTTTGAAAGTACTTTGAGAGATTGCTTTATGAAAACAGGGTATAAGATATCTAATAATTTGTATACAGTATTTGTTATAATACTTTGCTTAAACTCAAGATAATATAAATCATTTTAAATGATTATTTATAATAATTTATTAGAAATTCAACAGTTTTATAATAATTCAAAACAAATTTGATTAAAGATTTAAATGATTTTTTTTAAACTTATGACTAAATGTTACGAATTGAATTATACTATTGAAACCTAATTTTGTAATTTGTTTTTTTATTTTTCATAGTATGCTATTTGTCTCAATTTCCATAAGTTTCGATTTAATAATAAAAATTCAATACAAATATAGATTTAGCTAATCATAAAAAATGAGAAATAAGAGACTAGAGTTTCAAATAACAAGTAAATAATAAATTCAATTATATAGTATACTTAAATATATATATATATATATATATATATATATACAGTATATATATATATTCTATAATTTATATAAGAAATAATAACCGCAGGAATAAATTAGAAATAAAAGAATCAAATAATAAAGTTTATGGCAATTTGAGAGGCACTCCACTCATTCACTGATAAATTGTTTGTAGTGAGTGCTCCCTCAGCTTAGTGCTGCCCGTGCCGTATCACTACTACTACTACTATAATACGATAAATTAATCAGTGATTAAACATGTGCCACATTTCCCATTTAATATTACCAAAATCATTTATTAAGAGGATTCAAATAAAGTGATGCAAAGAGAGAGAGAGAGAGAGAGAGAGAGAGAGAGAGAGAGAGAGAGAGAGAGAGAACAATGAAAGAGATGTATTAGAAATGATTTAACTGTTAGAAAAAAACTTTCCAATTTGGAGATAATGTTTTAGTTATACAGTATATATACTGTATATATTGAATGGCAATGCAATGCTGTACACAATTTAATGTAATGTCATCCTCAATGCTCAAGTCATAGCACAACTACCAGTGCAGGCAATGCCAACTTATTTTGTTGGTCTGGTTACGCAAAATTAGATGAGAATCGGTGCGAAACGCATCCACTAAAATGTCAAACTCTTACACAACTTTATTATCTTATTCTTTCGTTTTTATAGTTCTTCTCCAAAAATACAAGACTTTACTAAATTGAGTGATAATTCAGTTTTACTATTATTTTTAGATAATTATTTTTGAATTATACTGTATATTATAATGAGTTAATTATAAATGAATAGTTTAGACATTTTATTAATTGTTCAGTAAATAAATTAATCTAAATTTTTGTTAAAATATTGATATACAGTTTTAAGTATATAATTTAAAGTAAATTTTTTATTTTATAAAATTCAACTTTTTAAAAATGTAGATATAATGTAATATTTTTTATGTATATAAATATGAAGTAAAAAATATAAATTGAGTTTATTTAGAAAAATTTTATGTAACATTAGATGTTTTCAAGTAAAATATGAAATATGAAGTACAGTACTCGTCAACTAAGATGAATGATTTAAATGAGAGTCATATCCTATTAATTTCGTGGACCATAATCCATGTGATAGGCATATCAGTTGCCTGAGAATGGGAGCACTGGTAGTTATAAAAGCAGTGATGCTTATGATGTGGGTCTTGTCGTATTTAGTGTCTTGTGGGACACAACCAAATGTTTGCAAAAAAATTAATGTCACCGAAGGTATAGTTTATAATGACATTCAATTGTTTCCATAATAGGTTCACTTGTATTGTATTGACTGTAATATCAATAGTTTAGTGAAACGGATAGGCGTTTAAATCGATCACACGTTTGCTTTGAAGCCAATTATTTTTAAAGTGGCGGAAACCAAATGTATGACACTATTACTATAAATGTTTAATTTGTTTTTTGCATATTATATGTATGATTGTGATTGTCAAGTGTTATAGTAATGTCAGTCAATATCGTCATCAATGGTAACAATTGTAAGAATACAAAGAGCAAACTCATCATAAATCTCTTCAAATGACAATTCATTATTAGAGGATAAGTCACTTAGGATTGCATTAACTGTTGAGTATTGCATGTATTTTGGATTCATTTTGCAAAAGGGATGACTTGAGCCCCTCATTAGACTATTGTATTGTCCAATAGTATTGTTAGTGTAGCGCATAATTTGTCCTAAAGTTATATCAGGCGTTGAATCCCAAGAGACAGACAGATAGATAGAGAAAGCAAAGCCAACGGTGCGACTAATGCCTGGCCTAATGCTACTCCTAAATGGCTACTATTTTTCACTTTATCCGGTTAATGGCTATAACACATACACTCGTTTGATATTATTTTTGTTATTCCCTGTTATACAACTTTCCACTGAGTGACACACCAGCCATAGGTCGATGCAATTGCTTTGACGGACAAAATTTGCCACAAACTCATTGCAGTAAATATCGACAATCATTACCAATAATACAATGAATCGCTATATATATGTCAATTCAAACTTACAACGACTTACTGCTTACTTATTATAAAAACCGTAGTTATCATTGCCTCCAATGTCTACGTTATGCTCCCAAACCTACATCAGTGTTATAGCAATGTGAGAGCAGATGTGCTATGACTATGAGCTCAACTATAGCTCTCTTATTGCTTTAAGTTTAGTAAAACATTGAAAACATATATTTATTAAATAGCATTTGAAAAACATATATGAGTTAAGTTATTTGTAAATTCATTTAATAAATTGTTTGCCAACTATTTTTAAATATAAAAAGTAACTACTTTAACGATTAGAAACTTAAATAAATGCATTATTTTGAGACAATATTGAGTTTTTATTATTTATGTATTCATGAAAAAACGATATTATTTTTAAAATAAAAATATCCATGAAATAGTGAATTGAATTTATTTATGATTATAAAACAAATATAAAATCAATTTAACAAATAAAACAAAAATAATTTAAATGTAGTACAAGTAGGACAGGTGCAGTGTTTAACAAAATCGATTTTAAAGTCACAAAAAAAGTTTAGTATAGTTGGATTTGTATGCAGTTATTTCAGTGATACATAAAATTAAGTGATGGAGAGGAGGCTAAGGGAGTCAAAGGCTATATTAATAGTGTAATATTGCATTGAATTGCATTAAGCTTTCAATCTGTAAGCACTTAAATAGATAGTAAGTCTAAATCATTGAGCCATAAATGATAAAAATGTTATATAAGAATAGTATAACTATTATTGAGTTGAAAAGCATAAGAATAGCAAACATGGAAACATCACTTTTAGGACATTTTAGTGTAACATTTATTGAATATAAGTGTATATAATATACAATATATGTATAAAAGTGTATATAACTGTATATATATATAAAGCATACAAAGTATTCAATGCATTGGATGAACACAAAACACAAGCAATTCTCCAATAAAATCAACGACTATTTCACTAATGTTAGGCCTGTTTTAAGCCAATTATAGGCTTGACTTGACTTTCAAAAAGCGGCCAATTATTAAATTCAATGCTCTCTCTCTCTCTCTCTCTCTCTCTCTCTCTCTCTCTCTCTCTCTCTCTCTCTCTCTCTCTCTCTCTCTCTCTCTCTCTCTCTCTCATTTGATTTCATAGTTTTAATGCTTATATTATATCAGTACTATTATGCTGTTCATTGTTCACGCATTATATGACAAATAGTAGTGTAGTCCAAACTGACTGCTTATTATATATAGTGATAACAGCTATATATTGATGGAGAATATGATGGTTTGCCTAAAATCTCTTGAGCGCCATCAACATCAATATCAGATCAGATCAAATGGCTGATCAAACAACTAAAGGATACCGAAACCAATTTGTGAGTCCTAACCATCTTATAGCACATTACAAGCATAACAATTTCATACAATACCTAAGCAATTGAGGCTATGATTACAATATTGGGCGCAAGCGTTCATCATTTGGATACTTGTGCTGAACGCCCAGTAATGCATAATTTGCTTGTCTTTGCCCACTATTACTACTACTTTAACGCTATTGTAACTCAATATGTGTCGTGATTGTTATAACGATCATTATTATTGATAGCTATCATACCATCAATACTATTCACTAGTGGTGACTGTACTCACAACAAACTACTGTATAGCACCGGCACATAAAACTTACATCTATTAGAGCTTCAAATAAATGCATTCTCACTCTATAAATGCTTATGAGCTCAAGTGTCTCCTCTCAAAACAAAATTGTTCTGCAAATTACATCCCTGTGCCAGAAGAAAGAGGTTAACACACATACACTCATACAGAGAAAGAGAGAGATTTGTGAGTAAATGCATAACAATTGGCAAACAAAGCATTCATTGCATATAATATAGCATTTGAGCTGAAAAGCTAACGATTATCCAAATTATATTATAAATATAAAACTCTGCAAACATTACTTGTCATCTATTCTTACCAAATGTGATATATTGTTAGTTAACATAATATTTTTCAAATACTTCACTAATTTTCTTATATTTCAAATGTAATGCTTTCATCTATTTATTACAAACACTGATTTAATTCTAGTATTAAAAGAATATCTCATTAAATTACTCAGGATTTTCATAATAATTATTATATAAATTTTACATAAATAACACTATATATTACAATATATATACACCAATATTATATATATTAACTATATCAATAAAAACAAGATTATCGTAAATTATACTTTATTTATAATTAAGCGCCTGAATCACATTTGCATAATTAATTAAATAATGCATAGAATAATGCACATAAAATACAATAAGTTGTGATTATACAGTATATAATTATATACAAAAATTCATTGCTTAGTTTATATATATATATATATTTGTACAGAAAAAAAACTAATATAATTGTTTTATCATTTTGTTCAAAAAAAAAATGAAATACAAGTATAAATAAAAGAAATAAATTAATACAATAAATGTTAACATTAAAAAATACACAGATAACATGCCTTTAGCTCATGTATGTCCTAAATGATGCATAAGTGGGTGGTGTCCAAAATGTTGTGCCGCCGATGACAAGACAGCGGCTGCCGCTGGAAATGATAACGAAGAGTTTGCGTTGATAAATGGAGACAATTGTGATTGAGATAATTGTGATGCATAGAGTAGGGCTGCCGTCGGATAAGCACCGGAAACAAATGATGGCGAACCTGAAGACTGCAGGGATGAGCCACACATACTGCCATTCGGTGACTGAGGAATCGTCGGACTGTTTGCATCCATACCTGGATTCTGTTTCTTCCATTTTGTTCTCCGATTCTAAACAATTGACATTATATTATTAAATCAATAATTGTTTGAAATTTTATTTTATATCTAATTACCTGAAACCATATTTTGACCTATAAGTTGAAAGAAAAAAATCATAAATAAAATTAATATTATAATTTAAACATTAATACACTAAATTATGTTATTGAAATTAGTTTTATTATATTAATATACTGAATGTTACAAATATTCTTAGTATTAAACTATTGATATTATTAATAAATTTCTAAATTGCAAATAAGCATATATAAAGTATATTAGATAATGATAGAAAAAGATTTTAATTTAAAATAACTAAACAAAATCTTTTATTTTATTTAATTAATGATATATATTATTGACATCAATGAATAATGTTATAAAAATTGTTTTTTATAATATTTAATGCATTTAAAACAAATAAAATTTCAATTTATATAAATATATAAAATAAAATTATTTTAAATTACATGCATAACTGCTTATCAATTGATTATTTAGTTGAAATTTATGCAAAGTAATTCATGCAAATCTTAATTATATTAAAATATATAATGGAAATTACGACAAAACCATTAATTAGAGTATAATGAAATTAGTTTAATAAATTTAATTGTTTATTAATTAAATTATATTTGCATTAAATGTCTAAATATTTAAATAATAAATTCAAAAATCGATATAAGAGCTAATTATCGGTATTGTTTAGTAATAAATTAGCCCAAAAAACTAGCAAATAATAATAATGATAATATTAATAATAATAATATTATAATATATAAATCAAATGAAATAACCTGTGTTTCTGTGAGTCGTAAAGATAGCGCCAAATTAAGTCTTTCGCAAACCGATAGATATCTCGTAGTTTTGAATTTGTTTTCAAGAGCTACCAATTGTTCGTAAGTGAAGGCAGTTCTCGCCCGACGGGGTTTACCACTCTTCGAGTCGTTCAACGATTTCTTCTTTTTGCTATTTGTATTGCAGTTGTTGTTTGTTTCTGTATTTTGACCACAAGTTTTGTTGTTTGTAGTGTAGGATGTGCTTGAATTGGGTGATACATCATCTCGGCTTAAATTACTGCTTTCCTTATCACTCGACTCTATGGGTGACATTACCCTACTGTCCAAGTCTAGTGTCAAGTCATTGTCCTTCAAGCACTCTGTCATCAATTATACAGTATATCTATTTATTAGTGACATTTCAAATATTTGCTAATTACTGTAAAAATTATATTTCAATATTTTCCTCATTATATTAACTAAATATAATCAATCAATATGTTAATAATTAAAATATTGATAGAGCTCATCAAATTTAAAAATTTATTTTATAATATTTAGTTGATAATATTGAAAAATATGCTTAAATTTCATATAATATTAAATATCTTTAAAAATAAATAAATTTTAAATTTGTTTTTAGTAATTTGTAAAACATAAAATATTTACTTGTAAAATATTCATTTTAGGATACATAGTACTGTATATGCTGTATATATAAAAATTTATATATGTATTTATACTGTACTAAATTTAGTATACTATATAAGTATTAAATATGTTATAATATTAAAATGTTATTTTCATTATTTAATTAAAATTTACAAATTTATGTAACAAATCACAATATCATATTCTAGTTTTGATTTTTAAAATAATAAAAATAATATAATTAACTATATTTTTTATTATAAATTTTCAAATCAAGTAATTAGTCTTAAATATACTGTACAATACAATAATAATGTATTATTTAAACGGATATAATTATTACTTAAATTATTTGTAAATTCAACTATAATTAATCTTCAATTTGTTAGTTTGCTTTATCTAATTTGTTAATAATTGATAAAAATACTAATAATTATTACTATTAAACATATCATAATTAATCAAATTATGTTTGAATGACAATTAGAGAGCAAAGTTTTAATTAATAAAGATATTAATAAAAATTAATCTAATTGTTTATTTAACATCCCATTAAAAATCAATTTTATATTTAAAATAGATTATTTGGCAATGAATTAGTTAGAAAATATTATGTAAAAAGTTGTTTTAAAATGCATTTTAAAAATAAATAGCATTTTGTCAGATCATATCAATTGCCTAACGTATCACTTGAGTCCTCTGTTAAGCGCTTGGAAACAAACATAGAATTAAAGTGCTGTTAGTTTTGCATATGTTTTACTACTCTTTAAACAGTATTATCTGATGAGCGCATCGACAGTGAATCCAAAGCAAAACTTTTATCAATCACTACAATCTTAACCAAAGAAATGCCGCAAACATTACATTGAGTTTCAGTTTTTAGAAATACTTCATGCATTCAACTCAACGCTTATCATGAATTCAAATACATTTATTTCACCACTTTATCAATGAAACTCATTTAACAATATTTTAATTAACGTTATTATTATTATTATTATTATTATTAAGAAAACAGTAATCATAGAGATAGGGATCAGCATTATATGCCGTACAGTCTAAATAATTCTCATAACAGTAGTTACAGTATTTTAAGTATAAAAATACACTATTTTTATTTGTATAACCAAATGAGCGTCAAATTTGTCGTATTATTATCATTTACTATATAGATATAGATATAGAATAGTATTCAATGTTTTATTTGTCTTTTTAAATAACTAACATTTGATGTCAAATTGTAATCTTTTTTAAAAATAATAATAATAATCAATATTAAGCACATTTAATGATAGATAAAAATTCAAATTCATTGAATGCATAGTAATATAAAATGAATACAAATTACCAGATTCTTTGAATTGTCTGAAAATAATTGAATGTCCGGATGTTGTCGTCTGTTGATTGGAATGGTGTTCAGCACTCAATATACCCGAAGGAGTGACCCATGGATACCATGAACTCTGCTTATGATCAATAAGATGTCCTGAACTTAGATGATCTGAAGCTCCAAAAACATTAGGTATTAATGATGCCGACGATACTATAGGTTGTTTGCAATAGTAGTTTATTAAAAAAATCATATTTATTTAAATACTTAATTATTTATAACTATATTTTTAATTTATTTAAATTGTCATAAAATACCGGATATGTTGGAGTCTTGTTTGAGTTGTTTAGAGACGGGATCTTCTCTGTTAAGAATACTAGTGATGGAAAATGGTATCGAAGGCTTAGTTATGTGATTATTGTCGTTGAGTTCACTTTTGGTCGAAACATAACTTGTTTTAATAGCCGAAGAATTGCCAATTTTTTCTTTAATATTCAACGATTTGTTGTTAAGTGTCGACACATTAGAGGAAAGCGGAGAATTAGGTGCCGAAGCCGTGTAGTCAACGATTACGGGAGAACTTTGTGGTGATGTTTCGTCAGAGTCCGATGACATTATTATAGCCATCTCTCTATTTCTCCCTCTCTTTTGTCTCTCTATTTCTATCTCTTTTTTGTTCCTATGTATCACTATTTTGATTAAAAGCTCACTCGAGTGAAGTCAAGTTATTGCAAACTTTTATTACTAAACACACAAATAATCAGTAAATGAGTTCAATAGACGAATGACTATAAGTAAGAGATTTCCCAAATTTGCCCAAAGTTTAGTTAAATGTTTGTATGCCATAACACACATACAAATGATGCAGTGATGCACTGGTAGTAGTGATGCTGAGCAGGCGCTCTCATTCATGCAATGCTTTACTATTGGTTAACAGTCAACTGCCAGTGCTTTCATTGGCAATCACTAGTCTATGTAATTGAGATAAACCTCATCCTAAGTTAACTTAAAATTTAATCACAATTTTCTGTAAAAATAATACAATAGTGACACTAAATGAGCTCACATTAAAATTACAGTATCGAGTTTGCTATTAATTGACTGTTATTAACAAAGATTTGACAAAATAAAATCATTGTATAATATTTTTACACATTTATAAATTGTTTTTGTATTTAATTTACTGTATAAGTAATCTTAATTAAAAAATTATATTTTCTCACAAAAATATATTTTATATATAAAATAAATATAGACAAAGATTTGCTATTTTTATTAATTGTAATTTTAGATTCATAATTCTTATATAAATATATATACACTATATATATATATATTAAATTACTTGATAGTGATAATACTTTTTATATTAAAATTTTTAATTATACTGTATTATTAAGATTTTCTAGAATACACAAAATTCTTTGTATCACAAATTAGAAATTATTAATAATGTAATTAAATTTTTGTATATCAAAATGTATGTAATTTTTTTAGTTATTGTAAGTTAAAAAGTGTGAAAATTTTATTAAATAATGTTGTTTATAATTGTTTGTCAGTTATGTGAGTAAAATGTAATCTAAAACCAATAGTTAGCTATAACTATAAGTATGGTGTAGTGTTAGGGTATTACTCCTAAGTCAATGTAAGTGAGTGTTAAGCTTAAGACAAGATTTGAAAAAATAGGGTAAAACAGCGGTTCAATTGTGATGACACTGTATGTGAAGTGAACAGCGGGAGTCCTTAAAACATTGAATGACTGTAACGGAAATGCCTGTCCATTGCCTACCAGAGCCTTCTCACACGTGTTTTGGTGGCGATTGATTTAGCCCTAACACCAACACATAAAACACTTATTGATTGCTTTGCACGCCTTGTTGCACATCCATACCAACTCTCAATACTATCCTCTCAGGCCTATCATCTAACTGTACACTCAATACTTATTATACTTAATTATACACATAAATACATTTGCTTAGTATGTTTGTACAGCAATACTACTATAATTGTTTTCACTAAGTTTATTAAAACATTAACATATGAATGAAATAAATGATTTTAATAGTTGTCAACATTTACTACTGTAGTTTGCTTTTACTATTTATAACATACAGTATAAGAAACTTATGGTACAAGTTATAAGCTATACTTTATATAATATAAGTATATTTCAAAGTTTGAATTTTAAAAATCATTTAAATAAATAAAAGCCTATAAAACAACTGAAAACAATCATTTTATTAAAATTAATTTTTAGAATATATTCTACATGTTTATTAATACTATACCATATTAATTAATTGTTATTACCTTATAAGTAATTTTAATTTGTATAATTTTTGTATTTAAAAAATTAACTTTTTTTTATTGAAGATTGAACTATTTGAAGATAGAAAATACAATAACTAAACAATGTTTTATTTTACAGATAAAATTTATATAAAATTACTTTTAATTATTTAGAATTTATTAATACAGTTATTATATGGTAGAGTACAATGATATTCATACATTACTGCATTATAATTCTCTATATAAACTGTATACAGTATTACAGTATATGATTGTACAGTACATATAGTTAAAATATTATAAATACTTTATAGAAAATAAAAATACAACTTTAAAAACTTGAATTAGTAATTAATGATACTGTGATGTAATTAAATCATAGCATTATACTAAATACAGTTATGTATGATATGATACCAAACATAATATTTGATTTCTTTGAATTGCCTCACACTATATATAGTACTGTATATACAGTATATATACCAGTGATCAAAATTAAACTTTATAAAACAAAATTGTACAAATAAACTAGTACATATTAAATGAGTAAATAAGTGTTTGTTTAACTTACTCATTGTTTGTTATAAATTATGAAGATTACTATTAAATATTTGTTAAATTAGTTATGTTATTTAAGTATCACAAAGTTATCATGATAACATTTAATTTTGATCACTGATATATACTGTACTAAACTAATTACATTAACCCGTTATTCCTAAAAATCAATTTAGATAAAAGTAATTTATAAATTTAATGTACTCTAATGAGTTAATATTCAATAGAAATAATAATGTCATCCATGTAATTTTATGCACTTTAGGCACTGCTTACTCCATAACTAAATGACTGCACAATTGACATTATGGGTGATATTCTCCTATTGACTCACATTATAATAATTGTCCTTGATACATTTGTCATCAATTATATTATTGACACTTTAGTAATTGTACTAATTACTGTTGAGTATAATTAATTATTATAATCAAGCAAATCAACTATGTAATTTGCTTAAAACACCATGACAAATTATTATAAATATAGTTATTACGGTATTTACAGTATAATAACCAATAATTGTACAATTAAATATTAGCATAATAAAATAATATTCTACAAATACAAATAATTAAGTCCACTTTATTAATTTTATTTAAATTTGTAAATTACAAAAATATAGTGTTATACAGCAATAATACTAATATTGTATAAAATATATTAAATTTAACCATTTTATTGTATAATATATTTGTGATTAATGTAAGTTATTTAAAAAATACAATAATTGTTAAAATAGTGGCCATTAAATGAGTTAACTCTGGCTTTTAGTTTTGCATATGATTTCCAATATAAAGCACTCTATAATAAGGCTCTCTGTTTCCTAATTCTTCAAATGTTAAGAAAGTAAACTTAAAGAATATTTTTTTACAATAAATTATAAATATTTTGTATGATTTTTGTTAATTACAAGAAAACCACATAAAAACAATGAAATCAAAAATAAATGCTATCTTACGGTTAAAAGATTAAAAATGTTTGAAAAATAAATTAAAATTGAATTAAATTTTTAAAATAATTAAAACATTCAGAAAGTAAACATTACTTTTCAACATTTGCTATTAACTCGTCGACCATTTTTGTCAATTCGTCGTTCTCTTTAGTTTTTTGATCCAATTGTGATTGAAGTCCATTAATCTTCATTTCAGATCTCTTGAGCTGAGCTTTGACTGCAATCAGTTCCGATTCACAGTCTTTTCTGGCACTTTCTATCATAATATTGGCTCTAAATAATCAACAAATAAATAATAACTTATTTATAATTTTAATGAAACACAAAAAAATAGACACAAACTGTTCAATCTTTTGTTCTGCTTTAGACTTCAACATATCGTACATCTGATCCTTTTCTTTAAGTCTATCCATTAACTCATTGAGCTGTTCATTGAATTGCAACTCTCGTAGTTTGCTGTCTTCAAGAGCTGTCCTAACCTTATCGTATCTATTGTGCACTTCATAGAAGTTTTTCTCGACGTTATCCACTTCTTTGAGAGCTTGACTTCTTTCAGCAGTCATTTCATTGCATTTCTCGATCATATCATTCTTATCCGCCAACAAATTATTTATGGTTTCGGACGCCGTTTCAACCAAATCTTCATTACATTTGTGCAAAAGATTTACCAAAAGCTCATATTTGTCACAATCAATGGCCACTCTATTAATACTTTCTTCTAATGTATAAATTTGTTTATCTTTTTCAATGAGTTTCTCCTGAAATAATAATTCTTTAGTTCTCAATTCATCAATTAATTGGTGAGAGATGTCATCAATCAAATGATTGCCATTTTCTTCAGTTAATTGTTCTCCTCTTAAACCGACATTCGTTACATTTAATGGAGTATTAAAATTCATGAGAGCTGTGCTTTCATTGTGTCTCATCGGTGACACTTCATGTCCATCAATGGTCTCGTTAAGTCTTTGATGAGCAATAGTTATATTATGTTGACTTCTGAGTGAATCATTTAATGTCATTGTATTGGTTCTTCTAATCAAATCAGAGATATTCATCGTATCGACCAATGGATCAAAGCGTTTCAAGAGTGACATCCGGGTCGGTGACAGTCCATTGTTTACATCGTTAATTAATGTCTTCTTCTCGAGCGCATCCAACTCGTGGATAAACTTTTCGGGTATTTTAAAGTCATCGTCGGTAAACACGTGGTTGTTGTGGTCGGTAATGACCCGATTCGGTGATTCTATTGTTTGATGTCCATCGCCGCTGTAGTCGTTGCTATCGTTAAAGCCATTGACATCTGTTGCGACCAAATACGAGTGACACTTGAGTTAATCATTCAAATATTTGTCGACAATTTTATAACCAAAACTTACCGAAACTATTCATGGCTTCAGAGATAACAACAAACAAAAGTTAATCAATCAATCAATTGTTTAATCAAAAAGCGGTTTAAATATAATTTAAATACAAATCAAATAATGGCTGAAAACTAACGAATCAATGAATGAATGCAATCGACACTCAACTCAACATCAAAAACGTTTACAAAATATAACCAAACATTGCATTCAATTCTATATATTTGTTGAACCAATTATATCAACATTACTGATGGCACTAACACTCAGCACTTGTTTTCACATTTCAATTGATTGTCAATCAATCAAAATGTTTTGTCTAATAATAGTAAAAATAACACAAATTCAATATTAATACTAAACTATTATATTATAATCAATGACTTTACAAATAGCGCCAAACTATTGATTACTTTCTCATAGATTTGCTTTCATTTACTATTACAACAAATTATTATCAAAAATACTTTTTATTTGATTATATCCTATCAACATATTTATAGTAATATTTAAAAATACTTTTAATATATAGTAATTTTGTATGCATTGTCTACTTATAATATAATCCTTATAATTAGATAATAATTTTTTTCTATTAAATATCTAAAAGAAGTGATTGAAAATAATGAATTTTATTTGATTCCTATAATCGCTATTTTTTAAAATAACATTTAATAACTAAAGTAAATTGCAGTAAAATAAACTAAAGTAAATTAAATGTTATTTTTTAAGTATTATATTACACACACATACGTTTGCAATAAAGTAGATAATGTAAAATAATATTTTAAAAAGTTATATCAGTAAACTTACAATATTATTAGCACTAATTGCTATAAATGCCGACAATGTTAAACCGATCGGGCAATCAATGACCAAAAAATACAACAAATATCATAAATCAATTATTTATGTCATTTAAATTATGCACAATTGTTTGATTACAATAAAAATTATTTACATAAAGCTTTCATTTGAATAAATTATCCCAAAAAAGACATTTTAAAGTCTTCAGTCTTTGTTTATCAATTTACGTTAAAATTATTCAACTATTAATTATATGAATGAAACAAATTAAATCAATTTACCAAACAATCAAACAAACAAATTAGAAAACAAAAAAATCATTTTAAAAAAGTCAGAAATGTTAAACCAAACAATAGCTTTGAAATGAGCGACAAATGTCTAACACATCTTCTCATATCATGACTGACAGTCGTTATTGTCTTCTTTTGAATCGCCACTTAAAGAGTGTTTATCACCATTTGTTTGCTCAATACTGGATGGAGTCGTGTTTGTCGAGTGATTTCTCTCTTCCAATTCGTTGACCTCATTTCGAGGTTCTTCTTTGATTTCTTTGTCTTTAAATTCAATATCTTCTTCATTCTTAAACTTATCATTTGTATAATTATCGTGATTTTTGTTGTGATTATTTGGCTCTTTATCATTATGTCGACTACTTTTATGGCGAGTGCTTTCGTGACCTTTTCTTGACTTTGAGCGTGAGTTTGATTTGGATCGAGATCTGCTATGAGAGTGATTTCGGCGCCTATGAGAGCGTTGTGGAGATCGGGATCGACTTCGGGAACGATGGCGGGAACGGTGTCTATCAATAATTAATAACATTAAATAATCTGAAATGAATCATAAGAACAGACCGTTTATCAGTTCTATCTCTTGAACGAGATCTGGATCTACGTCTCCAATCGTCTCTTCGATTATCTCGATTATATCGACGACTATGACCTCCTCCTCCTCCTCCTCGATAGGTTACTCCTCGCTCTCTAACTCGCATTTCTGACGGCGCTTTAGTTTAAACACAAACTAATCGTTAATATCTTTAACTCTTTCATGTCTTTCATATCTTTAACAAACTTTTTCTGTCTCCCTGTGCGAACTCAACTTCCAATTCACGACCAAATAGACGAACTCTGTCCAAGTTATGGACAGCCTCTTCAGCTGCTCTTAATTCATCAAACGTATCAATAAAAAAATTAAAATTAAGTTAAGGAAAATATTTTGATTCAAAAATAAATTCATATTCAAAAACACATCTAATTTGTCGTTCAGACCTATCGATCCTATAATATATAATTAGTAAAATCAGCAAATAATCATAAGATAATACATGTCATCATTTAAGACATATTTCAATTAAATTAAAATATCAATGATAAGGATATTGCACGTAAGCAAAACCGCGCGGACGATGGGTATAGTAATCCAGAGGTATATAGACATCGGTCACGTGTCCGTAATCGTTAAATAGGTTCCGTAAATCCTCGGATCTGTTTTGTGGACAAAATAATTTATTCAGTTTACTCTATATATCAACAATATATTATATCATAATTATTATCAAAATATAACAAACTTAATGATCTAGTGATATATTGTACAGTATCTCTAACTTGTATTAAATTTTTAATAAATTTTAAATAAATAAATTTTAGTTATTGATAATTAACGGTATATATGATATATACTTATATTACTTAATGAAAGTCCATTAATGACACTAATATTTAACAAAATATATTTTATGTGAAAAATATTAACTACTCTTAAATAAAATGAATTAACATAAAGACTATTATGTTATGAATGTCTTAAATATTGATTTAATAAAATAATGTTAATTATTATTTAGAAATTCAAATTATTTATCAAATTTTATCAATACTTTCATTTAATAAACATTATAAACATTCAATTAATTAAATAACATTCAAAATATTCATAACTTTATGATTAAATAAATCAATTCAAGTAATGTTTGGATCGATGTATTGAATGTCATTAATAGACCATAATTTGAATGCAATTATTATTATAAACCATATTTGACTAATAAATTGAATTGAAATGAAATTAAAATATTAATAATTAATTGATAATAATTATTGTATAAATCATTGGATCAATTGGTGATAATAAAAATAAATAATTAAATATTCAAAACCTGGTCACTTCGGCCACATTGCGGACAAACAGTGACCGGTTCGATGGTCCAAACGAACGCGGCATTTGCGGCCAATTTGTTGCATTCAATTGTTGTGTCTTCAATTGGGTCACTCTTGTGGTCAGTGGTCAGCAAAATGTGTTAACCCGTCGATCACTACCAACGATATGGCGATACAAATGTTGTTTTCAAAACTAATTGATTCACACTTTCAATGAATGAATCAAAAGATTAAATTACACACAAATGCTCTCAAAATTCAATCAATGTTTCCATACATTTGTACATCAATTACGTCCTATATTTCAATACAATTGACAAACAGTTTTAACAATTATTTATATCAATTGATTTGATTATAATTTAAACAAAAGGTTTGTTACAAACAATTTAAATAACATTGAAATTACAATATGTCTGAATTGGATCAGTTAGACAATGACAATCAAATGAGTAATAAAAGTCAAGATATTGTTGTAATTTCTGGTTTGACATATAGTGTAATGTATTTGAATGTATTGTCATTCAAGTGATCATTGATTGGCTGTTAATCTATTGGTCGACACATTAAGCGATTGTTTTTGTCGTAATAATGACGGACTCGGAGGACATGACTTTCAGAAGACAATCAATGGACACAACAAAAGAGTTGGAGTGGATTGAGTTACACGAAAAACTCATTGATATCAATCTTAAGACAAATGAAAACTTTATGACCAAAAGTATCCGCAAATTCAAAGAGAATCCATTTGTTCCGATCGGTATGTCTTAGGTATAGATAAGACAGATGTTTATTGATGACTGATTTGACCATTTGTTAGGTATCTGTGCGACCACTTTCTGCTTAGTATACGGTCTGATATGTCTGAGAAAGGGTGACTCAAAGACTCAACAGAAGATGATGAGGGGTAGGATTATGGCTCAGGGATTCACTGTCACTGCCATTATCTCCGGTCTTATGTATTCATTGGTCCAAAAGACCAAACAAAAAGATAATCAAAATTAAATAACACTAGACTTTGAAATTTTGTTGATTTATATATATATATATAGCTGTATATAACAAACTTATAGATTATATTATTATTATTTAATTAACACAGTTTTCATTAACGTTAATAAATAAATAAATTTTAATAATTGTATGAATTTTAAAAAATACTTTTACATTAATTAATTGAAGCATTTGTCATATTTATTATTATTATTATTATTACTGTAATACAATTTTTTCATCAAAATTGAGTTTAGCGGTAATAATATAACGTAATAAAGTTTAATCGATAATATTGAATAAATATATTATTTTTTTATTTTTAAAATTCATCATTTATTAGTAGTGTTTTGATTTTCAACTAAATAAATTATTTTGTCGGTTTAACGCTTATAACTGGGACTTAGTATGTCCACCGAAGTTGACCAGTGGACGCTATTTCCGAAATTTTATTATAACTATAAATAACTATTTGTTAGGTTAGAAACTATAAAAACTTATAAATAACTATTTCAGTTATTTTGAAAAATATAAGCATTAAATTGTAAAATATTGCTCAAATATATGTAAAAACAAAAAGTAATAGTTATATAAATTATATAAAATGCGTAAACTGTTATCAACTCATATTACTTTTTTAACAATAGAAATAATTAGTTTATTTATATAAATCATTTTTGTAAATATGCTGAAAACAAGTGAATTATATATCAGTTGAAATATTTATAAGAAAATAAATAACTATTTCAATAACTATTTGGCTTTTATGACAACTATATACAACTATTTAATACAGTTTAAATAACTATTTTAACAACTATTTGACGTTTTTTAGCAACTATTATAACAACTATTTAATAGAGTATAAAAAATTATTAATCAATACACTATTTATTAGTTAACAAGTTTGCATATAATTAGGTTTATTATACAAATTTTTAAAAAGATTTGCCATAAACTTGAATCCATATATTTTATGAAAAATTTATTCAATTGATTTAAGAAATTGTTTTTCATAAAACAAATATTTAAAATTTGGAAATAATTAAAACTTTAAGACTTTGACCGGTAGTCATAGCTTACGACAAATTGTTTAATAAATTATCTTCTGTTGTAATGTTGACTGATTTGTTTCATACAACTCTAGGATATGCTTTCTATTTTGGAATATCTTGGGAACGGTACTAATGAGAGGTCACTTTATGCACAGTTATTTTATTTATACTAATTATATTATTCATATTCAAATTGATTATCTCATAACATAAAAAAATACTATTACCGGTAATGAATCAATTGTTTTTTATCAGTTATATTGTATATTATCGAAAAACTAATCTTAAAGAATAATTATATTTAACCCAAAATTATATTTTATAGATAAAATTCGTAATATAAAATAAACGATCAATTTTAACGATTTACTAAAGAAATCAATATATTCTTAAATTTATGATATGAAATGAATTATTATTATTATGTTAATTAGAAATATTTTTTAGTGTATACTTTATTCTCAAGTAAAGTATATTACTATGAATTATCTGAAATTCTTATTATAATGTAATTGTTTTATATGAAAAGTTAGTAATAAATTTTAATTTGTTTATAGTGTGGGGAACGACTGTGTAGGGTAAGTGGCCTGGATTAGTGTCACAACAATGCAAACTAAATTGCAGTTAAAGTTTTAGTTAGCATAAGTAGTTTATTAATAATAGTTTTTTATTTATACAATAGTTTAATTATAATTTTTAGTTTTAGATGTTATGGATAATTAATAAAAAAGCTTACCGGTAGTCTTTATAGATATGTAAATAATAATAAATGTAACTTTATTTAAATACTGAGAAATGTATATCCATTACCTTTTAAGTTGGAATCGTGTATTATTGAATTTTCTATAAAATAATTCAGCCAAATAAATAAAATTGTTAAAGTATTTTTAATAAATACATTAAATTTTTTATATTGCAATTCAATGCTTTTTTAATTTAATCAAAATATGAATCACTGCATACAAAGGCTTTGAAAACTAAAAAATATATGTTTTAACTCAAAAATAAAAATTATTTAAAATATAGAATAATATAACAATAAAGATATTTAAATCTATTGATTGATGAATTGATTATAAAATATGCTAACAAAAAATTTAAAATCAATATAAATATTTATATATATATATAATAGAAAACAATATATGGAATGCAATGCAAAGCTTGTGTTTGATTGATGTGAATGTTTTGTTTGTTTGTTTGTTGGATACACTAATTAAACAATTCATTAATAAATTAACATTTCTTTCTATTAATGAATTTATAATAATATATATAATAAGACATAACAGGATTGCTATGAAATTTTGGATACAATTCAATGTATTATAAACTTAATTAAATACATTGTTTCTTAATTAAATCATGATTTATATTATATAATATTAAACAAATGGATAACCATTTTAAATTGTAACATGTTTGGTACAATTTTTTTAATAATAGTAATAATTGTAAATAATTATAATTATAATAATTGTGGTGTAAATACTAAGATAATATGAAAATGATTTTGTTGTGCGATATGTTAATCATTTACATAACATCATACAAATAATAATCAAATTTGTATTCATCTTTAATTATAAGTACAATCATATAATAGTAATAATCAATTATTATATTTCAACGTTCATTGAGAGTCAGAGTCTCTCTTTCTCTTTATTTAAAACAACTTTTGGTGTCTTTTTTAAATTCACCGGATATTTCAGAATATACTAATAAATAATAATAATAATACTTAACAAAAAAATTATATTAGGTTTCTGTATAAATATAATATAGATTGTTGTGATTAACAAGTCATATGCCTATTAAATTGCACTATCAATTGATAGATAATCCAAAAACAATTATCATTTTATAATAACAACAACTTTGTTATTACAAATAATTTAATTTTCAATTTAAATAACTTTTAAAAATAACTCAATGTATTGCACATATGGTTTAAACCATTTTCAAAAAATATTTGTCAATTACTTTTACATATAATTTATTTTCTTTTTAAAAAAGAAATTAAATAAAAATCAAAGTTTAGAGGAGTTTTTTTTGTAACTAAAACGGATTTACAATAAAAAATACTAACAAATTTAAACTAATTTTGTCTCACTATCAATGGCACTATTACTTTATACACTATTTTTTAGAAGCAATATATTATTAATATATAATTTTTTGATTATAAAATTAATAAAATTATACATTTTTATATGTATATAACTTGTGTTTTAGTAAATCATTGATACATACGACCTTATATTAAGTGACTAAAACTATATAATTTGATATTTAATAAAACATCTTTGCCTTTGGTTTATTGAAAAATTGGTATAAATTTTTTTAATAAGTTTCCTTTCTTTATATTCTTTATAAATTTAATATTAAAAAGATAGATATAGTTATGCTTTTTAGGTTTTCAATAGTGGAATGACTATTCAATCAATAAGGGAATCAAAATGATTGTATAAAAATAGTAAAAATGGTATATATTTTTATATATAATATTTTGTTTCTTTATAGTCAATAATAATAATAATAATAATAATATCTGTAGAATTTATAGAAATATTATTAAAACTTATTTTTTGTTTTTCTTGAATTATTATTATATAATTAACGATATGTTGTAAAACACAATTTTCTGGTGATGTGTTAATGAGATTTGTGCCCTTAATTATCGTAATTCAAAAATATATTCATTAATAGTCATACTGTACTAATATATAGTAATAATAATAATAATAATCGTTTTTAATGAATATAACTGTCAATCCTATAATAGAAGTGCAGTATATATAGTGGACCCTGTATTCCATTATTCCTGTATTTTTGTTTTTAAAAATCAATTTTATCCTAAATTTTCTGCCATTCATTTTGGACCGAAAAAAGCAAACTCTAATTATAACACTATTAATAGCATCACAGCTGAGAGACAAAGATATAGAGTATAACATAGCGTTAACATTATATTATAAATTTTTTCAATTAAAATTATTTAATCTATATTATCATCAATTATTATATCAATAGACTAGAGATCGCAATTTGTTTTGTTATATATATTTATATATATATTGTTTGTGTGGCCGTAACTGATGTGCTAAAGGCACCCATTTTTCCGAATATCGGAATTTATATCATATATTAATTATATGCGGTATTTGCGGCACTTATTCACAATTAAATTAATCAATAAAACAGTTATCTATTAAATTAATTATTATTTATATTCACTGTCTATATAAGCAAAGTACTCAGTCTTGCTTCTTCAGAGCTGACACTTCTTTTAACAGTTCCAGTGATGTGTTCACTACTTCATTGTCGTTATTATTATTACTATTATTATCGTCTTCTTCTTCTTCTTCGTCGTCGTTTTCTTCTTCTTCATCTTCTTCGTTGTTATTGTTGTCGTCGTTATTATCATTTAATTTTTGTTTGGCTAATGCCTTGTTCACAAGCGATGACTTTATAAGACTATTGATAAGACCTCCACTTAAATCGCTATTTGTTTCGCTGACAGTTTTGACCATTTCTTCATTAAGTCGTGCATTTTCCTGTAGTTTTCTGATCATATTTGATGCAAAAAAGTTTGCACTGTTTTGAGTGGATGTGTTCATCTCAACCGGAAGTAATGGAAAGGCCGATTGCCATAGGGGTCGGTTCACTGATAGATTGGTTGAGTTGTTTGTTGGAACACTTGTTGAGCCATTAATCAAGCGATTATTGATATTGCCATTAGTTTTGTTAATACCATCTTTCTTAATGTTAGCATTGGAGTCATTCAATCGCTTTTTAGGTCTAAGCAAATGTCTTTCCTTGACTTTATATTCAAGTGTTGAGTGCGGAACTCCAAACAAAGTTCCTATAAAAATATTAAAACATATATTAAGTTAGTCTATGAGAACAGATAATGATATAATCATTTACCCGCTCTGTGGACACTCATCTCTCCTCTTTGGACAGCCTTAACAGCCTTAGCCAAGTCATCTCTATTATAATTTCTATATCGACCTCTTTTCGGTCGATTTCTTTTCTCTGGTGTCGATGGGTTGCTGTGATCACTAATATTTCCGCTATTTTTGAGGTCTGAAGGCATAAATGTCTCAAATTTGTCGGACTTGTCATCACTGACTAAGGCGTCAGAACTCGAATCTTCAGAGTTGGCAAACGTTGAGAACTTTGCATTTGTGGTTGAATTATACAATCGTTGACTAATACTCTTAGCGATGATGTCCTTCATAGAGATACTCTTACTCTCGAACTCATCATTAATTCGTTCATCACTTTCCGTATGACTAGAAGAGGTATTCAATGCGTTCACGACTTCCGTATCACTACTGTTCCCATTGTTTGGCTGCTCTTCATTTGATTGTTTAACTTCAGTTCCAGTGACAGCAGCAGATGTGGTGCTCTTAGGTTTATAGGACGGAACCTTTAGTATCACATTATTATTACCGGTACCACTGATTTCTTCTTGTTGTTTATCTTGTAATTCACTTTTATCACCATTTAATAGGTTTAATGTTTGGCTCGAATTGGTTCTCGCCGTCTGTACGATCTGGTCTTCAGCTAACTTTTGGATCAATTCAGGTAATAATGGTATATTTGGATTGAATAATGAATTGATGTCATCGCTGTTAGTACCCGACTGACGATTAGCCAAAGCTAACTGATGTATATTTAACAAGAATTGTGTGAACAGTGGCGCCAATGCCTGTCCGCACTCGAGTGTAGACAACATTTGGATGGTCGCTAAGGCCTCACAATTGTACAAATCGGTCAATGAATTGAATCCAACGCCCGGTATATAATTATTTAATGCCTGTCCTATGCCTCCAGAGTTTATATCATTTGTTTTATTTTTATTAATTATATCGTTTGTGTTAGCTCTTTGTGTTATAGCATTCTTGAGGATCTGTTTCAGTGATTCACTGGCAGACATCGCACTGTTATCTATTTCATCCACTGAATGATTGAGCGTTGAATTCATATGATTAGCACTTTTATTACTATTATTATTATTACTCTTATTGTTATTAATAAGCAATGATTTCGATAGCTTTTTGTTTACAGAATTAGATGTATTGTTACTTTTGATGGTTGTTGTGGTGGTAGAGGTTGGACTCACTTTTCGTTTACCATTATTTGACTTTTCAAGAGCTAATTTATATACTTTATTTCGTAGAGTAGATCGAGGAATGCCATAAATAACAGCCGCTCTTCTGGTACCTAATTTACCACTTTGTATATCATTAAGCGCTGCTTCCAATTCCTCCTCGGAATAGGTTCTCTTCCAAGTCGTGTTTGTTGTCAAACGATTTCGTTTACTATTCAAATATATAAATACATAAAATTATAATTAATTAAAATTAAACAAATTGTATAAAATAAAACTGTCAACAATTTAATATATTATTTTTGTTACATTAATATCGTATATTGCATTTAGAGTACATCTTTATAAATAATTATTATCACTTACATGGCTTTGGTGTTGGTGTTGATGGTAGTTGTGGTAGTATTTGTTAATGGTTTCGGTACTTTAATAATTGAATTATTGATATCACGTTTATGAGTGGCTTTCTTGGAATTTAAGTCACCATTGGTTGATCCCTTATGTCTTGAATGAATGCTGAGATCTAATGGTTGGTCGATTGGATGCGATGAATGAGATGACTTACACAAGCACTTGGAGTTTGGTGTCGAAAGGCCGGCACATTGTGAGCATTTGTCTCCATGTTTGGTGTCATCAGATGTCTGATCATCTAATGACTGATCACAGGGCGGGACAACACTATCTGTCGATTCCTGCATTTTATGACAAAAATATTCACGAATTTAAATATTATAACAATTTTTTCGATTAAATTAGTTATTAAAAACGCATTTTCAATAAATTTTTGTAATATTATATTGAAGTAAGGAATCGTTATTTGATTTTTATTGTCGATTACAAACAGAAAACAAACTAATAATAGGAGTGTTTTTTAGTATAAGTTATCCAATATTATAAAGGAGTACTCAAACGATTGATTATTCAAATAAAAATTCTTTAATGAGATATTCATAAGCATTAGATAGCAAAACATATATTAAGTTTGTGACAAAATATACTAAATTATAAATAGTAAAGTTTATAGTTAAATGGTATAGTTATAAAATATGGCATATTATGGGAACGGTATGGTTTGGTAATGATATATATACTGTATATATAAATTACACTATATATCAAATGAATTGAATGATTGGATGCATAACTTTTAATGAGACTTTTAGTGAGAGGGTTAACGTTCAAAAGTAATCATTTTTCACTTACATATTGTGATTGTAATTTGGTTTCACATAAACAACACGTTTCATATGGACTCCAGTCTTGTGGATCTATTTGTTCCAAACCATTGAAAGGAGTCATTAATTTTCTCCATTTTTTGCTTCCCATTAATTCTTGAGCCACTCTTTCCATTCCTGGATATCATTCAAAAAAGTTATAAACAATTTAAGACAACTGTTTCTGTAATTTTGTCGCAATTTGATTGTAATAAATAGTTTAAAGAAATGCATTTATAATATTCATATTAATAATAAATGGCTTTTTAGTGATTCATTAAATGCAATGCTTTTGCAAATTATAAGAATAAAGTCTAAACTTATTTGCATATAATCTCAATAATAGTAATAATAATAAAACATATTTTTAAAAATAATTTTCATAACTAAAATTATTATTATTATTATTAAACTATTAAATTAAATATAATATTAAAAGTTTTAGTAGTCTTTAATATAATAATTGTACGCATTATGTAAATGAAAAGCTATTTTAAATGAAGCAAACAATCAATGAAATGCCTGTCAATGTCTGTATCACTGAATCTAGTGTTTCATTTCCTTCTTCATTACTTTAATAATAATAATAATATAACTTTAATTTTGATTTATTTTGAAACCAGTATTAAACTCAAAGTCATTCACAAATTGCTTTTATAAAAACAACATTCACTCTTAATTTAAGCTATAATTAAAAATTAGTGTCAATTTTGGGCAAATTGAAAGCATAACTGAAATATTTTGGGTTTGCATGTAAGGCATCATTCATTATATATGATATATATTTGGCAAACCCTATGCGTCCGTCCTGTCTCTTACGTCCTGACAAACGCATTAAAATGCAATTTATATTAAATTTTTTTATATAATAGCATTAAATATAAAATGATCACAAATTTGTAGTTTGCATGAAATTACTGCTATAATAAAAAATATTAGTTAAGAGTTGTAGTGAAATGAAGCCCACAATGACTGCAATGACTTCATGACTACAGTGACTGTAATCACGACCTAATTTGAAGGTTTCGTTAGTTAAGAGAGAGTTAAACAAAATTTTTATCCTTCTCTTGTCATATATAAGCATATTATTGTTGTTTTACTTATTTTTCTACTTATATCTCAATACCTGTTAGACTTTGTAACAAAAACGCCCAAACCTTTAGCCAAACTATTTCTCCTCTCATATCAATCACTTGTATATTATTTCGGAAAATTTCGAAACATTTTTATTTATTTTAATTATTAACATTAAAAAATTTTTGGGTAAAAATATTTTGACTATTCAATAAATCACTCATTGAATATATTAATTAAATTTTAAATTTTAAAAATTAGTTTAATAATAAAAATAACATAACATTAATAACATTATAATTTTTGAAAAAAATAAATAAAGTTTGTTAAATAAATTATTTCAATTTGAGTATTTATCGTTAAAAAATATACATATAAATAGTGTTTTTAATAAATGACAAGAAAATTATGAGTATAAAAGATAAGAAAATATTTTGAATGAAATGAAAAGTAATTGAAACGAGAAAAATATAATAAATTATCGATCGTTTAATGCAATAAACGGTCCAAACATAAGCAGTTTGAGGATAGAGGCGACCCTTTTTCATAATATTCACTAAAATGGCCTAATTTTGATATAACAGAGAGTGAAACCCATGAATGCATACAATATATGCAATGTATGCCAATATATGCCAATGCAATGCATTCTCTACACTATCTCTCTCTTAAGGTCTTCTACTTTGAGAAACACTCTGTTATTAATTGATATGAAAAATACTGATATTTTAGGCGTCCAAACATTGCATACAATGGCATACATTATAGACTTTTTTCCTAATAATAATTATTAGATCATCAAATGTTTTTAAAATTAAAATTAATTCAAAACAATAACGTTTAGAATTACATGTGAGAGAGAGAGAGAGAGACTCGCTATTAAAGAATATAAGTTTTATTTTTAATCATAAATATAAAAATATCGTCAAAAAAGTCTTTAATAAGTTTGAATTCTGGTTACAATATAATGAGAGATATGGCAAACATAAGGAAATTATACATTTTCTCAGATAGACATAGACTTAGTTATTATTAAACTCAAAATATATATCAAATTTTTATTTTAAGCAATCAATTCACACACACCTAGACATACATTAATCACTTAATATATAAGTCGGATAATTATGTTGGTTTACAGTCACTGTTATAATAGACATAGCTTTAATAGATAGTATATGACTTACCGCACAGTTGGGCAACATTTTTATGCCACTTGAGTAGTTCACGGCGAATGTGCCGATGGTCACCAACACACCGATTACACCGTTCCGCCATTTTTCATACCAATCCACACAATTACGTCATGACATACTACTATACCAACACATATATACATGAAAATACATTTATTAATATATATATTATATATACTGTATATATATATACATAATAGACACACACTCTCTCTCACACACTCTCACACTCACTCATTCTCACTCACTCTCAGTTATACTAAATATTGCATTCAATACTTGTTTTTCAGTTTAGAGTTATACTACAGAATAGGTATAATACTGTATATGCTATTCATTTAAGGTATATATCTCTCAGTCATTTCAATCGCAGCCAAAAATCCAATCATTCAGACCATTGCGTAATCACTTTGAGCCCAAATCCTTTCGTGTACTCTCTCTCTTTCTTTCTTCTCTCTCTCTCTCTCTCTCTCTCTCTCTCTCTCTCTCTCTCTCTTTCTGTGCATTTCATTAAATCAGTCACTCATTGACTCACTCACCGCTTCTCTAACTTTGATATATTTCATTACAACTAACTGTTAGTCAATCATATCCTGAGGTAATTTCAAATCAAAGTTTGTTTTGTTTTAAATTTCAACACCACTTCAGCGTATTTACAAAAATGAAAGTAATTTTAATTTTATATAAAACTAACGTTATTTTCTGAACTTTACTCCTTTTAAATATTTTTTAAAACCTGAATTTAAAAAAATCACTAATACTTTTAATATAAAAATTTCAATAATTTTGTATTAAAAGTAATGTATTTTTATTAGATTTTTAAAATGAAAACATTGTGGTTTCTAAAATATTTTATTTATATATTTTTCCAAAAAAAACTATTAATAAATTATAACTAAAAATATTAGTAATTTTAGATAAAATTGCTGACAAGTGCTAACATTACAAGAAACTATAGACCCATTTATAAATAATATTGTCATACATTCAGTCATTCATGGCTATACATATGTTGTCCCGAATTTTTCTATTATTACATTTACATTGTGTGTATAAATCATATTAATCAATGTAACAAAAATGTCGAATAATTCAATAAAAATAATAAAATTGTAAATTGCTTAAATACATTTTTTTAATAATAAATTATATTTTTTCATATTTTTTTATTTTTATGTTTAGTAAATTTAATATATTTCTTTAAAATGTATATTAATAATCTATTTTTAATATTAATAAAAATATTAAAAATCAAAAAATGTCAATAAACTGATTAAATACATGAAACTATAATTTCAATCATTTCAATAACAATTAGAAAAAATAAATTATCATTTAAATTAATTAATTATATTTGCAATTATAAAATAATTTAATATAATCCTAAAAAACTATTTATTAAATAGTTAATAACTTTATATACTGTATTATTCTTCAAATTCTTTAAATACAATCAAACAAGTGGTAGTTGTGTAACAAATTGTGTCAATCGATGGCATTACTGTTCGCTTAATTTTTTAACATTTCTATAGTATCTTAAATCAAATCAATAGAAACTATTTAAGTAAATATAATATAATAAAATATAATACAATAGAATACCATAATAATAATTATTATGTTATAAATTATTTATTAAATATATCACGTTTTTAAAGTTTTATATATTTTTATTCTATGAGATTCACGATTAGAAAATTAATCAATTAATCAATTTTATTATTATTATTTTTAAATTTAAAAAGCTTATATTATAATGTGCAATATTATGGTATATAATTTAATATATTATATCTATACATAACAATTATATAATATACATACTGTATTTTGTGTATGTGTATATATTTATGTATGTATGTATGTGTGTGTGTGTGTGTGTGTTAAATAAAAATGTTAAAAATAAATGCATCAATTATTTGGAGTTTTAGATTATATTAATTTTTATTTTATAATGTACTTATTTGATTGAAATAAGTTATAGTATTTTTGCATCAAAATTTTATTTAAGTAATTTATATAAAACGATATATTGATTTATTTTTAAAAGTCAAGTTGTTAAATTAATTTTAATATTTTAATTAGGTAGTCATTTATTTATCAAAACATCAATCATTTTTTATTAACATAAATTATTTTCGCAAATTTAATCTAAATTAAAACAAAATTATGTTATAAAATTTACCATATTTCTATAAATACCTATATACTGTATATATAATATGTATATAAATTAATATTATTAGTTACATTACAAAAAACAATACTAACAACAAATAATAGATATTTTGTTGAATGCATTACCGGTTATTTTATTTAATTTCCGTTTTATTTCAATAAATTGTCTCAATATTACTATAAATTTTATAATACATACTATATGTGAATTACAGTATATATATTGACAAACATTTATGAAATTATTTTTCTCTAAGCATTTATTTGTATAAAAATTAAATATATGATTCATTAGATAGATATATACTAACAATAAAGTTGACAACCCATTGATTATATTTTTTATAATAAGATTATTAATAAGACATAGTATAGTGTATTATTATTTAGCAAATCATTCAATTATTTGACATATTTTTATAATTGTTTTGTCTATTCGTAAAAATAAAAAAATTTCTTAACTCTATGCAATAAATAGTAATTTTGATAATAAAAATATTATCAATATTTCAAATGTATTGTTGAAATAGTTGAACGGAAATAAAATTCATTGGRTAGTATTGTATTTGAATTAAATTAAAATATAGTATAAATAATTTCTATTGAATGTAAAATGTATCGGTAATTGTTTTACAATTTTTTGTTTATTAGTTTTATTAGTATTATATGTAATTATTAATGTTAGATAAAGCATCAAGTTAAAGTTAATATTTTACATTTGAAAAAATTCCTGCGCAATGCAAAAAGCGACATATATTTAGCAAAAAACTGGTAGTTTTGTATTAATAGCAATAGTAAAGTACTGTATTTGACTACCAGTGCCTCAAACACTCAATGCATAGCACACTAACTAAGTTTTGAACACTTGTGGGATGTGTCGGCTCATTCACTGCCTTAATGTTATTATTATTATTATTTGTTGTGTTTATTAAATTTTTTTTTATTGACTTACAGTTATAATATTATTACAAATATAGTTTACAATAAATGATTACTCGATTGAATTGCAAATTAATTTTTTAAATAATAAATTGAGTGGAAATTATTTAAATGACTTTTTAATTGATTATAAATAAGACACGTATTATTGAAATCAAAAACTAGTGCACAACCAGTGCCTGACATCTCAATTGTTATGTCAGTCTTTCATTCAAATAATTCAATAGTTCGTGAATATGTTGACCCGGGATGTGATACCACTGATAGTATGTCTGAAACATGCAATCCTAGGTATAGTTCCCTGAATTTTAGTCCACTGAATGTCCACTATGTGGCCGATGTCTATGAGGCCCAGTCTGAGGAGCAAACCATGCAATTGAATGTCTCATTGAATGAATGCACAATTGAAAACATGAGTGACAGCTCATCCCATTCCCCATCTGACGGAACGATAACGACTGTCCACAACAACAATGACTTAAATAATAAAAAGAGTATCGTCTGTGGCGTTGTCTTAGTGGACGACCGCATATCGGCCACCAATGCTGTCAATTATGAACCGATTCGCAAAAATTCAGTCATTTTAGGATCAATTGTCTTAAATCATTATAACTATACGTGTGAAGACCTACGCAAACGCATTTATAACCAACTGTCCACTGTTTGGGACACAAAAATTAAGTTCAATTTTCTCTCTAAAGAGGGGTATGTTTTTTATTATATATCAATTTATTTATTTTTGTGTTAATATTATCTGTTTTTATTATAAATTATAAATTATCAATAAAACAATATTATATAAATAACTTGTTGTCATAAAATGCATTCATAAATTTAATATCAAAGTCTATACCGTTATTATAACAATAAAGTATTGTTTTTTATTAAAAGTTATCTTCATTATCGTAAAATTATTATTATTTACTCTCTATTGCATACATTATTTGTCTTAATAGTGAATAATTATTATTAATAATATTTTTTATATACACATATAGTAAATAACTTATTATATATTATGCTTATGTCAGGTGTGTGTGTGATTGACACTACTATTTACCGTTAGATAACTACAATATTTAATTATTACTTATAATTTAAAACAAACTAAAAATATTATGAGAAAATATCAAATTATATTAACAACTCTTTATATTATTATTGTATTGTTTTTTTTGTTGAATAAATTTATTTAATTGAATAATTATGTAAAAATATATAATATGATTATCATTATGTCATTGTTTAGTGAATTGTTTAATATTTATTTGTAAATTCATATTATTTTTAAAAGTTTTAAAATATTGATTTACATGTATTTGTAAATGACGACAAATTATTGGGTTTTACCAATTACTTAAAATTTTTGTTATAACATTAATTTTTATCTTTAATTTTAAAATCAATATTTAATTTTATAATACTAAATATTGATATATAATATCGAAAATGAAAACTTAATTTTTTAAAATATATTTATAAAATTTATGTTTTATGACAAATTATATTTTTTTAATTATACTAATATTATAACAAATTATTTATTTTTTTTATTTAAACTTAAATTTTGATAAAATCAGTCACAAAATAGGTTAAATTCTCTATTATAGTACAGTATTACTAACAGTAATGGTTTATGTAAATTTAATTATATAATAAGTATATACAGTATTATTAGTAAGTATTACATATACATTAAAGTATATTAAAAAGTATAACTATATCCATAGTATATAAAGATTGGCAAAACTATAAATTTCTAAAAAGTTTCTAATATGAACTTTTACCTAGTTAATATTGTCAACATTTTTTATGTTAATTTTGTAATCTATACATTAATTTACATATAATATTTTTAGTAATTATTATATATTTAATAATAATAATAATTAATATATGATTAGTATTAAAAATAATAAATTTTGTCATATTTATTGAATATCAAATACGTTTAATTATAAAATAAATATTTAATCACAGCAATTTATATTAATGTTATATTAATATATTGTTTTCCCATTTTTAGTGTAAAGTAGTTATTATTATATAGTATTATTATTTCTTAAGATTTTATAAGAATTTAATGCCGAGAAATTTTTTAGAAAATTCCTTAAGAAAATTTATTTGAAATATACAGTATATTTTGTTTATTTATACTAATATATCAATATATTGTTTTATTTGACACAAGGATCTATTAATGCACAGTTTATATCAGAATAATATAATAACATTTTTTAGAATTGGATTTACATTACTATAAAGTTTTATATATTTATATTATATAATCTAAAAATACATATATAGGCTAATTATCGACCCAAATATATTTATACAATATTTCTAAGAATTTATATATTGTATTTTATTTTTATAATATCTAAAGTACAGGTAATATAAATACTATAGTATATATAATTATTCTTCAATTGACGATTGAAATGCAATTGTTTATTAAAAATGTTTACATTAAAGTTTTTCATTTTACTTATCTTTATTAATAGTAAAAACAATAATATACAATATTACAAATTATGCAATAAACTATTTGTATACAAATAAATTACTATTATTACTTAACGAACGAAATAAATTTTAATTATTAATATTTTTGAAATATAAAATTTTAAATGAGATATATTTTTCAAAAATAATGAAAACTACATTTTGATATAATATAAAATAAAAAATTATACGATAAACAAAAAATAATATAACATAATAATTTTTGAGCCAGGTGCTTGGTAATTTTTACAAAATAAATTTTGATAACTCCCAAGCACATGTTATAAATTGTAATTAAATATTATATTTATATTTAAACTATATAAAATATGAATTCATTAGCTAAACTAAAGTATAATAAATTTATTCTTATAACTATTTATTTTACTATTATAAATTTATACTGTATTTATTTATATATAAATAATACATTTCTAATAATTTTTAGTTTAATTGTAGTATACTATAACATTTATTTTTATGATTATTGTTGCTCATTTAAAAACTAATCATAATTACTAAAAAACATAATATAAAACAAACTTTGATTTTTGTATAATTATTTTATAACAATTATCAAACATGAATTTTTTAGTAAAAATATCTTATTATATATATTGTAGATTTATGGATCATAGTTTTACAAGAAATATAGATTGTAATTCAAAATATGTATCTATTATTTACCATTGATATAAATTATAACATTTGGTTTTTTATATTACAACAAACAAAGTTATGATAACTAAACTAATAACCAAATTATTAATAATTACGAAAAAATGTTGAACGGTTGTGTTTTGTTGACTAAAACTAATAAACCATTGATTTTGTTAAATTTATATATTATTAATATAATGGTTACTCAGTCTATTTTTTTTATAATAACAAAATCTAATCTTAATAATATTCATAAAATATTGTTCAATAAAATTTTTGTCATTTGTATGTATTTGAGAAACTTTTTTTTAATAAATAAAAGCTATGTTATGAATGCTGCACTTAACTTACATTTGAATATGGGTTAATAAAACCATAACCACAACATGTGAACAAATACCTGCAAATTGACTCATCGCATGTAATTCAGTCTATTTTTACATTAAATGATAGCCTTAAGGATATAAAAACAACATTTTTCTAGATATTCAAGTTTTACTTTAGTTAGACATGTGATTAGAAACAGGAACTTAACCCTTAAATATGTTGACATTATGTTTGCTTTTGGGCTGATTTTGATGTAAAATGTCTTAAATATTATAAGATTTGTTATTTTTAATGATTGATTTTATTTTTGTTGAAACAATACAATACAAACAACACTTATAATTATTATTAGCTGTAGTGTAGTATAGAGACGACAAGTGGTTGACTGGAATTTATTATTATTAATATAAAATGTATTTTCACTCAATGTTTAAATATATTTATCAAATCAATTAATGTTAACAATAATTGTTTTTAATCACAAATATTAGTGAAGCTGTAATTCTTATAATTAATACAATTCAAGGACTTATAACATATAACTTATAAGTGTATCAATTTATTAATGTTTTTATGTTAAAATACTGCTAATTATATATTGTTTTTTTATTTAAAAAAAAGATATTTTATGTACAAATTTTTGTGTAACTAAACGTTAGAAAAAATTATTTGAATCACAAAATGTTTGTCATTATTAAATAATATTTAATACTTATATGATTAGATATATACTTGTAATAGAGTATTGGTTTTTTAAACATTAGTTTATTGTTTTAATTTTTCTTTATTGATATATTATAGGTTACAATGGTTTATATAGGGCATTGAATAAACTTATCACAAAATTATTTGCAAAAATTGTAGTTAAAAAGAAACTTATCAAACATAATAAAAATTTTATATTGCTTTTCTAGTAAAATGATAAGTACTATATTTATCTATTTACACTATTATAATTGTAAATTATCATTTATTATTATTTTCTAGAATAATATTAAATATAGTTTAGTTTAATTTAATTGGCATAATAAGAATTATTCATAATAATTAATATCATAAATATTTAACTAGTTCTGTATATTTGACTATTAAGTAAAAATTGATTTATGGATCGATAGTCTATTGATTTAAAACTATATTATAGTATTGTAATAATAATTTAATTTATAATTTGAGATAATATTTATCTAAATCTATTTAACACAAAAATATCCATAATTATTACATCTACAATAACATCTTTAGTAATATTTAATAGATGTACCATGGTGTATTTTAATATAACTTTATTATTTCTAAATCATCTTTTTTAATGATGAAGCGATAAAAATTTAATAACAATTTTACCTTCAATTTAATAGTTTTGCGAGTTATCAATGTTAGCGTTTTTAGAGACAATAATTATTATAATATATTATTCAATAGATAAAAAAAAATTATTATACATTATCTGCATTTTGTCTATAATATACCGTAAAAATGAATTTATTATTATAAAATCTTTTGAAATAAAATAAAGTGCGAATTGCATTATTATAGATCGTTTCAATAAATTGATTGAATTTTTTTTTATAAAAAATCACCGACAAAACATTTTAATTTCAAAAATTAAGGAAAATATGGTAAATATATTATATGGAAAACGAAAAATTAGTACAGAATATTATATTTATCGTTAATAATAATTTACAAGGTCATTTTATAATAAAATACATTTAATTATGTAAAATATTATAATGTTGAAAATTAGTTATTTTAATAATACATATAAATTTCTAATAACTATGATCTATATAAATTGATCTAATTATTTAAATGTAAGTTATTTAAATCACAAATTAGTTATAATTTTTAGTAAATTGTAATAATTAATGATTTATGCGATTTATTACATCATTGGTTTATTTTTATATAATTAATATAATCAATTAAACATTTTAAAATATTTTATTGAAAATAAAACTGCTATATTATATAGTTTTTATGAGTAAAATTGTCTAAACTTTAAACTAGTTTAGACTCTACAACAATTAACAAATATCTATTACCTTGGTATATAAATATATTTATATATATATATTTATTATTATATAACATATTATTTAATATGTAATTAAAATTAAAATTTAATTTTTGAATATAATTTTTAAACTATTAAAATAAATCATATTGTGTTTAATTAATTAAAGCTTTTAACATAATTTGCACAATAAAAATATTAAAGTACAGTAAAAAATACTTTTATTAATTTGCTAAAATTTCGAATTTTTAAATAAGTAATAACTTATTGTAACTTTTTTTTGGCCAAACCTAAAATTTATTAATTATAACGTGTAATGCAATCTTACATTGCGATTACATCGATATTATGTATAAGCCATATGTCAATAGCCGTCAAATAGACATGTTATTTATAATTTAAGATAATTTATATGATGTAATTTTTTCAGATAATTTATTAATAGAAGTACATAAATGTACTAGTTGCAATTCACTATCATAATAAATTTGATGAAATATTTTTCATTTATAATTTAGTTGTATATATATAAAGTGCTTAAATAAATTTATTAGATAATTATAAATATTTATATTACATAAAAAATGTGTAATACTTTTTAGTATATTTAGATGCAATTAAAACTTTCAAATATTATTTTTATCAAATATAATACATAAAAATCAAAATTTATATTTATAAAACTATTTGTTACATTTTAATAACATTATATTAATAATATCTTTTGCACATTTTGTATTTTTTTAGTTAAATTTAGCTATTTTTTATCAAATATTTCTGCTGAACGCTTCGACACATTAAAAATAAATTATTTTTGTCAAAAATTTAAATAAATTTTATTCATCAAACACCTTGAAAATGTGTTCATGAAAAAATAATTAATAAAAATAATATATTGTAAATTTATTATAAAAAATTAATATCTATTGTAGTAGAAAATCTGATCTTACAAAAATTATACAATGTTTGATAATTAAGTAATAAAATTATTGTTTATTAATTATATTATTTTAACCTTGATTTTATTATTTGTTTTACAACTTAGATTCTATACTAAGTTAATAAGATATTGATAATATACATAAATATTTCAATTATCGTCTAAGCAACATTAAATTATATTAACTTAAAAATTTATTTTTTAGACATTTATTTTGTTTTAAAAGTCATTATATTATACTTTAAAAATTATTAAAATATATTACATACAATTCTTTCTATTATTTATTTCAAGAGTCATTATTATATTATTTATTTTGAAAATTAGACAAATATTAACTAATTAGCTAATCATTTATTTTTATTTAATAATTGATTTAACAAATTTGATTTTATTATTTTTTTGTTTTGAATAAAATTACTATAATAACATTTTTTAAAAAATAATTTTTATATAATATATTAAAATGATTAATTTATTTGAAATTACAAAGCAGTGCATAAATAATTATTTTAAATATTTTTTCCACTAAAATATATTATATGAATTCAAGTTTAATTTGAGTCATAGAAATTATGTTAAATAAATTTTTTGTTAATTTGATTTGACTTTATTATAAGTTAAGATATTTTATTCAAATTTAATTTATTTATTTTGAGTTTGAGTCTTATGAATGTGTCTGAAATAAGCTTAATGTCCACTTTAAAATTAATTTAAAAATTTCTAACAGTATATATATAAAAATTATTTTTAGATTTTAATTTTGAGATTAGAATAAATTATTATTTAATTATTAATTATTTGTATTATATCTCAAAGGTGGCCAATATTAGCAAATCAAGAGAATAAAGTGTTTGCATTCAATATAATCACTCAAAACCATGTAATTGCAATTCGCAAAGTTTATGGTAATTATAAATTTACATACATATAGATATGTATAAAAATGATATATATATATCAATAAATTTAGCTGAGATTTGAACACAAATATATATAATAAAATGATTAATGAATTGCAGAAAAGCCACGTTTGGGTATTAGGAATGCAAACGGAGACTGTTTTGGATTCATTTTTGTTGAATATTCGTGGGATTTGCGAAAATTAAGACGTGAAATGAATGACCACTTTAAGAGACTCGGATTAAATAGCAATACAATTGAATACACTTATATAGAGAGGAATGGTTGGCCAGTGGCCCCAATCCAAGAAAGTGATCTCACAGTTTGGGATATCATTATTAATCAAAGCATTTGCATACAAAGCGGTCCATTAAGAATGTCTTCATCGTCTGAAACAATGAGACCGATTGAAAACAATCAACAATTGAATGCTTTGCCATCAGTTAAACCCTCAGTAAACGATGATTTGCTTAGTATTACACAAAAATCATTTGATAATAATATGACACAAATCGATTCAGCCATTGTTCCCGAAAGAAGGAACTGGAATAAGAAATCAACAAAAAAGAAGACTTTAAATATTAGGTATTTTTGTTAATATAATTTTTGCATATTTTTTAACCAAAAAAAATAATTAAATTATTTATAATTTTGTTATTTATAATAGTTTTAAACAAACAACAGTAAAACGAAACGAAAAGTTGTCTCGAGCTAAGTCAGTAAAGGGGGGCAAAGATATCGGTATTATTATGATTAGTTATGCCCGACAAGAGGCTGCACAACACGCACTCATTCTTAAAGATAAATTAATTAAATTGGATTATAATGTTTATTTGGTATTTGTTTTATTACTCTCAAAATTAAATAAATAATTGGTTTAAAAATGATATTTTGTTTGTTTGATAGGATGTGCACGAAATAAAGCACGGAAGTGATTGGCAGGACTCGCTTAATAATGCGGTCAGAAATTGCACTTTTTTTGTACCACTGGTCACACCTATGTATGGAAAAACTCAATGGACTAATAGAGAAGTTTGTATATTATTTTATAATTTTTATTTATTTATATTTTTAATAAATAATAATTACAATAATTTATCAATTTATCTACAATTGTAGGTTAAATTAGCCGATATTTTAGGCAAAACCATAATTCCTATTAATTTTCTTGGTAATTCATCAATTTAATATATTAATAGTTGATTGTGATAATAAATTATAATAATTATATAAATGTTTTAATAGATACCTGGCCACCGGATTGTTTAGCTATTCAATTTGCGACCACTCAGTAAGTTTCATTTTTTTAAATACTGGAAAATTTACTTATAAAATATGTCAATTAAAATAAATAGATACATACCATGGAAGCCAACAATTAGTGATCATGGTTAGTTTATACTGTTTTCAAAAGCAAATAATCATAAAATTAATTTTTTATTAATTACCGTAACATAGAGAGTCCAATATCTAAATCTAATCCCGATATTAAAGTATGGGACGAATTGTACATTAAAAAAGTGTCCGATTTTCTCGATGAAATGATGAATGATATGAAAAATAATAAACAAACAAATTTGTTGGAAAAAAGTTTAGTCAATCAAAGTGCGGAATCACTTCGTGCACTGACAATATCACCGAAAACTATCAATGAAATCGATGGACCAAAACATAACGATATTATTAATAAACCTTTAATTGTGATCAGTGCTCATCCGCAACAAAAGTCAATTGTTTGTAAAATTAAATCATTATTAAGTGATGACTATAACATTTGGTGCTCTATTGATCTCTACGAGACCATCAATGAAGACGATTTAGCCAACAATACGCCGCCGTATACTCCAAACCAATTGCCAACTATTGATGAAACAAAGGAAACTGAGTTCAATGAGGACTATAAGATTGTCGCCCGAAAAATAGTCGATCAGTTTAAAAGCAATAATAATAAACAGAGACCCAAATCAATGCCTAATCATTGCGATAGTATAGTGATTGAACCAAAGAGGCCATTGACCCGATTGGCCTCACAGACGAGTGAAACAAGTCATTTATCTTCACTATCACCCGACACTATTGACAGACTCAGACAATTCAAAGAGCAAACCAATTCCGCACGAGTTGTCATTATTATAGGTTCTGATGACTACTACAAGTCGACCGCATCCAAACAACAGGCCTACTATTGTGAGCACCGACACAAATATATATTAGTTCGCTGTGACAACGGTTCCCAATCAGTCGACTTTCATTTACTTAAAATTATTACCAAAGACCAGTCTCTGGTTAGATATCACACATAAATACTTAATACGAATTGTTTTAAAACATTTCAAATTCAAATTAGTTTGTAGATAATCCACGTTTCGATGAGTTACTTAAATCTAGAGTAAAGAGAACAGTAGATCCGTCCACCAAAGCACCAGACGATGAATTACATGAATCAAAACTAAAATATTTGGTAGAATTTATGAAAACAAATTTGCCAGTTCTTGAAACGTGTGTATATGTCGTGGGAAGGTATGCTTAAAAAATAATAATTATTGTTTTAATTTAATAATTATATTTATTAAATTAAAATTAAATTAAATTTTAGTACAAAAATTCAAAAGAGTCGATCGGAAGAAATTTGTAGAGCAATTGGTGTTGAATTAGCTAAAGTCAAGAATGTCAATGTAGTGACCAATGGTTTCTACGGCGTCGGCGATATAGTGGCCACTAGCTTTCATGAGGCCAGATCTAAAACTTGCAGTATATTACCGATTAATCCAAATTGTGATCGTAAATCCAATGATATCAACAATACCCCCAACTCTTTTGAGTCATCAGTCGTACACATTGTTCCGATGAAGGATTCGCAAGTAATTAACTTTTTTTTAATAAATACAAATCATTAGATTTATTGTATTAAGATTACCACTTCTTAAATAAATAATAGGACTTAACTGACAAATGTCGTCAAAACTGTGACGGATCCTTTGAAGCGGTTCCATACGGAAAGACTATATTTCTTGGAAAGTCAGTCAAAGAGAGGGAGAGTGCAGTGGCCCGGATGCTCGACACTTGTATGTTGTCATACAATTAAATAAAATTAAAATAATTTATTAATTTTGTTTATAATTTTTGTTAAATAGGTATTCTTATAGAAGGCGGACCAGGTATCCTATAAATATAGTACATCTAAATTATATTGATATTAATGTTATATTCAAACATTTCTTTTAATAGGTTCCGCGCGTGAAATTGAGGAATTCATATGGAATGACCATTTTGTGATACCAATCATCTCATCGGGTGGTGCGGCCAGTGGCCAATTCAATGTACCGCAAAAGATATTTGATTGTCCGCACGGTGTTTCCGAGAAAGACTGGACCATTTTGGCCGCTCCCGATGAATCGCCAGAAGTGGTGGCCAAAGCTGTCGTTAATATAGTAGTGGCACTCAAGAAAGCAATCGCTTCGCACGCTATGAGCAAACTACAGGTCCCTCTTAAAGTCAAATCAAAACTAATGAGAAACAGATCCGGAAAGAAAAAGTTGGCTGAAAGAAGAAAAGTCAGAATCAATGCAATCAATGCCGCAAATACTTTGTTAGAAACTCCTGAGTTGAATGAGGGCCAGCACTCACCAGAAAAGATATTACCAGTAATTCAAGCCATTATGGATAATAACCATATAGTAAATGATACAAAAACAAGTAAATGGAAACGTATGCAAAAATTAATGACATTTTCTAACAAAAAATGTTAAAACAATTCATTTTTATTTAACCATTTAATTATTATATTTTAATAAAATTCAATTTACATACTTTTTCATTTTACATAATTTAATAACTAAATAAGCAATAATTTTTAATAAATAAATAAATAATAATAATAATAATAATAATAATAATAATAATACAGATCGATATAAATAGTAATAGAGATTATAATCAAATTAAGTCATGACTAAGGACTAGGAAACAGAAATTATAAGAGTATTAATGATAAAATCACAATCAATTTCATATCATATTTTTATAATAAATATTATTTTTCACTTTCAAATCGATTTTTAAGTTATTTATCGGAATGTCTTTCAGTAGTAATAAATAAAATTTGTTCGTAAAATAAATAATAAAATGTAAATACTGTTAATAATTGGCTTTCAACTGATTTTAATACGTTTGCTGTATTCGTGTTGTTGTTGTTGTTTCCATTCGGCCTTAACTTCTATCCTCTTGAGCTGTCCGTCCCATTGTAGGTCTACAAGTCCGCCACGTTTTGCAATCTCGGACTTTACTCGTTGGGCAAACTCAACGGCGCTTTCATTTTCCTTTAAATTATAAATTATTAAAAATTAACTTTTCTTCTCTTAAAAGTTTACATTAAAGGTAAAACAACTTTTTTAAAGTTAATAAATTAAAAATAATTGCATAATATTTGGTGCACTACTACTGTACGTACATTTCTAATCATTGGAGGCAAATAGTAAACGTGACAAACAATGGCCCAACTGGACATCATCATCAATAAGTAATACATATAACCATTTTTACTACTGTTCCAAAATGGATCACCAAATCTTGGATCGTACTATAGGTGAATGTTAAAAAATATAAAGTACCGGTAATTAAACAAATACTAAATTAAATGATTCAGTGATAAGACCCTACTTTGATGGCCACCGGATATATTTTGCCGCCGACTTCGAACGATCCCTTCTTGAACATCATTACGGCTGAATTGTTAATACAAGTGCCCTCAGGAAAGATAAGTATTGGCAACTTATTTGGATCTTCGACGTGCTCTCTAAGTCTTCGAGTGACAAGTTCTCGATCTTTAATTTCAAACCTTTCGAACCATATATGAGAAGTGGCCCGGGCTAAGGCCCGCTGAAGTACACCTAAAAACCCACCCTGTCTTTGACCAACCAATGCATAACAATTATCACAGGCTAAGATCGCCACATCCTTTAAAAATATCATTAATTTAAATATTCATTATTATATAGAATTCAATTCATTTACAATAGGACTGGTATGGTTAGCAACTGTAATGCCTCCCTCTTTAGCCATATTATATCTGTCATGATATGTGACAATACCAGAGAAGGCTCGCGAAAGTATACGAAAACACATTAGACTAACATTCCAATAGATAGTCCTTTTAAGCCATCCGTCGGGAATACAACCGATGACTGCTGTGCACAACACCAACCAAAACACACCAATTATTGTAATTATAATTCTTGTCGGCAAAAGAATTAAGTATCGTATAAGACATCCGATTCCCCATAAAATGGTTAATCGCATCGATATATAGTGATAATTTCGATTGGTTCGGGTCAACAGATTCCAAGACAGAAGTTCTGTATTAATAATATTTCAATTATTTATCTATTAATAAATTGTTTATAAATTTTTCAAACTATAATTACCTTCAGCAGCAAACCTTTTGGTGACCTCATCGTCAACAATGGATTGAATGCCGAGTTTAATAAAATTGATGCCATCAGACAAATGAAACTCTTTCTTCTCGCCATTCATTTTGATCTCCATTTCATGCAAAGACTGATGTTTCGAGTCTTCCTCCGAGTCATTATTATTACCACCGTTTGAATCGACAATTTTAGCACCAATAGAGTTGACGACATTATATTTGGACGTTTCATAGTTGTCATCCAAGTCTTCACTTTTGCGTTTTTCTGCCGTTTCTATCTTTTTGCGACCAAACTATCGGTTATCAAATTAATGACAATTATAAAACAAATTCAATTTTAAGACAATTCATGATATGTTTTACCTCAAAGATTGTCAGCAAAATATAAATATAAAGTTTACGAAAACCAATGGACAGTCCGAGCGATGCGAAGACCAGTGACAACAATAAGACGAGAAAAAAGGAGGGAATGATTGCCCACAAGATTGTCAACAAATAATCACTAATCACTTCAACAATCATTTCAAATGAATTCTTAATATTAATACCAAACTATCGCCAAATAATACTATCAAACAATGACATCGCTGTCAATGCAAACAATTGTCACAAAAGTATTTACATTTAATGTCTTCAACAGACAAATCAGTCAATTATTTGGTCATTGAATGCAATGATTAGTCATTCAAACAGTCATTCAATGATTATTACATTCATTAGTGAATAACCCAAACATTGCCTCACTTTCACAGACAGACTGTTTGATTGAATGATTGAATCACTGAAGCAATAGATGTCTCTTCTGTTTGATAGCAAACAGACAAACAATACATCCCTTTCCTGTTTCAAGTCTTCATCCAAAACACGTTTACGTGAAGTTTGGTCAAAATGCCACCGAAACAGAAGAAAACGACTCAACCCGCGGCTGCCGCTGCAGCGCCAACACAGCCTAAGACCACCGCTGCCAAGACTACGGCCGCCAAAGCACCCGAAAAGGCTCCACAAAAGGCTGCGCCCAAAGCGGACAAGAAGGACGCGAAGCCGAAACCCAAACCAACTCAATCTAAGCCCAAGGCATCGGTGCCCGCAAAACAAACCTCTAAAAAACAACAATCGGGTCGTCAAGTAAATAAGGCAAAGAATGCGGCAAATAAAGTGACGAAAGGAAACTTCCAGAAGAAGAGCCGTAAAATCAGAACTACGGTTCACTTTCATCGACCACATGTGAAGCACTTGCCGAGGAACCCGAAATATCCCCGAAAGAGTGTTCCTCATAGACCACGACTCGACAAGTTCTCGATTATTAAGCATCCGTTGACCACCGAGTCGGCGATGAAGAAGATTGAGGACAATAATACACTTGTATTCATTGTCAACTTGAAAGCAAACAAACCGCAGATCAAGTTGGCGGTCAAGAAGTTATATGACATCGATGTCGCTAAAGTGAATACATTGATCCGACCCGACGGACAAAAGAAGGCTTACGTACGATTGGCGCCCGATTACGACGCTCTCGATGTGGCCAACAAAATAGGAATCATTTAAACTATTTTGTCGTTTATTTTGATTATATTATTGGATATAAATAAAAATTGAAATTAATATTTAAATACTAGTATTTTGTGATTTATTTTTTAAAACTAATTATACGATTTCATTACAATTATTGAATTTCAAATCTAATTTTATAACTAAAAACAAATTGACTTCAAGTCAAGACAAAAAAGTCAAATATGTGGCCATTAAGACCACAATATATAGAGACCAAATAGACACTCATTTCGGGTACATTTGATCAAAGTTTGCGGGAATCGGTGTCTTAGTCTCTTCAGCTAAATATAACATTTCATCTAAAAAACAAATTAAATGTCAATTGATTAAACAAATAACTGATGAGACAAAACAATAATATTGTCCGCAAACCTCTATTAGCCTTAAGTTTAATAATTCTCTGTTCTTCGTCCCAAATCTTCTTCTTTTCTCTCAATTGGATCCGATGTTCTCTTTCTCTCTTCGCCAGTGTTTCTGTTTATAAACAAAACTATCAGTTAATCAAACACAACCTTTAAATCATTGATGAAAACATACGGTTATGTCTCAATCCATAGGCCACTCCTGCTAATAGTAAACTCCATCTACAGAACTGATCCAATTGGTGATCAATAATATCAATAATAAATTAATAAAAATCAATTGGTTATAGCATTCAGACATTGACAATGTTTTTGGGATCAATTGATGACATACCCTAAGAAATGGTGACACATTGACCGGTGCCTTCAACTCGAGTTTCGGTAAATCCCATTTAGTGGTCATCTTTGAGGTCAATGTTTCGGTAAAAATCACTTAACCTTCAAATGGACTCAATTTCTTGTGAAGTGATATCCAATACAATCAATGAAAAGCCATTAAAGGGACCGTTCAGTCATTACGTTATAAAATTAAATACAAACTAATGTATGTTTTAATTGTTTTATTATTTAAAATTTTATTAGATTTATAATTTTAATAAATTATATTATATTAAAATATCTAATTTTTAAATAGATTTACTTAAAATTAAATTATTTAAATATAAAACTTTATAAAAACATAAACAATAATATTTGTGATATACAGGTATTGTATTGTAATTTAATGTTATATTTGTATTCAAATGTAAAATAAGTTTAATTCAAAAATAAAGTCAAATTCCAAACAAATGTATGAAATAAATGATAACTTTATTCAAGTCTTTAATTGATATCTTAATTATCATTGTTTTTAGCCATCAATTGTTGGGATTAATTGAAGTGACAATTAATTGGTAGAGATCTTTGAAGACATGCCGACAATTATATTATTAGACGTTTCGCTGTCGATGTGCCGAATGGTACCATTGAATGACAACAATAATGACAATCAGATGACACAATTGAAGAGTTTGGCCATTCATGGCTTGAATGCACTTCTTGATTATGAATCACAAAACGCAAGACTTGAGTTCACATCATTGATGGTGTTCTCGAGTTTGTGGCAAATATTATCAAAGTTTACCCGAGATTACGATCAATTGAAAGCCGCCCTCCACAGCATTGAACTCTTCGACAAGACTTCATTTGTGAACGCTTTAAGAGGCGTCAAGAATATGGTTCTCGAAGAATGGGGTTCTGAAATGGCCTGCAATGTCATACTTGTGACCGATGGTAACGCCGCTATTAACGCTCATTTAATGAATTCATCAAATGGTAATAAAATTGAGGAATCGACTGACGAGGACACCGATGATCCCGTATTTCCGCTTCCTTTTCCATTTCCAGCTAAACTTCATATCGTATGTCTGACTACAATCAATGATAACTCATTTCAGAAATCATTGCCATTCTTCGCCAAACTAATTGAACTCAATTCAAATGATAGTATTAAAGAACCATTTCTTGTAAATCATTTATATTCTGGCGGTCAGGTCTGGGTTCCCGAAGGAAATCAATTATCCTATAAATCAGTTCAAAATGTGTTTAACAAATTAGCAGAAAGTAATTATCGGTCATTTAAAGGTCGACTTTATTGTGGGATGTTGTCGTCACCCATTTCTTTATATCCATCACTTGACAGTTATATACAAATACGTGATTTCGAAACAATCAAAGCCGAACCATCCGAAGACATCTCTATTTGTGGTTTTATGGATATCGCAGAAGTGTCGAGTCCTCCCGTTCACTCCAGACATTTGGTGCTACCATTGCAAGAATCCAAAGAAGAGGTTAGAAAGACAGCGACAGCGATGGTATCAAATCCAAATAATCCATCTGATTGCGGACCCATTGACTTTGAGGACTTGTTGACTTCCATGTGTGCTGATGAAGGACGTCAGCCATCTTTTACTGTTTTACTTCATGGAAGTCTTAAAGTAGAGGGAATGGTTGCTATATGTCAAGTGGGAACTCCTAATTGGTACGGCATGTTATATTCCTGGGCCGACAACAAGAAGAAGTCTAATCTTATGTTATCGACATTTAAATGCGGGGCAGAATCTATTCCATGGCTTACAAATCTTAAGAGTTATGGTTTTCCTTCAATCAACATTCAAAAAACTCCTCAAGAAATCAATGTCATTAATGAAAAGAAGAGTTTTAGTCAGGGATGTGTTGTTTGGTTAAAGCAAGCATTTCTTCAGTCGGATATACAAAAGATTTTACGACACGCGAGGAAATTACCCGAAAAGACGGCACATTTTTATAAGGAGTTAAATCGTTTACGAAGAGCTGCCCTTTCATTTGGTTTTTACGCTCTCATTGAAGGGTTGGCCAGTATTCTTGAGCGCGAGTGTCGTATGTTACCGGGCACTGCACATCCCGAAGCTGCTTTACAATTGACTCACGCTGTTAGTTGCTTACGACAGCCCCGGGATGCCGACTGCTATAATCAATGCATTACACCACTAGAAACTAATTTTAATAAATAAATAGTGTTTTAGTTTAATTATATAAAATTTTTATAAATACATAATAAATTTATATAAATCATTTATAATATTTATAATATTTCCATTAAATTATTTAAAATAAATATTGCATAATAATTATTTTATTAACCTATGATTTACTTTTTGCTATATTTTTATGGTTAGTAGATTTTTAAGATTTAAGATTCAAATACAGTAACTAAAAAATTTCATTTATAAAATTTTCAATAATTTCAATTTATATATTATAAGTTTCCAAGTTATATAAATTAAAATAATTACTTTTTTTAAATAAAAAAATAAGATATTTATAAATTTTAATTAATACTATTTACTAACAAATATAGAAAACAATAGAAACTGTAATAAAATAAAGAAAATATGATAATTATGTACTACTATGTTATGGCCGGAATCGGTAATAACTTGAGATTCATTAACAATATATTTGGGAGCTTTTATAAGCTTAAGAATAGTCATACATTTTGCGGTTAAAGTGTGGGAACAGTTGTATGAATTTTCACTAATAATCAATTGATTGATTTGTTTAATTTGATTGACTGCATGGCCTTTGCATTGTTTTACTAAATTATAATCAATACAATCAATCAATTCATTTAATACACAACAAACAGACTCTCCGTATGACATATCGTTCAATAGTTTAACTTCTTTGATGAGACTGTTATTAATATGAGTGAAATTGAATGCAAATAAGTCTACACTACTACTACTACTTGTAATTTGGTCACCATTTTGGTCACCACTGCGGTCATCATCGGTGACATCATATCTTAAATCATTTATATTCCACTGTATGGCTACTATTGAAGTGCATTGCGAAACCATATTTTTTGCTTTGTTGAAGCAATTGTACAGATCTTTGTGTCCAATCATTTCAATCTAAATACATTATATAAATATATATATAAAAAAAATATTTATTTAAGAAATACATCAAATATTTAATAAAATTATTTGTTTAAAAATTGTAATCATAATTAAGTGATGAATTAATAAATTTCTAAATGTAATACTAATACATTAATTGTTTGTATTTTGCTTTCACATAACATTATAGGACAGATTCATATTCAACGAGTTATTACAATACAAACCGTTTGATTATCTAAATGCACATAAATATTATCCATTTTAGAGTCACCGATGCTATACATTAGTTGTGATGAAATATTATTTTGATTGCTATATAATAAAGATAATGTAATTTGATAACAAATTAAAAATAATATAAAAATTAAATCCATTATTCAAAAATTTTAGTAACTTAAAAAACTGATTGAATGTTTGTTTAATTGTTTATAAGTTATATTTTAAACATATATTAATATCTGTATAGTAAAAACATATCAAATTGCATTTTTAATACTGATTTTTGTAAAAAATATTTTATATTTTTCCAATTAATAGTTTTGTATTTCTAAATTAAAAAAATATTGTCTGAATAACATTTTTGATTAAAAAAAATAATACTTAAGAATGCGTTATAGAAAATACGTTATAAGAATATAATTTATTATCCAATTTAAAAATAATAATAATCTTATATTTAAAATGAAATCATAAAATTAATTTAAAACTATGTCTAAGTTAGCAATTAAAGTAAATAATTATTGAAAGTATAGGGGTATGGGTTATACGATATTCAAAATTTATGCAACATTTTTATCATTAGTCTTTTGTTTGCTACTAATATTTTATATGCAGTCAAATGTATATAATTTATTATTAGTATCAGTAGTATACACTCTAACTTATAATTGCTATTATATGATAAATATTTGTTGTTAATAATACATTATGATTATAATGTGTATATAAATTCTAACATTGAAATTATTGTTTAAGCAGTTATTAAGTAACAAAACGTCAAATAAAGTTAATAAAAACTAAGTTATATAGTATAGTGTAATACAAACTTCATCTCATTTTTTCTTTATTAATGTCAAGGCCTTGAAGGGAAAAATCCTATTTTGTATGCATTTTAGTATAACTATACTTAACTTATATACTAATTTTAACCCTGTATATTATGTGTAATAATGATGAATTTGGACGTCAAATAATCAAAATTGTTTTGTTTTTGAATTAATTGAAGCAATTTTTTAAAAATTAAACAAAGTTACAAATAGTAATACTTTTTTGATACAATGTTAATAATTAGAAACGTACAAATTGAATCATAATTTAAAGTATTATTTTAAAATAATATCTGTTTAATTTTATATGATATAAAATACTGAATATTTATATGTTTTTACTAACTTTACTAATCAAATGCTTAAAAATCTCAACTTTTAAATTAAATTACAATTTTTTAATTGAAACCGTTTTTTAATTCAAGTATTCAATAAATAATCTGTAAAAAAATGCATCATTTTTTTTAGAAAAACTCCTTGAATTTGATTTAAAATTTTATATAAACAACGCCTTTATTTCAATTAATAATTTTCAATTCAATTGATAACAATAGAGTTTTGCTTACTTTGGAAATACAATAAATTAAGGGAAAACCACTCAGAGATTGATAAGTCTGACATTACGGTTAAACATTAAGGCTATACATTACTGTAGTTTTTTAAAACTAATACAAACAGATTTGTTTTTAAAACCAAACATAAAAAAATGAATAATTGATATATTTTTTTGAAAAAATTTATAGACTTTGAAATATTTTCTATCATAAGCTTAACTTTTCAATCAAAAACAAAAATGTATCGATAAAGCATGAAAAAGGTGTGATGGGTTTCATATAAAGATTTACTGTACAAAAAAACTCATGCTTTTAATGCAAATCCAATTTACAAATGTATAGCCCCTGGCCTTTGATTCATTAAAGACACTTTGAGGGTTTGATTTTTGATTAGCACACAATTTTTTTTATATATCATATAATAAATATCTATATTTTTATATAAATCTTTTAGAAGCAATATATTGCAAATAAATATATTGGTTAAATGTATGGTTATATACGGTATATATAATAATATATACTTTTATTAGCACTAGAAGTACTGTACAACAGGTATGAGCCCACCAGAACCTCACCCAAAACATAATTATTTGAACACAAGGTTACACACTCTCTATCTCTCTCTTCTTTTATATTAACTTTAGACTAATATTTGGTCAGCTCTGAGATCTCAAGGATAACCGATTGATATTACAGGAGATACAGCCCTTCTCTAAGAAGTATATAAAGGGATGACAATCATCTGTATCTTCACTTGAAGTTTTGTTTTGCAAAGACTAACTCCAAACTCTCTAAACAAAAATGAAATTCTTGGTATGTATTCAACTGTTTTTTCTGAATGTTTAGTATATAACAGATAATTAATTTCTTGTTTTGTTTTATTGTCTCAATCAACAGATTGCTGTCGCCTTTGTGGCCCTTTTCGCCGTTGCCTTCGGTGGCATCGTTGCTCCCTATTATGGTGGTTATGGTGGCTATTATAGCGCCGGTTATGCTGCCCCAGTTGCCTATGGTGGTTATTATGGTGCTGGCTATGCTGCACCCGCTGTCTACAGCACCGGTTATGCCTCCCCCTACTACGGTGGTCTCGGATACTACGGTGGATACCTCAAGAAATAAATGATTATTAAGGCTACAACCCAACTGGACTATGATTTTTGATATTGAATTCGTGTATTTGATTATCATTTGTAAAAAAATAAATGTTTTAATGTAAAAAATTTTGTTCAAAATTTAATAAATTCTGTACTGTAACTTAAATACCACAGTTTTGAATTAAATTAAATTAGAATAAATTTTAACAATTTATTAAAAGCTTTAAATACCGATAAAAGTATTTTTTTATTTCACAATTTTATCTAGAATTAAATGGTTATATTTAAAATCAAGTAATAACTATTTTTATTAAATATAAATTGATAACTAAACTAAATTTACAATTGTAAAATCAAATATTTCAAAAAGTTAGTCAAATTATATTAGACATTATATTTTCTTAAACAGGCATTTCTTAATGATTTTGAAAAATTTGAAATCAGATATCAGTCACTTTAATTAAATAAGGTTTGATCACATATACTGCAGTTTTTATATTTTATTTTGGATAAAGTAATGCATTTTAAATCATTCGTTTACTAAAATTGAAAGAAAAATATGTTAACTATTAATTATATGAAATTTGAGTACTTATTTTTATTTTAAAAAACAAATGGGCTTTAATATCATACAAATACTAATCATATTTAATGAAAAACTTAGTTATATAATTGACTATGAAATACAAATAAAAGTTTAATACACAATTGTAAAGATGAAAATATTGTATTTATTTGAGTTTATTGTTTTAATTTCAGGAATTAAGGGTAAGATTTATATTGTAATTATCATAAAATTGTAATAATATATAAAAATTATAGTAAAATTTGTTTGAAAGATAATCCCAATATTTTGTTTATTTCTGGCCTATCATTAGCCTACCGTCCAATTCCTGTCAATTATGTTATGCCTGAAACTAAAACTATATATATAAATCATTTTAATATACCGTCGAGAGAGCCGCAGACCAATTCTGAAATGCAATCCATGACTAATGATATGCAAAATAGTAACAAACAAGAAGACAATAATAACAACAACGCCGAAGTCAAAGACGTTGTCATCAATGAAAGTGAAGAACAATACCAAACAACACAAACACCCAATGAGTTGCCAAAAGTATATCAAAGAGTATACAAATTACCGGCAATGACCAGAATGATTGCCGACACCATTGTTAACGAAGACGATAATCAAAGTAAACACTATATTCAGACTAAGAAATCTCCTCAATGGAGAAGTCCTACACCTTTCAATCACGACAACTGTCCTCACAATATGCATAAAAACAAGAAATTAAGATCAAATAAAAGAAGAGGTAATTATTTATAAATACTTAATAAAAATAATTGTAAGTAATTTGTAATAATAATAATTATATTAAATTATAATTTATAATAAAAATTAGTTCAAAAACATTTCAAACAAATGCCAACAACAATGACAACAACAATGACAACAACAAAAGCACCGGTCATTCAAACAGATGAACTTCGGTCTGAATCACCCCTATTATTGACATTACTATCTGATATTGAATCGCCTCCAGAATCGGAAACACCTAACAAACAACTGATAGATTTCCTCAATAAAGTTCAACCGATTGATATTATGTCAATCATTCGTAAAACACAATCAAAAGTTGCAACTTTTCCTCTCTTTCCTAATCAGAAACCAAATATTTGGAAAATGCCATTATTTATGTCTATTTTAGACAAATTGCTTATCAGAGAACCCGAAAGTCCATACTTTCAACAATCAAATCCATTTCCAAATATTTTGGATAAATCTGAACAAAATATGTATGAAAAACGCAATTTTCTGGACAATGAAAATATAATTGAAAAAACAGATAAGAAATACAATTTTAACTTTAATTTCAATGTAACCGTTAATAATAATTACCAGAATTCTGACACCATTTCAAGCAAACTATTGCCACAACTTTCTCGATCTTTGTTATCATTTTAATAATTTTGTAAACAATTTCAGTATATTTTGTATCAAATTAATAAAATGATATACAATTTGAAGTATGTAATAAAAGTTTAAAATTTATTTTTATTTATGATTATAATTATTTAATTATTTGCATAAATAATATTATTAAACAAGTATTAAATAATATATTATTAAATATCATAAATTTTATAATACAGTGTATATTAAACATAATAAACAAAAAAATCATATTAAATTCATAATAATCTCAAAATGAATTATTATATAATTAAGATAAATAATTACATATATATAAATATAGTCCAAAAATAGACAATACATATAAATAAATAAAAGTTTAAATATTATTATAACTAATTTTTTTACAATATTTGAGTCACATCTAGTGTAAAATTATCCAATTATTTAAATATTTTAGAATTCAATAATATTCATGAATTCCTTATAAAGGAGTTGTATATGAATTTGTGTTTATGTCTGACACTAATTAGGAATTTTTTGAAATTTTGACATTAAATTCAATTAGAAGTTAAATAAATTAAAATATAAATGTCTTTAAATCTTTTTTTAAACATAAAAATAATTGCGGATAATATTTAGAAAATTACAATTTATGGCATTTAATGTAGAATTTTATAATAATTATTACAAATATCTGAGTTATAGTCAATTTGATATTATAATTAACTTTGTAGTGTAATGGGGGGGGGGCATTTGGCCCGTTTGGGTCCCACTTATATACTCTTATATTATTCAATATTATCTAAAGATATTTAAAGTCAATTGTTTTTGTATCTGTAATACACATTCTCTATATATTTCTAATGGTTTAGTATTTATAACTCATTTATCATAATATATGCATAGTTTTTAAGATAATTTTTAATATGTTTTTAATAAGTAAGATATAGTATACTATTTTGTATTCAACTATATAAATATATACACTATATATATATATACATAATTATTAATATATGTTATAATTAGTGTCATTTAATTAAATATCATCAAAAAAAATTGAGAAATTAGTGGATAAACAATATTTTCCAAAATTGATTCAAATAAACTAAAAGCTTACATATATTGTGATTACAAAAATATTTATGATATTTAATCAAATATAAGACTAAAATAGTTTAATATTATTAATATTAAATTAATGACAAAATTGGGAAAAATTAATAGAAATATATTAATAAATTTGTGTAAACTATGAGTCAAATGATTTTGAATATCCTATAAATGAAACAATTATTCAATGCGTGACTATAAGTGGTATATAAGTTGTGTCTAAAACTGTAAATCGATTGTTATATTGAATGCATTGACTGATTGATTGATTGACAAATTGATTGACAGATTGGCGCCAATCGGCAAACACTTAAAGTTTATTAAAGTCTTTTCTCTTTCATTTAATTAACAATTATTGAAGACATCAGTAGTGAAGACATAACTATATAGTGGACACAATTAATGACCAATTGATGCCATACTCTGGTGATAAAGATGTCAAACACTAATAGCGGTGACAATTGTGACAAACTATCGGAGTTTGACACAAAACAATTGGTCGATATTCTCGATGAAATTATCGACAAATGTGAGGCCAATATCATTGACCAACAATCGATTGACAGCTATCGGCGTACTATTGACTCGGACGCTGATAACGACCAAAACGATGACATTATCAATGAGACAGTGAATGGCGATAAAATTGATGAGTCATCTGATGATGAAGACGAGTATGTGGAACCACTTAAACACATCGATACCATTGATGTCACTAAAGAACAAATTAATAGTTCAACAAAGTCTGTATTACGAAGACAACAGAGACAAAGAATGGATACAAAGATAACTAATGATTTATGGGGCGAATCGGTTGGTATTTATGATTGCAATGGAAAAGTCCGCCGAGTGGTCGCTGTCAGCGATTTGCATAATTATCTACTTCTCGAATCAACCGGACTTAAGACCGATTCAAAGATTTATTGTTCATTAATTAGCGATCGGTTCCCGCGTTTCTTCGACAGCACTCGTAATTGTAAGACATTACAGATATATTATAATACAAATTGATTAAAAAATGTTTGACTTATTATTAGATCTTCAGAGATGGCGAATGCGTTATAATATATTTGCTGAACAAGTTTTGGACGATAAAGATGACGATTCATTGGTACACATCGGCGAAATTCACCTATACTTTGATCTTAAGCCTCAATACCGGATCCCTTTTTATGTCAACAATTCATTTTATATGAACGAAATACCCACTGAAAAAGCTATCGATTTGAACAAAAAAGACAAAATATTAGCCGTTATTAACTCTATACTTAATAGTCGAGATATACTTCAACTAAAATTTCCAATCAAATCAGTTAAGTTTCACAAAACAAATGAAATTTTCATTAAATTTACTGAAAGACAACAGGAAATGATGGAAGAAGTCAAAGCTGTTAATCGCAGAGGATTTAAGAAATTCGATGTCATTCCCCAAAGAGATCGTCGACCGCGTGGAGGTCAACATACGAGCCAATCGAGACCATCAGTGAACAGCAATGGCAATGACTTTGACAAAAATAAAAGACAATTTAATGAAAACGACCGTCAGTTTAACAAAAATAAACATAATTTTGATGCAAATAACAGACAAAAATCCCAATATTCGAGTGATAGGAAAAGGGGTTCAGATTATGGTAATTACAGAAATGGCAGACACTTCTCGTCCTCAAATTCAACCAAACGATCGGATTTTGCAAATAATAGAAATGCCAATAAACCGATTGCAGAAAAAGGCGAATTTAAGAAGAGAACCAACAATTACAACAATGTCAACGATTTTGAAGTGACTTTTGAAGACACTCGAGAAAGTCAGTCGAGAAATGTAAATAAGAATTTTAATAACAAAACCAATAGAGGTTTTAACCAAAGAAGAATTAACTCGAATAGAGATCTGGATGTGGATTATAATTACAGAAATCCTCAAATGGAGCCATCGTTTGACAGTTCCAGTCGTAAAAATTCAAGTGATATATTCAAGACTTCAAGTAATARAGGCTATAGTGATATGTCTAATACTGCTAATCATTCAATAACTGGTTACACAAATTTCAACAATCGTCAAACTTATCGCATTTAATTCAAAAGTCATTAAAAAATTAATTAATTAATTTTTTTGTGACGGTTCTAGCAATTGATACAACATTTGGTTATTTCAATACGATTTTGTTTTTAAAATTATTAATATTTATTTGATTTGATTCTCTAAACGTAACTATAACTATATTACAAAACTATAAAATTCCGATTTTTATTTGTATCTATAATTATACTGTCAAAAAATAGGCAATACAAATGTAAAAATATCTATTTTATTATCTAAATTATTATCTAAGTTTAATTAATATCTATAAAATCTATATAATTAATATAATAAGTTAATAATAATAATTTTTATTATGCTATTGTTTTTTATTTTGCTTATTATAGTTATTAATACTGTATTTCTATTTGTCTTAAAGTTAAATACACTGTACAAGTATTTATAACTTGTTTTGAATAATTTGTTTTTTGCAAAAGTAAATAATAAATTTTAGATGAGATATATGATGTTACAAGTTGACCCTGACAACTTAAAATGTAATAATAGCCAAATTTCCCCATTGACTAACATGTAGGTGACATTTGTTTTAATAATAATTTTTTATTGAGATTCAAAAACAACAATCAATGAAAATATATTGTACTTAAAGTTTATTATTATAAAACTCAGTTAAATATTGTATTAACTTTTGATAGTTTTAAATAAGGTTTTCTAAGTAGTTATATAGTTCTCTGTGCTTATATTATTGATTTAATTTTTTAATAAATTAGTAAATTAATAATCCTGATAAGTTTATGCTGTTTTTAGTTATTAAAATTTTGATTTAATAAAATTAATTGAAAATCACAAATGAATAAATACACATTTTATACGTTGATATTATTTTCCATTAATGTAAGTAAGATATACTGTAAATTATCATTCAGTATATTATAAATAACATTGAAATTTATTAATGTATGTTTGTTTTTAATACAATTATTTAATTATAAAATCTAATTTCTTGTTAAATAAATATAGTATTTGTAGATTATTATAAAGTTAATAATCTTTACGAAATTACTATTTTTTAAAAATAGATAATGTTATGTCAATCGTTACCAAAAATGTTGTCAAATGAATTTTGTCATAAACAAGATGACTGTCCCATTAATTATTGCTGTGTTTTGGGTTAGTTTATCACAAATTTTATCAAATAACTAAGATTTTTAAAAATATAGAATATATAATAAAATTTGATATATAAAAATATTTAACACTGCATTTTAACTTTATTATTATAATTTAATGTTAATATAAAAATTTTAATTATAAATGTTGTGAATTAATTTTGAAACAAACAATAATAGGGTTTGAGAGGTATAGTATACCTCATTGTCAACCAATGGGTAAATTTGATGATTGGTGCCGACTATACAATGAACCGCAACAACGATCTCTGGCCTATCCTAATGGACAACATATAGACACTGAAGTATACATTCAATTCTGTGGTTGCAGTGATGGTCTGGTCTGTCAAAGGGCTAAATGTACTTTCAATTCAAGCTTACAATTTGATAACAATTTCATCGACTATTATTAATTCAAATCAATGTTTGATTAATTCAAGAAATTTAAATCATAATATAATTAATTGACTTTTACTATATTTATTTATAAACAATCTAATAATAAAACTATAATCAGTAAAAAGATATTTAAAAATATACATAATTATGATTAATCTAATTATTGAAATTTTTTAATTAACAAAAAAAACTATATTAACTTATATTATACATTTTATATATTTAATTATCTATAAATTAATAAAATGCTAACATTTTTGTGTTTTTTAAATATTTTTAACTAATAACCAGTAAATAATGATATATTACATTGTCTGAGCAAACTTCTAGAAAGTATAAATATTAATATTAAGCGGTAATTATTGTTGAGTCACACACTTTATTAGTTATCCCACAATAAGTCAACCATTTATTTAGTTAAATATAAAGTATATATAAAAAGTTTTTTTAAATGATTTGTCCGAATAATAATTTTAAAAATTTGCAAAAAAATAATCTACTAATAAAATTCAAATAACAAACCAAATTCATTGAAATATTGGTATAAAAATATTACAAACAAATAAATCACTTTTTAAATGTAATATCAGAATCATTCTGATAAATGAAATATACTGTAGATATGATGATATAGTAATGATTGTAATATAATGAAAATTTATTGAAATGTCATTGAAATAATATAAATAACTAAATAAATTCAAATGGATTATAGATAAAAACTAATGTATTTGGTTAATAATATTCAATTTTTGTTAATAACATTTAAGTATTGAATCAAAACAACCCTTTTTAAATTTTCAAACATATTAAATATAAAAATATACAGTAATATATGATTTTTCTTATTATGTAAGAGTTTATTTCAATTTTAGACATAATATAATAGTATTATACTACTAGTATACTGTAGATTTAAATAAAATTTATTAAATAATTTATTATAAATATTAAATGTTTTAATTAATTATGAAAGCATCAATTATAAAAATAACAAATGTTTGTACTCATAATAAGTAATTAAAAGCATATACCGGTAGTATTATATAAAATAAAAACATTTTAAAACATATTATATTATATTGAATAGTTTATTACATAAAATATATGATAAGTTTCGTTAAATAATGACAATATAATTAATTGCTGACAAAACAATTGACGTAATTTTAAATCAGATAAATTAAATATATTACGGTATATATTATATATTATGATTAAAGTTGACAAATATAGGAAAAATTTTTATTTTAATATTTATAAATCTTTATTAAAATAATAATCATATAAAATATAATTCTATCATATGATATAATACTGAATAAATATAATTACTGCTATTTTTAATCTAACTAAAATTAATAAAAACTATGGACCACTTAGGTGTAATTCACTTATTACGTTCGCACTTAGGGGGGGGGGATTGGGAGTGTCGGCCAAAACTAACTTTTGCGAAGATGCGATAATATGTGAATCACCCCTTAGTTGACATTTATTGAAAATTACTTATCATTTTATATTTATTTAATTTAGCATTAATATTTAATTACATATTAATTAATATTCTTATCTAAATAAATATAATAAAATTTAATGATAATTTTATTTTAAATAATAGTTATTTAATTATTTTGAATATGTATTTAACAGTAATCTAATTATATTTAAATTGAGATTTAAATACCAGTGTCAATTTTGTTTTGTTAACTTTCAATTTCCGACCGTTTATTTTTTGTTTTTAGTGTTTCTAATTAGTTCCTGATTTTTTTTGCTTTAATTATGATTTATTGTTAAATGCATACTAAAGTCAAGTGATAGCTTTGTCAATATATTCAATAAAATATTAATTTTTATTAGTTTGCTAACATATAATGTTTTAGTTTGTAAATAAAAAAAATATTTTTAGAAAAAATATTAAATATATGTTAATTTCATATAATAAACTTTATATTTTTACACTACTGTTGTATATTTCCTATTTAATATTTTCTTATAAAACTTATCAATATTTATATTAATCACATTCATAATAAATAAAACTTTAAATACACAAATACATTGTATAAAAATAGTATATTATAAATATATTATTAATTAAAAAATGGTGAAAACTATCAGCCAGCTTATCAAATAATTGATAAGTCTATTAACATTATATTACTAATTGGCATATTTATTACACCCTCAATATTAATATTTTAATTACAACTTAATTATTAACATATAATTTTAGAAATCTTTAAATAATTAATTATAAAACATTGTCTATAAATAAAATAATAAGATTTATGTATTTGTCTCCTAACTGGTCATCCCTGGGTATCGACAGTATGTCAGATAATGACTGCAATCATATGACAGTATAGTAGTGTGTATTGAAGTACACAATAATAGTGGGGTCGATGTGTGTGTAAACTCTGTAATCCACTGTACGATAGGCTATGGAGTTGTAGTCAAACAAACAGTGAGTTTTAGTTTAGACGAAGTGAGCACTCAATCAATGGTTATGTTATAATAATTCATAGTTTGTATCAATTATTATAATACAAATTAATTTATGATTTATTATTACAATTATTATTATTATTATACAGTATTATACACTATATGTTAGTTATCGATAACCCATTTGTTTAGTCAAATAAAAATGATTTTAAATATTATTTTTGTCAACAAATAAACAATAAAATGATAAATATTTTGATACGAAATATAATATTTGTATAAAAATAATACACAGTTTTGTCGATAAAATGAGTGATAATATAGTGAATAATAAGACACCGATAGATGTTTTGGTGACCACTGGCGGTGGCGACCATCTCATCGATTTGGATGTCAATGAAACCAAAGAAGATAAGACATATGTCTGTTCATCTGAGTCTTCATTATTGTCATCAATAGTCTCGATGTCAGACTCGATGAATGCAATGCATAATATGCTGAGTCTGAGTGAGTCATCACCAGTCAGTCCTACGACTAACAGCCCTACCAATGGTACGACACCTGCGAACCCCGTCATCAATGGCTGCGACTCTATACTACCAGATGTGACATACGTTCAAACAAATCTGACTTCACTGTCTGCCTCAGCAAACACTTCTTATTTATCTAATTCTCACGGAGAAAGTCAACCATTACTGAGAAGAATGGACTCAACTGACTATTCCGTAGTCAGCAATACTTTTCCCGAAGATCCAGAATTTCAATCGGTTGTCAAAGAGGTTGAACAGGCTATTGACAATGGGATACTTCCTAAACGTATTAAACAGGGATCCAGTGGCAGCTATTTTGTCCGCAATGGTGAAGATACGGTATGTTATCATTTGGTGATATTTTATTTTAAAAATGAATACTAAAATTGTTTTCATTTACGGTAATAGAAAACTGTTGGAGTGTTTAAACCCAAAGATGAAGAGCCGTACGGAATGTTGAACCCAAAGTGGACCAAATGGATGCACAAGTTATGCTGTCCCTGTTGTTTTGGTAGGTCATGTCTTGTACCTAATCAAGGATATCTATCAGAAGCCGGTGCCTCACTTGTTGACCAAAAATTACAATTAAATGTCGTCCCTAAGACTAAGGTTTGTTTTGATAATAACCGGTAATTGTTTATTAGAAATATATTATATTTGATAAATATTTTCAATGAACAGGTGGTAAGACTTTCATCCGAGACATTCAATTACTCGGCTATCGATCGGGCAAAGTCTGCGACCAAAAAGAATGTAAACGAAAGGTTTCCAAATGTTGGCAAACATTTTAATAGATTAGGTTTACCACCAAAGGTGTGTTAAATTTTTGTTTATCTAATAATATAAAAAGTAATTATCAATAATATATCGATTAATATATCTGTTTATATTACCAAAAGGTGGGTTCTTTACAAACATTTGTTGAGAGCTTCGAAGACGCAGCCGTTTGGTTAAGACGTTTTGAAGACAATCCATTGACTGAAGAAGTGCTCAAAGATTTTCAGTCGCAATTTGAGAGACTTGTAGTTCTCGATTATATTATAAGAAACACTGATAGGGGTAATGATAATTGGCTCATCAGATATGAAAAGCCTACAAAACCTGTTGAAACACAACCACTCACTTCTTGGAATCCTAAGAGATGTCCATTTATTAAAATAGCGGCCATTGATAATGGATTGGCCTTTCCTTTTAAACATCCTGACGAATGGAGAGCCTGTGAGTGATAGTAATATTTATGGTATCTTAAGATATTTGAAGTATAATTTTTAATTTTATTAGATCCATACTACTGGACATGGCTTCCGTATGCTAAGCAACCATTCTCGGATCAAACGCGAGATTTAATTTTACCACAACTTTCAGACATGAATTTTGTTCAGGAATTATGTGACGAACTCTACGAACTATTTAAATCTGATAAAGGATTTGACAGAAATCTTTTTGAAAAACAAATGTCAGTTATGAGGGGACAGGTATGTTGTTTTATAATTGATTATTTTGTGTTTACATATAATGAAAATATTTATATGAAATTAGATTTTAAATTTGACTCAAGCCTTAAAAGAAGGTAAGTCTCCGTTACAATTGGTTCAAATGCCGGCCGTAGTTGTCGAGCGTTGTCGTGGATCAACACAAAGAGGTCGAATTCGAGCTATGACTGAGACTTTCACTCAAAGTTTTCAACGAAAAACACCATTTTTTTCGTGGTGTTGAAGAGCATGTCTTCAGTGCCGGACATTATAATTGTCCACTAATTTTAATAATTGTTGTCTAATATAAAAATACTTTAATTCAAATAATGTTTGTATAAATTTTTTTTGTCGAATACTAGTTTTTGAGTCATAAACCTATTGTTATAAATCATAGTCACATTAATATAAAATTTTTATAACCGGCTGTGATATCCTAAATATATTCCGAAGTATTTAAAATTGTTAAATAAATTTTTTAAATTTATTCAAAAAAATCTGTTATTTTTTGGTCACATTTTATTGTTAAGATATTTTTATTAAGACATTTTATAATATACATATAATTGTTGTGTTAATAATAATAATAATAATAATATTGTTCACTTTGAATATATTGTATGCAAAAATGTTAAGATTTTTTCATAGAAAATATCTAAACAGCAAATAATTCATAAAGAATTTAATTATTATTAGCAAATAAATAAATATTTAGTGAAAACAATTGTATATAATATGAAATATATAATTTTGAAAATAATATTTTGAATATTTTATTCATTAGTCATTCTTAAATTTTATCGATATAAGTAGTTAAATATTAAATAGATAAATGAGCATGCTAATATTTTAGTATAGTATTTATCATACATCAGAGTAATATACTATACATTCATAGTGACAATAAACTCAAAATACTATAATTTATGTGTTTATATACTCTATATATATATATATATATTTATCCGGGAATTATAGTAGATATCTATCCAAAGTTAATATACTATAGATTCTTATGGTTTTATATAAACACATTTCCACAAAAAAAACATTTAAAAAAAACTACAAAATAATACAGATTACTATAGTATGGAATTTTTGTTAAACATTTAAGAAATATTCGATTAATTTGTTAAATATTTGCTAAAATAATAATAATATTTATTTAGTAAATTGCAATAAATTGAATTTCCAATGTTTTATTTATGATAGAACTAAATAATTTGTTTATAAAAGTTTTAAAAATGTTAAAAAAGATAACCTATAACTGTATTAAAGTTAAATTCAAACATTAATGTCATTGAGTTTTTCTAAACTTTTTAAGTGAAATAATTTCAATATGAAATAGGGTTATAACTTACAAGATATACGTAGACATTAATAATATAGTATTTAATTACCGCTGATATAACATAACTGTTTGATTTGAAAATTATTTTATTGTTAACTAAATTATAACTTAATAATATTTAAGTGTTAAATCAATTTTGAATAAAAATTAAAAAAAAATATATGTGATTAGGTTTGAATATAAATCAAACAATTTTAAAGCATATAATATTTTGGTTTTTTGAGCACTTATTTGATTACAATATATATAATAAATATTTAAATTGAATCATTAAACTAATTGACCATGCACATATTATATTTTACAAGTCTATATAATTACGTTTTGTTTAACGTATTTATTGTGTCGCTTATTGTTTGTGTATTGATGTTTGAACATTAGCCATACATAACACAAATTTGCTTAAAGTTGGTATCAATAAACTGTAAGATGTTTACAGTGCACAACACTATACCCGTATAAATACTTTACTAAAACAGTGCTATACTTTACTGTATAGCAATTGAAGTGAGTATTAAAAGAGCAAATGCATGTAATATATGATATGAATTGTATGAACACATATTAATCTAATACTGTATATAAACAAAGCAACCATTGATTGAATCATTGATTAATTAATTATTGTTTTCAAAGATATTTATATGAATTGAATGCAAACACTAATCACTAATTTATTGATTGATTTGTTTGACTTTAATTGATAACCAATTAATACATTGAATGAAGTGATTGATTGTGTTATGTCTTCACTTATCCAACGGGTTGTATAAAGTGGTGTCGATTCACATGAAAACAGCGTTTCATTTGAAGACTTCTTACTTTAATTATTAACTAAAAGACGAGTAACTAATGGTTTATATATTAATATCATTTAAGTATTAATTGATTAATAATTGATTTGCAGATATGTTGGCCACCAATGAAAGTGCGGACGTTTGGGTTGAGACCAAAACAGGTGACGGAAAAGTGTATTATTATAATGCAAAGACACGAGAGACCACTTGGACTAAGCCGGACAACGTTAAACTGATTTCTCAGGAACAGCTCACCACTAATGCCACTCAAGAAGGTTTGTTTTAATCAAGTCTTTATTATCTATTATACATTTATTTATCAAATTAGACAAAAAGGAGGACAACAGCGGTGACCAAAAGGTTGAGATCACTGGAGGTCCTGTAAGTGGACCTCCTGTTGGTCTCCAACAGCCCACACTTTTTCCACAAGCGCCGCGATTTATGGGACCGCCGTTTATGCATCCGATGTCTCACTCGGGTTTGTTGGCTATTAAAACAAGTATTTTGGTTATCAAACATAATTAAATTGTTTATGTAAACAGTGCCCCCATTTGGTCCATACGGTGTACCTCCAGGATTTCCAGCACCTCCATGGGCACCACAAGTACCTCCCGTTCCATTGGTTAATTCAGATCCAACTAAACAACAATTATTTTTTGACGCTTCGATTGATCCAGAAATACGAATGGCTGCGTCTGAATGGACTGAATATAAAACACCGGAAGGAAAATCATATTACTTTAGTTTGAAAACACAACAATCGGTTTGGGATAAGCCTAAGGCTCTCATGGATTTAGACGGTATTTTATATTTTAACAAATCTTTCAATTTATTTGTTTGTTTATATTTGTTTATTTTTATTACTTAGAAGCGATAGCTAAGTCACAGAAACAACAGATGGAAAATAAAAGTATGGCTAAGAATGATAAGGAGTTAAAGAATGGTGAGGTAAGCAATGAGATATTGATCGACGACAACGATAAGAATCAACAGATTTTAAGTGAAGAAATTAAAAAACCCGAGAAAAAGACAGAACCCGTTCGCGATAAGTCTAAACCAGTTTCGAGTACCGCTATTACAGGAACGCCGTGGTATGACATGAATTAATTGTTTAGTTAATTGATTGTGTTTTATATAATTAATTTGAATTACTAATAGGTGTGTTGTTTGGACGGGTGATAGCAAAGTATTTTTTTACAATCCGAGTACTCGAACATCTCTATGGGAGTGTCCGCCAGAACTTAAAAATCGAGCCGACGTTCAACAGTTGATGAAAGAGCCGCCAAAAGAGAAAAAAGAGGACTCGGATTCAGAATCGGGAGAAAAGAGACAAATAGAACCCAAAGAGGAAAAACCAAATAAAAAACAAAAGTAAATATATTTAAATTTACAATTAATTAAGTTTATCGAAATTAAATTTAATATAAAATTAATAACAAAAAATAGAAAAATAGAAGAAGAGAAAGAAAAAGAAAAAGAAAAAGAGGAAAAGGAAACTAAAAAAGATACGACTAATGAAGCGGAACTGATGGCAGCCAAACAACGCGAAACGATTCCACTCGAAGAACGAACGCAAATGTTTAAAGCTATGCTTATCGAGAAAGATGTAAATATATAAATATATTTGAAATGTTTGTCGAAATTATTAAAACCATTGAATTGTTGATTAGGTGTCGGCATTCTCGACGTGGGAAAAGGAGTTGCATAAGATTGTGTTTGACTCCCGATATTTGATTCTTACGGCACGGGAGAGACGACAGGTTTTTGATAAGTATGTAAAGGAGAGGGCAGAAGAGGAAAGACGTGAAAAGAGACAACGACTCAAACAACAAAAGGATAACTACAGACATCTTCTTGAAGAAGCAAACCTAACACCGAAGTCATCGTTTGGAGAATTTGCTCAAACATATGGCAAAGACGATCGCTTTAAGGGAATCGAAAGAATGCGTGAAAAGGAAACAGTTTTTAATGAATTTTTATCTGATTTAAGAAAAAAGGAAAGGGAGGAGAAAGCCGTCTCACGAGAAAAGGTATAGTTATTAGTTTTGAATCCAATTATTTATTATTAATTCTAATTAATCATTGATTTCATCAAATTTATATTAGAAGATATTTTTGCTCTTAATTATAACAATTTATTTTCAGATATATATATTAATCTAAATTTTTATTTTTCAGTGAAATAATATAAATATATATAAATATTGTGCAAAATGTTATTATTTTTGACTTTCAGATAATCGGAAACAATGAGATTGTGATGAGTACTGAATTCTTTGCTTTGAGGATTGCATTTGATTTAATGACTTTGCAATTCATTTTACGGTACATACTATTGGCTTAAATATAAACTATTTATTAACCATTTAATCAATTTAAAAGTCATTTTCTCAATGATTTTGAGAAAAAAACGTTTCCACGATTTTACCCATAATTTAGTATATATTACGTTTGCGCTGCGATTATTACATTATAATAATTATAATTTTTTTAATTTATAATATTTGTTTCACTAATAATTTATTTTTATTTAATTATTTACATTTGAATTTATAGGCCAAACAAGGATTTTTAGAATTACTTAAAGAACAGACATATTTAGATCGCAACTCTTCGTGGACGGAGACGAAAGACAAGATTCGTGACGATCAACGTTATAGAGCATTGGAGAGCAGTTCCACTAAAGAAGATTTGTTCAAACATTACATTTCACGATTGAGTTCATCGAGAAATAATGGTTCCGATGCAGAAAATTCAGACATTAAGGAACGGGAAAAACAGGAACGCATTAAAGTCAGTCTTATTGAAAGAGAACGGGAAGTAAATCGCGAACTGTCAGCACATCTACGGGAAAGAGATAAGGAAAGAGAGCAACACAAACATACCGAAGCCATTGAAAATTTTAGCGCTTTATTAACTGATTTGGTCAGGAATTGTGACATTTCGTGGAGAGAATCGAAAAAGATTATCAAAAGAGATCACAGATGGGAGTTAGTGGAGACATTGGACAGGGATGAGAGGGAAAAGTTGTTTAACGCTCATATCGATCATTTGTTTAAGAAAAAGAGAGAAAAATTTAGACAATTGTTAGCTGAAGTCAAAGACATAACACTTTCAAGTCGTTGGAAAGTAGTTCGCAAACAAATCAAAGACGATTCGCGATATATTAAGTTTTCGTCGAGTGATCACAAATGCGAGCGAGAGTTTGATGAATACATGAAAGACAGGCTATCTATGGCTAAGAATGAGTTCCGAGAGTTACTCAAAGAGACTAAAATTATCACTTATAAGTCAAAGAAGATGATGGAAGAATCGGATCAACACTTATTAGATATTGTAGCCATTCTTCAGAATGACAAAAGATATCTTGTATTGGATTCATTTGAAGACGAAAGAAGACATTTGCTTATGAATTATATCACAGAAATGGATCGTTTGGGTCCACCAAAACCTATAACTAGTTCTGATTCCACTCGAAGAACAAAATAAAAAGAAAAAACTATTTTTATTAATGTAATGACATTTTGATTATTATTATTATTAATTAGAATTTTCGTTTATTTACTGACTATTTGTTTAGAGAAAAAAGTATTGTTTTTATCATTTAGTTTTGTAATCAAACAGATATAGATATTATCTGTCAGTTTATGTCTAATTTAACTCATTATCACGATTTGCTTTAAAAATTTGTATATCATTTATATTTATTCAATATATACAATAATATGATAATAAAAGACATTTTATGAAATATTTTGAATCAGTATTTTATTGAATTTATATATAAAATTATAATTTCTCTAATATTTATTGTGTTAATCATATCATATAAATCCTATCCTTAGAGACGAAAGTATTTACTGATCACTATTTTATTAATATTATTATTATTACTTAATATGAGTTTTGAATACAAACTTTTTCATTGAGTATAATATTTCATTCACTAAACAACTCAATTGACAAATAAGTCAATGATATAAAATGGGATCAAAAAAATTGGAGATTTGTATCGATAGTATAGAGTCTGGAGTGGCAGCTCATGAAGGAGGCGCCCATAGAATTGAATTATGCAGTGCTCTGGAGGTAATTGTCTTAAAAATCTTGTTTTATATGATTTTATATTGTTTTATGTCAATTGAAAGGTCGGTGGTTTGACACCAACTGTTGGACTGTTGAAACAAATCCAACACTTGTGTCCATCGATGACCATCTATGCTATGATCAGACCTAGAAGTGGAGATTTCTGCTATGATTCAAATGAAATACAAATTATGCAAAAAGATATTCAAGTTCTTAAGTCTGAAGGAGTCAATGGTTTTGTATTTGGAGTTTTGAAAACAGATGGAACCGTTGACTACAAGAACTGTCAATTATTGATAGGTATATACAGAACATTAATATTGCAATATTTGGCATCACTTCCAACACTTCTAATATATTTTAATATAATGTGATTAATAATTTCAGAAACGGCATCACCACTGGACTGTACTTTTCATAGGGGTATATATCATATGAAATTAACAGATCTATTGACATACATCTATTGCTCAACACTAGCATATAAATTATGATTTTATAATTAACTTTCATTTAAAATAATAGCCTTTGATGTGGTCAATGATGCGAATAAAGCGCTCGAAGAAGTAATAAAACTTGGATTCACTCGTATTTTGACCAGTGGTCAGTCAAAGACCGCAATCGATGGATTGGACAACATATCAAATCTGGTGGTTAGGGCTCAAAACAGGATTATTATAATGGCCGGTGCGGGCGTTACGGAGGATAATATGCAATTGATTTTAAGTAAAACTAATATCAATGAAATACATTCATCGGCCAGTTGTGTCAAAAAGTCTCAAATGTCTTTCCGCAACACCAATGTCTCGATGGGAAGTAATGTTGAAAATGAATATAATATTAAAGTGACTTCAACTCAAAGAGTCAACAAAATGATTGATATATTAGTGAAAAATTATTGATATTTATAACGATTTATATTATTTTTTAAAATTAAATTAAAATTACTGGTAATTGAAATTAAATATTTTTTTACGATATTATAACACTATTTTGTTGATATATTCGGTAATTTAAATGCCGTAATATATACTCAAATAATTTTAAAAGTAAAAAAAAGTTGAAATGACATTTGAAGTTCACATTACTATCCATTTCGGCTACAAGTTTACCATAGTTTGATTGAATTCATCAAATGTTATCAATTTCATCATCAGTTTAATTGATCAACAAAATTATCATTGATTTAAAATAAACTAATTATAAGTTATTATATACAGTATTTACTGTTAAATGTAAATGCATTTACATTTAATTAACTTATCATTCAAATATTGAACTTCACATTTCATTTTTAATGTCAAAATTATAGATACTGTATATAATTAATAATAATATCTATAATTAAAATTATAACTTTGATATTTCGTTAATTAAAATTTTTCTTTGAGTATTGTATGTATATTTGCCAAAAATATGCATGGTTAAAAAGTGAATAATTACGATAATATACAGTAATTATTAGACTAAATTTATTAAAAAGTCCAAATCTATTTAGAAAAATAATTTTAAAATTTAAATTTAAAAAACAAATTCTTTACTAAATATATAATAAATTATATTTCATAATTTTTGAGTGAATTTTATTGAATTGAAGCTCATTATTGAAAACAATATATTACAGTAAATATAATTTGTTTTATAAAAGTAATTTTCAAAACATAATTACCGTAAATATTGAAAATAGACTAAAATAAAAATTATTGTTTAACTATTGCTGAGTCTCTATTTGAAAACTAACTTTAGACAGATCCCCGAGTCCGACCTCAATAGTGTCGCCTGGATTTACTGAACCAACACCTGAAGGAGTTCCAGTAAGTATGAGATCTCCCGATTCAAGTGTGAAGTATTTGCTAATATAACTAATTATTTGTGGGATTTTGAAGACCATATCAGAAGTGCTAGCATTTTGTCGCATAACTCCATTGACTTTACACCACAATTGCAATGCATTTGGGTCTGCAATGCTTTCCTTGGGAATAAAGTTGCCGACGGGACAGGAAGTGTCAAAACCTTTAGCCAAAGACCACGGAGTGCCCTCTTTTTTGGCTAAATCCTGCCAATCGCGGGCAGTCATGTCTAAAGTGACAGCATATCCGCCGACATAATCCATGGCTTCACTCTCACTAATATTGAATCCCTTTCTGCCAATTATGACTCCAAGTTCTACCTCATGATGTAATTGCTGACAACCAACCGGTACTCTAAAAATTTGATACAAATCCGCAAATTAATATCAAATTTACTAAAAACGATAACCTATAAGACAACCACAGTTTGAATGCTAATTATAACACAATTATATAATTATAACACAATTATATAATTATAACACAATTATATAATTATAACACAATTATATAATTATAACACAATTATATAATTATAACACAATTATATAATTATAACTTTAATTGTGTGATAACCTAATCGTTAGTTAAGAATCAATAAGTAATACAATATATTATCAGACATTTGATAACTGCTATACAATGTTAAGCCTAAGGTATGTCTCAATTATTGCATCACTTTTCGGTCAATTCATAAATGTTTGCATTAATTCATTCATACCTTAAATCAGATATCAATACAATTCAATACATACTTAATAGGATTGCCTTCAGTCACATAAGCAGTCGCTATAAATGACAAAACAAATCAAAATTAAAGTCACATTAATAGCCAAAAAATTGCAATCAATTGAATGCAAACCTGGTTTGAGAAAAATCATGGGTTTGTCGGGCACTTTGCCACCCATTTCGGCCGCGTGTTTGCCATAGTTTTTACCCAAACAGACAATCTTTCGGCCAAATTCAACAAATCTGGTCAATCGCATCACTTTGTAGGCCAACAATATAATCGCCGATTTAATCAATTTAATGGTAAACAAGTTGTGTAAACAACTTATCAGTCAATCCGTCAAATGTTTGAGTGTCGACACTAACTAAATGTTAACTTCAATTGCATTCAATAGACGTCTCTTTAAATAATTTATTTCAAATATTTAAATAAAACTTTTTATTAAATAAATTAATAATGATTTAAATATTTATATGATATTTATTTATCTAAAAAAATTAACAAATGACTTATATATGTATTTGTTTTATATATGTAAAAAAAATTAACAAAAAGTTTGAGACATTTAACGGATTATTTAGCAATCAATGTATTGATTTATCTCTCACTTGAAGTCTTGATAGAAATATATTCAAAATATTATTTACTTTATTTGAGTAAATATTTTATTTAGAATTTATTTAGAAAATTAATATATTATTTGTGTAAATATAATGGTATTTTGGGGACTTGTATTAGCCCGTGGATCCAGTAAATCAATACCACATAAAAATATACAATTATTGGATAACAAACCATTGATTGGATGGGTTTTAGAGCCTATGAAAAATAGTGCGGGTATTGATTTGATTTGATTTTTTTTATTAAATTAATATAACAACTAAAATATCATTTTTTTAATATCCAGTTTTTGATGACATATGGGTGTCAACTGATGACAAACAGATTGCATCGATTGCACAATCATATGGTGTCAAAGTTCATGACAGAAGTCAAGAGAGTGCTACCGATTCTTCATCATCTTTGGCAGCAATTCTTGAATTTATTAAAACACATAGAGGTTTGGTTTGTTTGTTTAAATATAAAAAATTTATTTTTTTAAACATTTTGAAATACAGGTGCCGATCAAATATGTTTAGTTCAGTGCACATCACCTTTTCTAAGGGAACAGTACTTAAAAAGTGCTTATCATTTAATGATTGACCAGAAATATGATTCCGTTTTTTCTGTATATCGAAGTCATTGTCTTCGTTGGTCTATTGGTTTAAATGCATTGAATTTTGATGAACATTGTCGTCCCCGAAGACAAGACTGGACTGGTTTGGCTAATAAATTGATTTATTGTAATATTATACTTAATTATTATTTCTAACTGATCCAAATGCAGGTGAATATGTAGAATCGGGTCATTTCTATTGCTTTACCACAGCATTGGTTCAAAATGATGGGATTCTTCAGGGAGGCAAATGTGGTGTCATTGAAATACCTAAAAAATTTTGTTTAGAAATTGACGATATGTTTGATTTACAATTAGCTAAATATTATCGCAATTTTTTTTAATTATTGAATTTTATATACAAATTTATTATAAGTACTTTATCAAAATTTATAGCGTAAAAATAATATACAATATGTAAAGAGTATAAATTAAGTACAAATATGGAATATTTTTATATACATAATAATAGTAATAATTACAAAATTACAAACAAAAAAATTATAAATATATTATAAATGTTGACACATTATAAAGAAAAGGCAATTTGTATAAAATGATGAAAAACTTGATTTAAATGTTGAGTCAATTGGTATTAAATTGTTTTGAATGGGAGATAGAGTTGGACTAATTCGGTTGTTTCGTTTGATTGTCGATGAATTGGATTTATTTCTATGGATCAGATAAAAAGCCACTGATTTAAGATAAATAACAGCATTTAAATTAGTCGCCTGAATGTCATGAGTGACAATCCAATCCCAGAAAACGTCGACATCTTTACTGAACTGAATGGCACCGGAAGTGGAAAAGTAATGAAGAATTCGTTTATTCTTTACGACACAATTGACAAAAGCTGTGGCAAACTCTTCGATTAAATTTTTAAACAAATCTTTTGATTGATAATTAAAATCTTTATTTAAAATGTCATTAATTGGATCCAACATTGTTTTAATTATTATTTCAATCCATTGACTATTTGAAGTACATATTTCTATCAAATAAAGTAACAGTTTATTAATAACTGAATTATTAATTTAGAATTTTAAAATAAAATAAAATTTTAAAATATATTAAATACATTACTTTTTCTGTATTGTTTAATTGGTAAAGACCTTGATATGAATTTTTGTGTTTCAATTTGCATATATTCCTTACTTTTTACTAAAGATTTACTTTTAATTGTATCTAAATTTTTAATATAACTTGAAAGCCATTTATAGTTGATGTTTGATAGCAATTCAATAATATTCTGTAATAAAAATATTTTTTTCAGAATAATTTATAAAAAATAATTCAATAAAAATGTCAAAATCATATATACATTAACGTCCAAAATTGAAAGTGCAATAAACTGAGATAAATAAGAGCCCATTTCCTGAGATAATTTATTTTCTACAAAATCAGTAAAAATATCGATCAAATTGATAACTATATTCTCAATAATAATGTCGTTAACATTTATAACAGTTTGATATTTAATTTTAATGCCGATTAACATCTCAATCGTTTCCAACAAAGCTAAGCCCACATTTGTTATCATCCTTTTGTCACAATTATTATTGCTATTTATAGATAGTTTGGATATTTGAATCGTTTTCAAGAAATCATCAAAATCTGAGTAAATATTTTTTTAAAATTCAATAATTTGTTATAAAAAATATTATAAAATTTTAATTAACATACGTGTACTATAATTATGAAATGCAAGTCTTAATAAAATGTTATATTGAGTCAACTCTAATGGTTTGATAGCTTCTTCGAGAAGATCTTTTTCTTGAATACATAAATCTAAAATATCATTCACACGAATTGCTTTAATATGATTGTAAATTATACTAATGGGTACCGATGTATAGCTAGTCTCACAAAAACACAATGAATTTTCAATAAAATGATCAAATTTAGTCCAAAATAAGCTCCAAAACAGTTGATCCCATTCTTGACATAAACTTTGTTGTCTTCCATAAGAACCGTCACTACTTTTTGACCATTTTTGTCGATTACCACTTCTTTTAGCCAACTCTTGTCCACCAGATTCTTGATTTCCAAAAATTATTTTTAATAAAATTCTTTGATTTGATTGAATTAATATATTAAAGACTATTTTTACTTCTTTGCTATATTTTAAGTCTCGATTATCAATTGCTTTATTATTATTAATAATATTATTATTGTTTACTAAAATTGCTGTCGACTGTGAAGATATACTAAAATAATCAGATGTAATATCTTCTGAGTTGTTTTTTCGCTGAATTAATTCATTAAAAAAATTATCATTTTTATTATTATTATTATTAGTCGTATAAGTTTCAATATATTTATTAGTTTCATTGTAGAGATAATATAAAAATTTATTGATTGTAATATTCACTTGATTTGAAGAGATTGTATCGATTATATTAATTGCATTGATTTGTTTGCTAACTAAAAGTTTATTAAAACTTTGTACACAAATGCAAATACAAGAAATGCATTCAAGAGGTAATGAATCGATGAGTGATGTCATGATTTGGACATTAATTTCAAGGATAACTCGTAATAAATGAATGGCTAAAAACCTGAGATTCTTGAGCTTTCTTACAGTGATTTTGACCATTAAGTCTAATGTCTTATCATTTGTCTCAACGTGTGTCACATTCATCAGTCGTTTAGCATTAGTTTGTAAAGAAATCCATGAATTACTTCTTAAATCAATTTCTTCGCACAAATTCTTTCTTATTTCGCAACTTTTCACGAAACTATCCAATATTTTAGTTTTTCTTTTATCTTCAATTTTATTAGATTTCAATGATTTTAATCTATAATTATTTTCAAAATACAAATCCCTGAGTTCTTGTAGTAAATCATTTGCTTTGTTTAACCGATTAATACAGTCATCTCTGACAGTGATTTTGCATTTGTCGATCAAATATTTGTGTAATTCATTAATTCTTGTATTCAATTGATTCACTTCTTGAGCGCTTAAATTCTGTAAAAATTCTTTATTGTAAAACATTTTGTGTATATATTCTAATAATTGCGATCCTTTTAGTATAGTCTTGTGGTCGCCAATCACTGGCTTATCATTGATGGCACTCATTGTAGTACTTCTGTTGACACCTGATTTCACTCTTCTTTTATATTTTAAATTATTCATTGGATTTAAATTATTATTATTATTATTATTATTATTTGTTAATAATTTATTAATTTTTAAAATACTTTTATCTTTATTCTTAATTGAATTAACTTCAAAACCATTTTTTATCAAATCAATACTTGATTTTTTCTGAGTCACACTCATTATTGGACAAAATATTGTAATTTATAAAATATTTTATTAAGTTTTAATTAATTTAATTACATCATCACATTTATGTTAATAACTTATAATTTATTAGCCATTTATCAAATTTTAACAATAAATTATTACTTTTAAAAAACAAGTATTTCATTTTTGAAGGAAATTCTGTATAGAATTGCAATACAAACTTAATAATCGTTATTTGATGTGTTTTGTGATTATTATGTAAACTAAAAGTTTGTTTTGGAGACTAATTGTTGCCAACGGAGACCTAACAGTATTTTCATAAGAATCGGTTCTTTTATTATTTGCACTTATTTTTCAACTAATGTTTATATCTTATTATAATAATATTAAAAAATAATAAAAATAATAAATGAATATTTAGTAATCTATTGAAAAAATTTACACAATAATCTATTATCGAGTTATTATTATGATTATTATTATGATTATTGGCATTTATATCCTATGAATAAATTACATTAAATAACCATAGCTTATAATCACAGTTCCAATACAAAAATACAATAGAATAAATAGATTCAATAATATTTAATTTTAAAAAATGATTATTTATTTAAATTTTTTAATTAATTGTAATTTCCATTTATATTAACCAATAACTTACAGTAAATTTATTATACAACGAAAACTGAAATTATATATCTTATTAGAATTTTTTATATAAAATAATTTTTTAATTAAACAATATTAAAATACATTTAAAAATGTGTATTTTAATAATAAAAATGATATCTAAACTATTTTAACATTACTTACTGACTTTCTGATCATTTAAATATGTAAACATAATATTTGATTATTATTATCACAATATACTCGTTAGTAACGAGTTGTTACAATATAAATATTTTTATAATAATTTTAATGCTTAAAAACTTAAATTTCAAGCATTTTAATTTAATAGCAGTAAAATGTAAAAATTGTCTAAAAATAATTAATTGGATTAATCACAAATGTTTTTTCTAAAGATATAATTAATTGAAATCTAACACATTTATGATCAAACAAATAATATAAAATAAGACTACTGTACAGTAAATTTATATATTATATACTGTATATTACAATAAATTATTATAAAATCAAAATTTTTTCTAATTATTTAATATTTTTATGAAGTCATTCTAGTAGTCAGTATTATAATTTGAATGACTGTTAATTGTAAAATATTTAGCATTTAAAGTATATAAGTATTTATTGAATTAATAAAATACCAGTTTATTTGTTAATTTATCTTTTGATTATTTGTTTGTTTTTTATTTGCTCCAAAAATATGAGTTTTAATATATTCAAGTAAGTAAATTAACAGTTATATACTGTATAACACTTTCATTTTGTCAAAACATAAAAAAATAATTTAAGTTAAACTATAAGATAATTTGTCAAGGATTTTCTCAATTAATATTATTTTAATTATTTTTAAATAAATCTTACATTAATGATTACAAATTATTTTCTGGTAGTAAAATTAAAATTATAATAATTTTTTTAACTATTAATTTTTGGTATAATATAAAGTCGGTAATTAATCATTTTTTTGTAACTTAAAAATGTTTATTAAAACAAAAGTAAAAAAGATAATTATTGTCAAATAAATATAAAACTAATACAATATTAATTGCTATCAATTGAATGCCATTTGTGAGAGTTTGCGCTCTAACTCTCACTTTTGGCTGACATGTGTTTCATAACATTTCATTGATTTATACATTGAATTCAATGCTAAATGTGTGAGAATTTTGTAATAAATTTTTTTTAGCCATCAAATAGTGAAATGAAATTCACAACAATTATTATAATTTATTTTAAATGTCTTAATATGTGATGAAACATATGATTGACTTAAAAAAGTGTTAAACAAATTATGAGATATCGACCAAAACATTGTGTTATCTAATCATTAAAGAGATCGACTAAATTGGTGTTTAATGGATCCCAAAGAAAGATCATCGGAAACGAGTCAACAGGAGATAGAGTACGAAACATTACCGACGAGTGATGTGAGGACACACATGTGTGCCGGCGCTGTGGCCGGTATTATGGAACACGTGGTTATGTATCCATTGGATTCAGTAAAAGTAAGATAATTTATCATAAGATATCATATGATTGATAATTAACCATTTGTTGATATGTCAGACCCGTATGCAAAGTTTACATCCGAACCCAAAGGCCTCATATCGGTCGGTACCCGAAGCCCTTTACAAAATGGTTAGACATGAAGGTCTGTTTCGTCCAATAAAGGGTGTGTCGGCAGTGATGGTCGGCGCCGGACCGGCTCATGCCTTATATTATTCATGTTATGAAAAGATGAAACGTGTGTTAAGCGGCACAGAGACGGGTGCGCACCACCCGTTAGCACAGGGTTTGGCAATATTTGTCACTTATTTGTCTATATTATTGACTTATTTGTATTTATATTGTATTTAGGAGCCGCCGGATGTTTGGCCACAATATTACACGACGCTGTTATGAATCCGGCAGAAGTTGTCAAACAACGGATGCAAGTGTTCAACAGTCCCTACAAGAAAGCCCTCCACTGTTTTGTCGACGTCTATCGCAAGGAAGGCTTACGTGCTTTCTATAGGAGTTATTTGACTTCATTGTCGATGAATATTCCGACACAAAGTCTACATTTTATGACATATGAATTCATACAGGAGTTGACTAATAGTGAGAGGACTTACAATCCAAAAGCACATATGATATCGGGTGCTATCGCTGGCGGGTTCGCTGCGGCCGCCACTACACCACTTGATGTCTGCAAAACTCTTCTCAACACTCAAGAGAAGCAAACATTGCAGAGATCTCAGCAAAACAGTGTGACTGGCCTTTGGAACGCCGCCTCTACGATATACCAGTGCTGTGGACCAAAAGGTTACTTTCAGGGATTGCAGGCTCGAGTACTCTATTCAATGCCTGCCACTGCTATCTCATGGTCTGTCTATGAATTTTTCAAATTTCTTATCACTTCACGCGATGGAAAGCTCCCGATCCCAACTTCTCACTCCATAACCACTTCATCTCATTTGCCTAACTTTGCTTCACATTTGAATACATCAGAAGCCAAATGGGATAATAATTTAAATAAAAAAAGTGATCTAATGGTGCCCTCAGTGACCACTGATATAACTTTAGATAAGTCACGGAATCTACTCAACACTTAAAAGTAGTTGAAAAATCATTTGATAGAAAATTTAATGTATAAAATATAGCAATTTTTATTAATAAGTTAATGAATTATGATTTTAGGTAATCAAATAGTTTTATATAAATTTATATATATATTTAAAAATGACTGACTTCTCACTTGTTTTAAAACAACTTATTTGTTGTTATTATTATTATTATTATTGCTAATGAAGTTTACAAATTTAGTGATATAATATCCTTTTCCTATGTTTTATAATTGTAACTTATTTGTATAAGTTATAAATGTTAAATATAACAAAATTTTTAATAATTGTTGCAAACAGAAATAAATCAAATAAAACAATTAATTTGTTTGAATAAAATTCAAGTTAATTTTATATTTATTAATAGATCTACAATTATGGTATTTGAAATTTTTAATAAATATATATTTATTTCTATAATAAAAACTAATTTATGATAAATTTATTGTTGAATAATTTTTCAAAGAATTCGAGACATGTGTTTCAAATGTTTAAAAATTAAAAATAGATTAAAAAAATAATTTTTTTATTTAATATCAAATTACGGTAAGATTAAAATTTTTAGATAAATATTGTATAAATATATAATACAGTATATTAGTGCAATTTTATAGATTTAATTTATAAATACATTTATTACATATCTTCTAAATACAGTAACATTAAAGACTGATTTATGTTATCAATAATTAATTAAATTACATTGTAGAAAAATTAGTATATATGCAGTAAAATGCTGTAATAAATAAAAATAATTTAAAAACTAATTTAAAAATTACCTAAAAATTAAAATTATTATTATTTTAAGCAAATTATAAGAATATTCTATAAATTGCAATTTAATGTTTAATTTATTGTTAACTTTTATTTGAATTTTAATTTATTTCTAGATATACTTTGGATCTTATTTTGCTAAATAATAATTTATTATTAATTAAAAAATTAAATCATACAATTTATATTTTATTTTATAGTCATCATTTAATAAAGTCTTCATATAAAAAATAGTTGACTAATACAGTAAATAGATAATTATATATATACTGTATATTACAACATACAGTATATATTTCAATGTATTATAAATTAATATTTCTAACATTTATTTTTACTAATAATTAGTTTAAACTAATTTTTAATTGTGATTTAAATAGTATAAAATCATTATTTTAATATATTCTTTATTTATATCTGTTATCTTGTATTATATCAAATGCTTAAAAAAAATATTAACATTCAATAGACGTATTGTTTGTACATTGAATTTGTAACAGTAATGCAATAATTATTTTTATAAAAATATCGGTTAATGTGTTAATACAGTGAAGTGTATTAATATTAATAGTATGTATTACCTGTGTATTTATATTTTATTTTAAGTCAACATATATTTTGCATAAGTTATGACACATTATTTGACACAAAACTGAGTTTAGTTATGAAAATAATAGAGAATATGATTATAAATAATAAAATTTTGTATAAAATATTGTGTTAACTGTTTGTCTATACATATGATATATGAAAGCAAAAGTACATACAATCAGTGATTGCGTTATACATTGAATGCAATGACGAATACATTACTACTGTAACCGCTATTTGAATGAATGTATCGTATGATTGAATCATTCATTTAAATGATGTATTGATTAATATTAACTGATTGTCAAACTTGTGAAGTCTATAACCATTGTTGTGATCATTGATTTGGTGCTTAAGAAGTAATCACCAATTAATTGACTACAGCACAGACATGAGTCGATTGTTGGTCTTATTGTCCGACAAATCGGTTAAATCGTCTCAATTGGGATGTCTTTTGATGACATCGACCACAAAAAGACATGTTTTTCATAACAAATATTTTTCAACAAATCATTTGTTTTACAAGAAATCGGACAACAATTTGTGTAAACAATGTTTTAATAGATATTTGCGGACTAATAGACAATTTGTTAAATTAAATAATAGCCATATATTTAATAGAAATAATAATAATATAATATTAGATGAATGGTTAAGATGTACGCCAAGTGTGACCACTAATAGTGTCCGATATTTTCAAACCAATCGAGTTCTCTATGAGAAGGACTCATCAAAAGTGGAACAAACAGTTAAAGCTCTTCGTGAAGAACAAAAGGAATTGAAGGACAAGACATCAGAGGCATTGATTGAAGGCACCGGTCAAGTGGTGACAGAAGTAGTGGCTGTTCCACCCAAAAGAAGTTTAGGCAAAAGAGTTTGGGATGAATTGGTTCACTATTATCATGGATTTAGATTATTATTCATCGACATTGGCGTTGGTAGACGACTCCTATGGAAGGTAATGAATGGTGAAGACCTGACTCGTCGAGAACATCGACAACTCGTGAGGACGACATCTGATATCTTTCGTTTGGTGCCGTTTTCTGTGTTCGTAATCGTGCCGTTTATGGAGCTATTGTTACCCGTATTTATCAAATTATTCCCGAATATGCTTCCGTCAACATTTCAATCGGCAGAAACTGAAGTTAGTCACTAATAAGTGAATCATTTATTTGATGAACTAATATAAGAATTTTTATTTATTTATTTATTATTATAGGAAACAAAAATGAAGAAAGAGTTGAAATTGAAGTTAGAAATGGCAAAGTTCTTGCAAAACACTTTGGATGAAATGACTCTTCAAGCAAAAGGAGAAACACATTCAGCAAAAGCTAAAGACTTCGCACTGTTCTTCAATAAGGTTGTCATCAAATAATCGCTTATAAATAAAATAATATTTAAAACTATTGTTAATTATTTGATTAATAGGTCCGAAATACTGGAGAACAGGCCAGTAATGAAGATATAATAAAATTTTCAAAACTTTTTGAAGATGAGATAACTTTAGATTCTTTATCGAGACTACAACTATCTGCTCTTTGCCGGCTCTTAGAGCTGCAACCCATCGGAACAAACAATTTCTTGAGATTTCAGTTGCGAATGAAATTGAGAAGCCTTAACGCGGACGACCAGATGATTAATAAAGAAGGTGTCGATAGTCTAACTGTTCCCGAGTTGATCCAAGCCTGTCGAGCCAGAGGTATGCGTGCTTTGGGTATACCTGAAGTGAGACTTCGGTCACAACTATCCCAATGGCTTGAATTGAGTCTCAACGAGAAGATTCCGCCCTCACTTTTATTACTTTCTAGAGTTCTGTATTTACCCGAAAATATTGCGCCCGCAGACCAACTCAAGGCTACTATTCAATCGTTGCCAGACTCGGCCGCAACAGAAGCCCGATATAAGATCGGAGAAACAGAAGGAAAGATCGACAATAAGACGAAAATTGAATTAATACGAAAGGAAGAAGAGGCCATCAAAAAGGAAAAAGAAGAAGAGGAACAATTGAAACAACAGAAATTGAGGGAACAGGAGATTCTTATTGATAAAGCTATCAATTTAGAGTCACAACTCAAAGAAAAACTCAAAGACGAAGAATTGTCTAAAGAAGACATCAATTCTATAGAGAATGCGCTCGAAAATGTTGCGAAAGAAAAGGATAAACTTCTTATTGAAAAAGAAGAATTAGAAGACTTGAAAGAAGAGCTCAAAGATTATAAAGAAGATATCGAAGAATTTAAAGAAATATCTGATCAAACGGGACAAAAAACTCTTAAAGAGACTAAAGCGGCACAACGTTTACGAAATAAAGTAAATAATATGGTTAACAAAATGGATGTTTTGTTTGACGGATTGGAATCCAAGAAACAGTCTTTGGAACAGAAAATTAATATTTTATCGAAAGAAGGAAAGACTATTCAACAGGAAAGGGATGATGTCGTCGGTATTAACGAACTGTTGGGTTCTATCAGACGCTTACAGAAAGTCGGTGACGACGCGAAACTTCAACGAATTCTTGAAGTATTGGATAATATGGATGTCGATCACGACGGAAGTGTTGAAGTCGAACATGTCGTTAAAGTAAGTCTTAACACTCTGAGTTAGTAGAAGTCTCTGATTAACCACAAATTATTTGTTGTCAAATAGGTATTGGAACTGTTGGGTCGCGAAAATGTTAACGTTTCGTCAAATCAAGTAAAAGACATAATAAATCTATTGATTCAAGAAGAGAAACTCGAAGAGGAAAAGAAAAGAAAATTAAAAGAAGAGAAGGAAGTGAATGGCAAACAAATGAATAATAATAAACAGGAAAACAGTAAAGAATTGAAATAATAGACAATCAATTAATATTAGGATTTATATACACAGTATATATATATTTATAAATATATATATAAAGATTTTAATTAATTAAATTATTACTTTCTTAGAACATAATATATTTAAATTGTTTCAATTTTAACTATTATTTTGACTAAAAAAACATTTTGCGAGATAAACAATTGGATAAAATTTATCTATTTATTGTCACCTAAACGCTAAAGAATCAATCAATGGTTCTCTATCTGATGGTATTTCAATCATCACTAAATCGGATCTATTATTACTATCACCGTTAGAATGCTTTAAATCTAACTTATTATTTGAATAAATACTAGAATTGTTGACCATTTTGTGCAAATGTCTTAAATAAATAACAATACAGAAGACGACGACACACATACATAATATAAATAATGCATAATTAAAGTTAAATGATGTTATGGTATAACTGTTGGAGTAATTGATTCCAGAATATTGTTTTTCAATGGTTCTCAAAGGGAAGAAACGGGTTCTATAAATAAGTGCTCCTAATGTCCACTGAACCTGTTGTTGATTGACAGTTGAGGCCGACTTGAATTTTGCAAAATTTTTAGGCATTTTGAAGCCGTCGTGTAGTATACTTGAAACCCAAGCACTTTTGAAACATTGATTAAACAGTCTATTATTGTCAGCTAATGGATAAAGTTTCCGATTAAATCTATCCATAGTTACTGACCAACTGGTTGAACAATAAAGTGCAGCCGAATCGCGAAATTTAGAGAATTGGTAAACACCGCCCTGTCTTAATAGATCTTCCATTGTATACCAAAATTCAGAAAATCCATAAAATTCTGAGTTATCGAAGGGGGCGTTGGTTTGTGAGAGATGTCTCAGTGGACAACTGGTATTAAAACTTGATGAACATTGACGTAATGATTCAGAACTGGGATCTAATATATGTTTCAATCTATGGGTGCATTCATTGAAATCTCCGCTACCTTTTAGGATATGCACATACAATGTACTACCGTTAACATTACGTGAACGTCGGCTAATGTTATAATATTCAATACTGTCGAGTGAAAGGCACGGATCAAATAATTGTATTTCTTTCGTTGCCAATGTTGTGTTGTCGATGTGGTCGTGTGTATTAATAGTGGATGATATTAATGCATTTATATATGTATTTCGGACCACATTTGCACCCAAACCTAAATATGTGGTCACATATAATCTATAGTTATGCTCGAAGTCGTGTTCATCACATCCCAAATTAAACTCAGACATCAAATCATTTATTTCTTCCTTAGAGTGTTTACTTTGAAGACTTTCGTATTGAGAGTCAGATGTAATTTCAAATGCAATCTGAACGGAGGCGCCGCCCATTTCTAGCATACCTATGGTTTGGGCTCTTTTGAGGTGATTTTTATTGATATCAATCTGAGAGATGGGTCCGGTTTCGATCGTGTGGTCGAATCGTCCCATCAGGTAATTGATGGCAATCCATGAATAGATTCCTTCTTCCTTACCAGTAATGACTTGGGCGTGATTTGCGGGAAATAAAAAGCTATAATTCTTAGGAATATCGGTTATTAAGTCATTCAAAATGGCTTTTTGTGTCTCTTCTGGCAAGAGTCGCATCCCAGCCGTCGCTAATATAAAAAGAGGTGTTGTTTTGTGTTTTTCTTTAGGAATATTGTTCGCCGCAAATGTTAGAAGAGGTGAGATATATTCAGAAGCAGACGAAGGCTTGGATGCACACGAAGATAAACCGGGATTAATGGCAGTGTAAACATCTTTGCCTAACGGGTTGTGAAGCATTCGTATTTGAAGCAATTGTCTGGTGTCACCACTATGTGGGGGCCAAACATAGATATGGACGCGACTGCCACTACTGCCGGCGTCAACCATAACGGCGTATTGTAATTCATGCTTTAGATCATCCAATGTATCGTCAAAATGATGTGATATTGAAATATTGTTATTGTTTGCTGATGTCTGCAATAACTTCACTGAATAGACGACAATGAATGCCAATAATAGTAGAAATAAAGCGAAACGAAGTTTTGTTGAAATCAAGCGATGATACGGACGCAGACATACCATTAAATACATAAGTTTTAGCCGATTTTGGACACTATTTCTATTAAAAAAATAACATTTAAATAACTTTATTATTATCTAATTATAACCATTGGATTCATTAATAAATTATTTATATAAACAATTGAATACCCATTGTATCGATCGCTCCAATGGTTTGTCATTGAATGTGAGCCCATTGTAAGCGCCATTCAATTGACTACCAAATTATCACATCAATTAGCGGATCACTAATTATTATTAACTAATTATTAATTAATAATATAAGATATATAACAATATATTTAATACAATTAATATGTCATTTATTAAGATAATTGTTATTAAATAAAATAAAAACAATTAATAATACATTTTGTTAAAAAATACTTTTATTAATAAATCTTATAACACATAATGAGTGATACTTTGAATGATTATATGATTTATTGTTAAAAAATTCACAAAATTAACTAAATATTAGTAATAATTAGTTAATTAAGTGATTAATTGAGAGCCAGTTATCACTGCATTTGACTACACGTAACCAAACATATGATACAAATGTTTATAAAACAATAAATAATTGCAATGTTTAGTCAAAAATATTTTGACATTAAATTAACCATAAATTACGTCCAATTATTAATCACTTGAATTGCATGCAAATCAATGAGAGGGAAGAGTCCATATGATTGACATAATATATGACAGTTATCTAATAAAATAAGAAAAACGCAATGCATTAGTGCTTTAAATTTACTATCAATTGAAAGGTATTTAAAACAACTGATTGAATGATTGATTGATTGAATGATTGGTTTGTTTTGTTGATTACAAACAATGTGTGAAACGAGTCCTAAAAGATTGAAATATGATTTGAATTTAATTCATGTATTATTCATAAGAGATGGCATTCATAGCAAACGACTCGATGTATTGACCAGAAGTGCCCAACAATTGGGTCTTACGGTCGACAGTCAGATAAGGTGTGTGTTTGGACCACACATATGACAAACCAATCATTTGATTAACACTTTTTTATTTGCATTTTCTGAACCACTTCTAGTCATGACATCGATTATATTATTACTGATTTTGAATCCGAGGATCAAGTGGTGGACAGTCTTGGACTCGACTTGACAGACATGAAAGCCGTAATCGTCAACACCAAGTGGTTAACCGATTCAATACAATCTAAACAATTGATGTCTTATAGTAGTAGCTATTCATTGAAGAAGCGAAAGGTTTGTAATATATTTTTATGACATTTTATTAGACCATTAATTGATGCAATGATTTGAAGACTAAAAGACAGACTAATGAATTGACAGCAAGTAATGCATCAAACAGTGAGTATATATGTCAGCGAAAGTGTCCACTGAATCACCCGAACGGCAAACTAACAGTAAGTTAAAAAAAAATATTCATTACTACAAAAGCAATGTTTTTTTAAATGTGATTATCTCTTAAAAATTAAGGAACCATTAGAAGTGTTAGCTAAAGAAGCGGATCTTAAGAATTGTTTATTTGATTCGATCCGATATTTGGCATTTAAGAAGGCATCGGCAGCTCTTAAATGTTTATCATTTACTGTCACCAAAATCGATGAAATAATACATTTGAAAGATATTGGGAAACACTCTAAAAAAGTTATACAAGAAATACTCGACGAAGGAGTCAGTAGTGAAGTGGAAACTATTCGACAATCACTTTGGTTTCAAACGATGTCTTTGTTTACAAATATTTATGGAATCGGACCAAAAACTGCTCAAAAATGGTATGATTTGGGTTTGAGATCATTGGATGATATCATGAATGATAAGTCCATAATGAAGAAACAAAGTATGCGTGTGTTGTATGGATTAGCTTTTTATGACGACCTCAATAGTGGTTTGTCTAAATCAGAAGCCAATAAAATCATGTCTATAGTCAACAAAGCGATTCAAACAAAACTGGGAAACGATTCAACAAAAATTGATTGCTATTTAACAGGAGGTTTCAGTAGAGGTAAAGAGTTTGGACACGACGTCGATATATTGATTACACACAATGAAAATGGGCGAGAAGTGGGTTTGCTTAGTGCTATTTACAAGCAATTGAAGGAAATGGATGTTATATTATTAGGCAATTTTAGTAAATCTGATAATATTGACTCTCAAAGTGATAATAATAACAATAATCACACACTCGATAATTTTGATAAAATGTTTTTACTTTTTAAACTACCCATTGATGAGAATAATTGTTGTTTAAGGACTCCTGAGTTTGATAAGGACTCCACAAAAGCATTGTTTGATTTTGCGAAAAGTGAGATCAAAAGTGGGTGGAAGTTATGTCGAGTCGACCTAATTGTGTGTCCAAATTCTCAGTTGTGTTTTGCACGCATCGGATGGACCGGTAATGAAATGTTTTGTCGTAGTCTTAGAGATTACGCTAAAAAAGAGTTGAACTATAGATTAAGTAATCATTGTTTGCATGACTTGAACAATGACTGTCATCTGAATGCCATCACTGAACATGAAGTCTTTGAACTCTTGAAACTACCTTTTATTGATTACCATTTTAGGAATCCTTAAATTTATTATATTTATTATTTAATTTTATACAATTGATTTTATCTATTTTTATTTATAGTTTTTAAGGTTTATTACAATATAAATTATATAATTTATATGATGTACTGTATATTCTATTGAATAATACTAACATATACTGTACATTATATAATTTTTATATTGTATATAATAAATAGTATATTATAGAGATTAATATTTATAATTTTATTTATAATTAAAGATAAATCATTGTAATTAATTCAATGAATTTATATATATAATATATATATATATATATATATATATATAATTTAATTAATGTTTTATAAAAATTTTTAATTTTATTTTTGTGAATCATAATGTATTCTAAAGTATTATTTTTATTTAGTTTTATATACATTATAAAATAAATAAAAAAATTTAATAAACACAACTCACTTGTTAGTGTGTAATATTCAATTCAATAACATTTAATTCAATAAAACATAAAATATTTAAAAATTGATTTATATGTACAGTATTATGCAATTAATAACAAAATAAAGTATATAGGAATTTTATTATTGAAAAATATTTTAGCAACAAATTTTTATATTCTACTATTAATATGTTTTTTAAATAAAAGTTTTAAAAAATAATTATAATACAATTTTTAATTTTATAATATAATATATAATATTATATAATAGTTACTACAGTAATATTAATATAACTTGCAGTAGTTTTTGTGTTAAGTATTATATAAAATTGTATTTGTTTGCTATAATAGTTAATATCAGTTTTAGTGTAATTATAAATTTAATTTGTTTTTAACATTCGATATTTAATTTTGTATAAATAATATTAGTTTAAGTTTTACTCTAATTATATACAATAGTTGAATATTTTGTAAATTTGATAAATCATATCATACAGTATACAGTGTGTAATACAATATATTACTAATTTTTGCATATTATTTAAAAACAGGATATTAATTAATAGTCCACAACATTACATACAATTTATAGAATTATAAACAAAATTTATTATTTTGTTATTATAAAATTAATTTTTAATTAAATTGAGAGTATTAAGTCCAATATTATACAATTCAATAAATAATATATTAATGCATTTTATCAAAGGCTGGTGTAATCTAAGATAATTATATAAAACTAATCAACATTATTATCATTAAAACCTATAGATATATTATAAATTTATATTATATCAGTTAATTGTTAATCAGTATTTTACCCTGATCTAAAATGGCATTCTATAGCAAAGAATATATATCATAATAATATGATATTTTTTAAAACTTAAAAAATCTTTGATAACTTAATAAATTTATTTACATTAATATTGCAAATAATATATAATATATATTAATGTAAATAAATTTATTAAGTTATAAATGAAATTTTCTAATAGTTTTTAAAAAAAATATCATGGACAACTGAGTAAAAGTTTATGTATATCCACGCATATTATATATTGCTTGCATTATAAATTAGATATTTTGTATATACTTTATATTTACATATACAATATGGCATTTTTAATACACATTTTTCATATAGTGTTATCTCAGTAAGATTTTACATAATATTTATTGATTTAGTGGGAGAAAAAACAATGAAATATCAATTGCAATAGTGGGGTATAATAAATTAAATGTTGTTTTTTTAGTAGAAAAAATAACAATGCATACGAAAAGATCGATTTAAATCAATACTATAGTAGTGTATAATAAAGGCGTCCAAATATTGAAAATAATTTATCATTTCTTACAACAATTAGTTTACTTTGTTTTTTCCATACAATTGATAATCAATAGCAAACAGGACTTAAGTGAGATTTACTATACTATTGGTATCGATGTGAGTGATGTCTAACTTAAATATAAGTTTATATATATTTTTTACTGTATATATAATATTATATTGTATGACTATAATGATTGAAAGACATGAGTATTTATTGATATATTGACCAACAAAATAAAGTAAATGAATTTGTTATAATACTGTAATATTGATATGGTGTATAAATTGATTGAATTGGCACATATGGTAACAGTTAATCAATAGTAAAATTATCATTTAACAACTGATTATTTTATTTTAAGTATGTATTAGTAAACTTAATAATTTATAAATCATGTCAAAGAATGTATATTATATTAAATATTTTCATTCAAAATATACGAACAATGTATATAAAAATTTTAGACAATAAATTATAGTAATGAATAGCAATGCATAGATAATATATGTAAAAACTTTTGAATATAAATTAGTTTTGTTATATTAAAGAAAATACATACAGTATTATGCTATACATTATATGATCAGATATTATACATAAATATAATAAAGTTTAACAGTGTTTGAGATCTGAGATATTTATTTATATATAGTATTACTGTATTTAGAGCTTGAAAAGTATAGTTAACTTCATAAAAGTTAACAATTTTGGTAAACTTATTCACAAGTGAGTGTCTGTGTGTGTGTGTGTGTGTGTAAGAGAGAGAGAGAAAGAGAGAGAGAAAGAGAGAGAGAAAGAGAGAAAGAGAGAGAGAGAGAGAAAGAGAGAGAGAAAGAGAGAGAGAAAGAGAGAGAGAAAGAGAGAGAGARAGAGAGAGAGAGAAGAGAGAGAGAGAGAGAGAGAGAGAGAGAGAGAGAGAGAGAAGAGAGAGAGAAAGAGAGAGAGAAAGAGAGAGAGAAAGAGAGAGAGAGAGAGAGAGAGAGAGAGAGAGAGAGAGAGAGTAACTATTGAGATACTGTCTGAGTTTCTACAGTAATGTTGTTAATCATATGATAGACTAGAGTGTAGTTTGTTTGGCAGCAAATGATTTTTGAAGTGTTGAGCCATACGACAGACATTCTTGAGGTTATAATATACTTTTTACACACATTTAAGTCAAATGAGGTTTTATACTAAATATACAGAAGAGAGGAGCAGATGCTTCATATGTGACCTTAAAGTGTGACCTCTCTTCTGGACGGAGCAGATGTTCATCCAAAAGAGTGCCATTGATTGGACTTAAAAATTGAGTATATATTGTAAAACTGAAACGCGTGCCCAACGCATGCCACAAGTAGAGCTCAATTATTATATATATTTTTGAGGTACCGTTCCTTTTAGGTATGTCTGCACTGCACTTCTCCATATCACTGGTCCGGACATTTCAGTTCAATAGTTTTTAAAAGTAAGGCTTTAGAGAGGTTTAGGCGATAAACTTAATGTTAAAGAATGAGAGCAGATGTTCAACGAAAAAATGTTTTCTAGTTTTACGACTCCTTATAACACGTGCCGACTCGTGCTGTCAGTCGTACGCCAGGTGTCTAAGGCTTTCAATTGGGGTTTATTTGTCTGTTTTTGTCCGACAATATAGCTAACAGAAGAATTGATTGTTATTTGATAAGAAAAAAGTGAATTTCTTTAGTTATGAACCATTTAATAACTCAAATGAATTCAATGTTAAGACTTGCCATTACTTTACTGGTATTGCAGGTGAAACACCAGCTTTTGGATTATCGAAGCACTTGTCAAATGGTTGGACCTGATGTGACAAATGTCATCAAATGACATCTCATATCATATAAGTTTGCAAAAAAAAGACAATTGTGTTTAACTGCATTCATATATAGTAACTATAAATATAAGCTCAAAATACATATTATTAAGTCAACAGTTATTTAATAATAAAATTATTTCAATTTATATACAAATTAAATTTAGTTGTATTTAAGTCAATATTAAATTTTGATGATAAAAGAGGATAACAGTTATCTAATTAAATGCAATAATTAGAAAATGATTTCATCGTTACATTAATATCTTAATAGAAATAAAGTAATACTCGTTAAAAGCTAAAGAAAAGTTTGGTTCAAAATAATGCAATAATCGTATTGATCGGTGAGTGCGGTGATTGTCAGCACAGTTAGGATTTGGCAGTCAGTGGCAGTAGTGCTGTGCTAGTGGTGTCCACCCCTGTTATGACTCCCTTATGAGTGAAATGGATTGAACCGCAGCTGCCGTTCAGTTGAAGGCAGTCATTGGTGAAGCAAATGCTATAAATGCTATATATCTATAACATTACACTTAGAAAGTGTTGTCTCTCTCTCTCTTCTGTGAGTTTTTCGGCTGAAAGTTTGGTTAGAGTTTGTTGTGTTTGGTGTCTGTCATAGACGTGAAAGTCGTTTCTCAAGACAAACACATTTGACAAGAAGTGTCACATTGTGTACAAACACTTCGTTTATAATCACTTTTTTGTTTAGCATTTGTTTTTTACCAATCGTTATATAAGTTATATTTATATAAATATAAAGAAAACATTTTTTGCCTTAAATATTACAACTGAATATTATTGCGATTAACTTCAAGCAATTACATCATTTTATTGTTCAAATGTAAGTTTTTAAAAACATTTTTTCTATAATATTAAATATTTTAATTTTTATAACATTCCTGGAATTCATGGTTTTTGATTTTTTTGATGTCTTACAAAAAAACTATTGTAATTGTAAATATTAATACATTTTTTATGAGTGTCTTTTATATGTCATATCACTGCACTTATTCTGTCTGTAAAATACATAAAGTAAGGAATTATTAAATAAAATACTGAAATACCGGTGCCGTTAGATAAGGAATTCTAGACTTTTTTATATTTTATTTGTAAATCTATTATCTTTGCTTTTCGTGTTCACTATAGTTGAGTATATATTTGTGTCTTTTATTTCAAAGTTTTCGATTCAATTATTGTTGACTTTTTTCTAAACTATTGAAACTGAACTAAAAATAGCTAAATTTAGACAAAAAAAAAGAGATCAAACATCAATTGAACTATTTTTTATAGAAATATTTTTCAGGTTTTTTTTCCATTTCTATAGATTTCACAGTTATTTAATACAATTTACATACCAATGATTGAACGCAGTATTGATGTAAACTGGAATCACATTTAGATAAGCGGTTAAACCTCTCATCTCATGTGAGCCCACTTAACATCCTTTACTCAAAACTAGGTTTAAATGAATGAATTAATCAATTATTTATTATTAATGGTCTTCTCTGATGTACAGTAATAGCACAGTTAGGTTAGAAAAGGATAGTTAATTAGTTTGACTCTATATATGGAATCTAAACATTATTTATAACAATATATTATGTCATTTATTCATTTTTGTTTTTTAGAGTTAATAGAAAAAGAATTTTTTTTATACTTTAAATGTCATATCATTTGGAAATGACTGCACCGACAGCTTAATAGAGTCGACATTTAACTCTTGTTTTTACACTAATTGTTGACCGATTTTATCACAACATGTCATTAGTTGTTAAGTATTGGTTAAGAATAAAAATAATATTATCTTACTTTTCCTGTACTTAACCCTTATATTCACTGAATTAGATATAATGTAGAATATAATACTATTCTTTATATAATACTTTTTTTTGTTATATTTTTATATATGAGAAAATAAATTTATATAACAATTCAATATTTTTTTATAATAAAACTTTTTATTTGAAATTTACTTTTTAGCAAAGCTTTATCTAATGACATATTTTTATTATTATAATTATTTTTATTTTAATACAACACAAAATATAATAAATTAAATTTCTATTTTTTATTGAATTTATTATAAATGTTGTAAACCAACTACTGTATAATTATGATGAATAGCGAATCTCAACGTTTATTATAAAATTTATGGAAACTAATAATTAAATATATATTTTTTGTTAGTTAGAAATGGGAAAAATACATACATAAATATTCAATACATAATATTGCATACATTTTAGGAATATAATTAATAAATGTTTGCCTCTCAGTGCCCATTGTTTGACTAATTTTCAGTAATGTCTGCGCCGGTGATGAGTTTGACTATCCGTGTCCTCTCCTCTTTTGCATTTCAATTAAACACTAATTTAGGCGCACATTGTTTTGATTAATATTCATACTAAATGAAAACGATATGCACTCATAATATCATATTATATTTAAGTAATAAAAATTATTTATACGATATGTTGTGAATGATATTAAATATATATATATAAGAGCTTTAAGCGATTAACACATTTTCGGTGCATTAATATTATCAATAATATTATTATCGATAGTGTAGAGTAATGTACTTTTTACCTAAAGCTAAACAAAACAATTTTGTTGTCATTTATAATAATATTCAAGACTTATATTTTATGTATTTTATTGCTATTTTCACAATTTTATAGTATGAATATGAAAAAAATAATATAAATATATATATAAAATGATGTTTTTATGATGTGTTTAGAGATAACAAATTGTGAATCAGAGGTGTGTCTCATATGTTGTTGTTTTGTTGTCAACTGTATTGTCACTCCAGAGAATATTCTTGAAAGTACTCATATATTCTTTATATATTACTATATAATACTTTAAGTAACACTAGAATTCAATAGAGAAGTGTTGTCAGACATAGTAATGAAGAAAAAAAAATTTAAAATTAAATACAATTTTTTAAGAGTATATGAAAGACACAAAATAACCCAAAGTTCTTCATCACTGCTAATATCAAGTTTAGGTTGACTTAACACCCAATACTAGCAGTGATGTTGTGTTTAGTCGAGTGATACAACAAAATGCTTGAATCGATTTGCCCTTTCTATCAGTTAATGTACTTATGGCTTGATTTTGCACTTTCAACTAATATGACGGTTAGGTTTTATAATAGTTATATGATGGACGACACCAATTTATACAGTATATCATAGATTTAATTATTATACAGTTTTATACACTTTAGTGAATACTAGTTTTAATGAGCAAATATTATATACCTTTTTATTTTTGAAAGCTATATCATACAGGTTTCTAATTTAAGCCAACTTTAATTTCCTTTCATTAATATAGTATATCATAGAAACTACTGTATAATATATGTTTTCAATTTCAAATAATGATTTTTATCAGTGACTATATATTAAATTTAGAAATTCAACGAAAAAATTGTCAAATAATTTGTTATGCGGTTCACGAAAGTTGAAAACTTGTCGATCTCTTGTTCGGTTCGTTGATTTGCTATTTATTTCCAGATATTTGTCATAAATTCAGTCAAAAAATCTTCTGATATGTAATTTTCAAAATTATAGTTTATTTCTAAACAACAAATTAAACGATTGTGTTATTTGATATGACAATTGATGATCACTACTATTACTGCTACTAATCACTTTTATAGTGCAAACAAGTTGATGCAAATAATTTATAATTAACTTATTTATTATTTGCTCCGTTCATTAATAAATTAATTAAAGTTATGGTTGTAAAATAAATATTTATTTATGAGAAATAATAATATAAACAAAATTATGTGATAGCTTTGAGACCATAAATGTAATAAAAGACGAATCACACGAAACATAGAATATACTGTATTTTGTAGACTTTTGGGAAAATTATTGCAATACATTGTATAAGTAAATGTTAGCATTAAATACAATATTTAGACCTAAATCTAAATTTCATATCAAATAACTGTTTTGTGAGACATTTGACTACTACTCTGTAGACTCTTATACCCTCTCTATATGTGTTACATGTGATCATTGGAGGGTATGTTGGGTTACATCTGCTTTTCATTTAAAGCAGAGTAATGTCTGTGTTGTTAAGCTTACAGTTAATTAGATATTTTCTGATCATTTTGTTTGCCATTAGGTCTTGAAATAACTTTTGACAGTCACTACAAATAAACACATAATTTATTTCGAGTACAAACACTGTATATTTAATTTAGTTTGTTTTGAACACTAATTTTTTAATATACAAAACAAGTCTACTGTATAACTAATATTAAAACTATAGGTACTGTTTCATGTTATTAATTATTATTTGACTAACAGTTAATGTGTAAATTTGGTTAATTATTTGCACATTTTGCTTATTATAGCCCTGTATTAATAGTCACTATAAAACTCAATATTAAATTTTTGCTCAATGAACTGATTAATTGAATTTATTAATATATAGTATATCTAATAATATCAATTTAGGCCAATAAGTGCTACAATTTATACACAATTGCTAGTCTGACTGGCGCTCCCCTCCTTTGTATTTATTTATTTGCCATAACTTATAATTATGATGACAATAAAATTGTATTTAATGTCAAAATTGTTTTTATTAACGTTTATTTTGACAAAAATAAATCAATCAGACATAACAGTTGATTAATTGAAATTACTCTGTAATGCAGTCAATGTTTTAATATATTGAATTGTCTAAACAATTATTGTTTGTCAGATTTATAAACTAATGTCTATTTAAAAAAAACTATACAAAACACTATAATAGTGTTAAAGCATTTAGAAAACAGAATTAATGATTACTTTATTTATATTATAGCTTTTCCTTATAATTACAGTCTGAGTCCAAGTTTATTGAAATCCAAATATAAATACAACACTGCATTGATAGTACAACACAACAATATACAGTATACCGGTATATATATATATATATAGGTTATTATAAATACAAGCTATTGTTGTGTACTCTTGTAAAATGCCAAGAATTTACTGCAATTAAATTTCACATAACTATAAATTTATTTTTGTTATGCCCTTAGAAGTAATGATTGTTTGTTATAATATATTTTTATATTAAACGGACATAACATTTGCAGTATTTCTAATAATTTTTTGAAAATAATTGAATGTACTGTACATTACTTTACTGTAAATATTTGCTATGTTATTGAATTTTTATAGTTAATAACTCTTTTAAAAGTTAATATTAATAATATTATATTACGTGTTAAGTAATTTTAATTTAATTTTTTCTCCTTTTTTTAGAAATGATTTGTTAAATTAGTGTCAAATTTGATTACTATTTGAAAATAATGTCTTCAAATACTGGAAGAATGGGAAAGAGTCGACAGCCGTTACCATTTGAGTGCCAAAGAAGTGATCGCACCTATACTTTGAACAGTTTGTGGTCCATTTGGTACTGTACTCTAGTGATGGCACTTCAGGTATGCTTTCACATGACTTCTCGATTAACTTAATGATTGTTTGTACTATTAATACAACAACAAAGAAAAAATGTTTATATATATTATTGATAATCTATTTTTTCTTGTCATTAATCACTAGATCTATATAATAGCCAACTCAATAAAACGATTCACTATCTACCTGTCCCTTCCCTGGCCCAATGGTCAGCCACCCTTTTCATCTCTCAATGCTTATGTTGTATTCATCGGAACGGGTGTAGTAATGCTACCATTTTTTGTGGTGTTGGCAATGATGAAAGTCGGCAATTATCCCAATGATGGCCATAAACTTGGAAATCAAAGCAAAACTTATGACACTTCTGTCAATAATATATATCAAAATCTGAATACAATGAATACATCCGCTAAAGAAATACGAAGAAAGAAAAGGTTTCACTCATTGCGAGTAATTTGGAGGCATTGCCTACCAATGGCTCCGTTTATGCATTTGTTGGCATCACTTTGTTTTCTAATACCACGGGTCCTAATGGAAGCACAACTCATAAAACATGGATTTCTTGGAAGAGGTAAGACATTAGTGACATTTCAATCACTTTTAACATCTTTACTGTTGACTTAGTGTGAGGTCTTAACTGACACACGACCCGCACATTGACTCACAAACACATACAGTAATTACTCAAACATTAGCATAATTTGTAAACTAATGGTCACTTCTTTGCCTGTTTTTTGCTATTAATTAAGCAATTTTGTCAAATATGAACAAATTTTATACAATAATTAATATGAGATTACATAAAAATATTCAATATTTAACAAAATCTAACGTTTTTGTACTAAAAGTATTGTTCAAACGTTATGTGAATTATTTATGAGCCGATATTTAGACACTTTTTTCCTATTAAATGCTTCAATGAATAATACATTGATTTGAATAATAAGAGACAAACAATTTGAATCACATATCGTTTTACTAAAGTATTCAATTTATTTTATCTGAAGTCTATTCAAATGCCTATTTAAATCTAATTAATGAATAAATATATTGAAATTATTAATTAAAAATGTGACACAAAAGTATTTAGTTTTAATTAATTGTTTATTCAATTCAATGATATATTACATAAATAGCAACTCTAATTTGACACTATTGTGATGATTGTGTTATCAACTATGTGAATAACTTTATTTTTAATTTTATATAATAACTATATTAAAATTGAAACTATGATGAAAAATAAAAATAACAGACAATTTTTATTTATAACAATATAAAGAATAGGTATTCTTATTAAAGAATTTTAAAGAATATTCTTTAGACTTTAAAGTTAGTGAACCATAAATTATATGAAACTATAAGAAGGGAATGAACTGAAAAATTGATGTTCATTTCAATGTAAGAAATACTTTAACTTAAGGCTAATTTAATAGTATTACTGAATAAAAAGTAAGTTTTGTTTTGCACGGATTGTATTTTGGGAAACACTCATAAAGTAAGTCCATATTTTTTGGCAGTCATTTCTTATTTATTTATTTCAGTAAAATATGCAAATCAGGCTTAACTTTTATAATAATACAGTACAGAGTTGGATAACATATACTGTACTTTTGATAATCTCTGCATCCCTTTCCCATTAATATGAGCGTCCATTAAAACATGAATCCTTATATATTATTAAGTTTATAGTTATCGATTGATTACTATTACTGTGTCTTAAGAGTTTTGGTTGAAATAAATAGTAATATGGTTTGGTTTGTCAGTGACTGAGAAATATTGCTTAAAGATTGGCACTAACCAACCGGCACTGGTATGTGTGTACAGTAAATGTATGTGTTTGCCTCAGAGCATTAGCAATAGTTAACTATTGATTCATATAGTCTTAAATAAATAAAGAAGTATTGAATTTAGACGTATTGGTGCTAAAGATGAGCATTATTTAAGTTTGTAATACTGTTATATGTATTTTGAATGAAAAAATAGAAGACAAATATACAGATAATCTCTACTTTAATACCTGATATACAGTACAGTATATTTCATATGAATTTATATGAAAGTAACAGCCATTTACAGACACAAACCCAAATGATATTGAATTCAATGTTGAAAAAAACCATAAGATTTTCAGACATACTTTTCAAAATACAATCCCTTTAAGGTTTAATCAATAGACCACCAGTTGTTGAACTACTACTCCTACTCTTACACAACATATCACTACATCTCTACATCTTCTCTATTGACTGCCATTCCCTTCATTCGGTTCATAAGCTTCTCTATGAATGACAGTACAGTCAGTATTGCCAGTCATGACAGTGACGCTTAAATTTTGGGGGATTTTCTGATGAGTCATAACAACAGATATAATATTTTATTTCTATATAATATATAGACTACGATATATTGATATAATATATATACTGATAATAATACCGTATTATTCAAATCAAACCAACAAAAAATAGCCGAAAATAGAGTCCATTTTATGGATTTATTCAAAATCTTTTAAATAAATTGTATGTAAAAACTCATTACAAATATAACGGCAAACCATTTGATTTGACACCAAAATTCTTATACTTATGATTTAAAATTCTAACCTTTTATAATAATATACAGATAATAAAAGTAAAAGCTATTATTATTATTTTGTATCAAAACGTGATATGAATTTTAATATTTATACAAAATATTATGTTTTATTTCATAACATAAATGCTATTTATAATTTATTTTAAAAAACATTTCTTGTTTTGATCTAAATACTAAATGTAAACATAAATATTGACTAATTTTATTATTTTTAGAAAATTATTAAATATATTATTAAATTTGGTTAATTTTTCAGTTCCTAATGTAAATTTTGTGACAATAAACTTATTTAAAAATTTACTTATTTGCAACATTTTAGTTTCCAACACTATTGGGAAACATTTTAGTTATTTTCCATATTTTATATATATTTTATATTTTCTCTTATTTTACTTTATTTTCTTTTTCATTTATTTTATTACAACTACTTTAGAGTGAAAAGTGTATAAAAAATAAGTGTTTATCGCAATTACTGCTGTGCTGTTTATTTTTGCCGATAACTCGACTACTGTTTTATATAAAAATAGTGGAAATTTTGTTGAAAACTGAATGTTATATTTTTATTTGTTAGGCACTGAATGGCAATCATTGTTAAAGTGATGCACAGCTGCTATATTTGTGTGCATTTATACAGAAAACACAAAAATGCAATTCAATGACATTCAAGATCTTCATGTGTGCCATTCAAATGCCATTTAACCCATCGCTGTACTAAATATTGCTTTCCTTAGATCCCATTCCCGGTGAGGGAGAGAGAGAGAGAGGGATTCATTATGATAGCAGCCCTTCCCTAATATAACTCGATAACTGAACCCAAACCTCAAACACACTTAAGTATAATATCATATATACAGTACTTGTGCTAGACTTACAATATTTATTTATATGAAACATATGTATACTTTCCATAGATAATTGATTCATTATAGTTTCCGTCAAAATTTAAATCATCCATGAAATATGATTTTTACAAAATATTGTTATAAGTTTTGTATACAATAAAATCACAATATTTATCCATTTATATGAAATTTAATTAAAAATGTCTTTATTAGTATAGATAAATAAAAATTACAATTTAAGTTAATTGTCTTCAATGACATCGTTTGGGGAAAAATCATATAAACTTTATTTGTTTGGAAAAAATCAAAGTTTATTTCTGTTATAAAACAGTAGTGATAGTCAATGCCTGCAATCATACTTTACGGCACAACAATTGTGATGACACACAATATAATAATAAATTTATATATAAAGAGATGTGTCTTTCAATGATAAACAATAATATATATATATATATATATATATATAGTATAAGCAATTTATTGAATGGCATCCAATATATTGTATTTTAGACAATTATTCGTCTATTTGTTTGCCAAACTCAATGTATTCAACATAACACAAATATAGTGAAAGTCTTGATTAATTCACAAAAAAAACTATTTTTTTATATGAACTAAATTTGAATTTTAAATTAGTTTTTAATAAAAATTTATTTAGTTAACAATTTTTTATTACTAGTTTATTAAAAAAAGTAGATTTTATTATAAATTGTTTTATGTCTGATATTTAGTGCATAAAATTTATGGATTTTATGTTTTATAATAATAATATCAACAAAAAATTCAATCTTTTGGAAGACTCTTTTGTTACATTTATTATTATATTCACCCGTTTTATAATATTTTCACATAATATATCCTAATTTATACAAAAATTTATGTATTTTTAAATATATATATATAATATATAATTACGTATTCTGAATTATAGTTATTAATATAAAGTTTAGTGATTAATTTAAACTTATCTTGTACCTAAAAAATAAATAAATAAATTTAATAGTGTAAATAAATGTAATGCAATATGATAAAATAAATTATTTTAAAAGATATGATTTTACACAATTCATACAATTTACTTAAAAGCATAAAACATGATATATACAGTATATAGTCTGATATGTCTATTGTATTATAAGTAGAAAATCAAATTATTGAGTATTTTCTTACATTTTGATAAAATTGATTGCTTTTAAACAAAAGACTCGATTCAATACAATACAAAACTATATATAAATTTAAGTCTTTATTGTGACGTTGTTTTTAATCTTTTTATAAGATTATATATATATTGATAACATAATGTGCAATAATTTACAGCGGATACAAAACTTTTCAAAACCACTTTAAGTTATATAAACCACAGATTGGACTTTAGATTGAAAATTAACTTAATTTTTATCTTATTTATAAAATTTAGACAATAAATTATATTAAATATGATATAAAATTGAATCAATTTGACAATTAATTATCGATTCATTTGAGTGCTGTTTGTTTGATTAATTTTCATTGAAATATAAGACCAAAATATCACTTTTAGACATAACAAACAACTTAATAAACATCTCATTTGTAATCCCTGAGAGAGAAAGGGGTTGATTGAGGGCTCAATTTTTGTAGTTGTCGTAGAAGTAATGCATTTATATTTTACTAAAAGAGTGAATAAAAGTTAATATTTAAAATATTGTTTCATTAATTTAATGACTCATTTGATTTTTAAAAGTCGACACTATCTTAACTATAAATTAATCTAAATCTAGTTTCTGTCCAAACGTTATCTTTCTATGTATTGTTACACTTAAAACTGATACCTTTTTTGTGAAATACAAATATCTCTAGAGGTTTTCAAACAACAAACATAACTATAGATTGCAAACAATGATATGTATTTTATTTTGTTATTTTTTCTATACTTTGCTTTTATATTTTACTTTATGCTTTGGATTTTTGAAAGCATATGATTTATATTAAAATATAAAATATGTTTTTTTTTTTGTATACAAATACAAATATATTGCTAGAAAAGGGCAACATTTGCGAAAAGGCATCAATTCTATGATAATATTGGTTTTTGAAGTCAAGCATAACTTAAAGAAATATATAATAATAATAGTTTCATTTCATAATAATAACAAAACTACAATTTTTGATATCTATTTTTATTTATTTGTAATCATTTTTAGGTGATATCTGGAAAACCGAAATGGATTTTGTTTTAAACCGTTTGGAAGACAAGAGGATTCCGGCGCTTAGTTTTCTCAATACAATTACAGACTCCGAGAGAAGTCAACTTAATTTAGAAAGTTTTACTGTAAATACTTATTTGACAAAACAGTCGTCAAATAATTTTGGCAAACAATATGAGGTTCGCATTGAAGAGTCGGGTGTATTGTCGGTAGAGTTAATCAACTTTGCGGTCGCACTCTTCATAATAGCCGTTCGCTATCCTTCAGTCTTCTGGCGAATTCATAAAGGCTTTGGTTTTCTATTTTCCGTTCAAATTGTTATTAATTTAGTTCAAAGTCTGTTAATGTATTCAGCATTTCAAGTGGCGTTCAAAGTATTAGTTTGTGATCCATCTCTGGTTTTGGTGCGCTTTAAGCCGTCATCGAGTGTCACACCATTAAAACTATGCTTTGTATTCATATCATACATCATCCTATTGACGATATCAGGCTTTCCCTTATATATGTATGGATTATTCAAATATCGTGAATGGCGTTCCTCTCAAAACCGTAGACTTCACGTCACACTCAAACATAATAGACTACCGATGTGTGGATATTTGGCTCATTTTTATGCCTTCATTGCACTCATTGTATTAGCCATATGTGTATCTCCACTATTGTATCAATTTGTGGTCATATATTGTGGAAGTCTCGACTCATCACTACTTATATCAATCATATCGACGGCAATTCATTTATTTTCATGGGTTATACTTTGGCTAATTCTAACTATTAAAAGCAAATGGCATTTCAATATTACATTTGATTGCATTGACTATCAGAATAGATTTAATTACAATTATAAGTCAATACCTCAACAAAGAGGTGAAACACCTCTTTTAGTCATTGAAAATGGAAAGACTTATCAAATTCGTGAAATGGCATCCAAACAGGCGATACTAGGAATGGCACACAAATCATATATGGCTCATAAAACCGTTTCTCCTACAGAGGAGGAAGACATATATTGGCTCAGACCTAAGCTTTCAACTCCTAATAAAACACTTAGCAAAGAATCTCCAGAAGATGACAACTCTATTACTTGGATTAAAAGCGATAAGAAATCTAATATAAATAGAAGTAATAGTAAAAAGTCTTTCGATGAAAATGCTGGAAATGGCACTAATGGTAGTCGAGGAAAGAGAAAACTAAATAAAAAATCTCCGAAAAGTACATTGAAATCAAAGAAAAACAAAAACTCAGAAATTGCTATTGAATTGGAGGATCACATGTCTGACAACTCGGATGGAGAATATGCGACACTTCGCAAGATTATCAACAATCAAATTGAAAGCACAGACCTAACACACCTGGTATGTCATATAACTAATTCAGTCATTTTATTTATTTAATACTTTATATAATCTATATTTTCAATTGTTTAGTAATAGTCAAATGAGATTAAAATAATAAAATAAAGTTTTAGATTATTTTGATGACTTAATATACTTATACATTATATACCAATCAGTGTCGTTAAGTTATACTGTATATAAGCTTTAATGTGATAGTTTGCTTTAAAATATTTTATTTATTAAAATATATTTATTTTATTTGGCTCTAAATATATTTTGAATAAAATTAATCGATTAATTTATAATTCAAAAATTATTTCATCTGCAATTAAACTTATATTTAATTTAGCAGACAATTTATTTATTTTTTGTTAAACAACAAACAATGAATGAATGAAAATTTAAAGTAAATTAGAAAAGTAAATAATTATATTATTTTGCAATATTTAAATTTCTATTTAGATAATATTGAAAAATTGTATAATCTGATTTATTATAAAAATGTCAAATAAATCTTTTTTTTTATTAATATTTTTATTTACAATAGTCAACAAAAAAGTGTTTTATATAAATTTAAAAATAGTTTTTAGTTAAATTGATAAAATACAATATTATATTATGTTTGTTAAATTTATTTTACTTAAACTTGTTTGCTTTAATAAGAATTTATACTATAATTATATATATATATATATATATATATATATATATATATATATATATATATATATATATATTAATTCAAATACATACAATAAATGTGAGGAATTTAATTTTAAATTACTTAGTTTAATGATTTTTTGTATGCATTAAAGTTTTATATTATATTAATTGAAGAGATATCCAAATTAGAGTTACTTTATTTTATCTTTAATTTATAACACTTATTATATTCAGTAGTACTCCCATTTGATTCACTAATTACTTATAAGTCAAACACTGGTATTTATTTTATATATAGTATGATATTATATAAAATATAATGTTTTTTTTTGTTTTAAGTGTTATTGAACATTAAGAAAATTTTTGAAAGTAACACTGTAAATATTTTTAAATTATTTTTTTAATGTTTAATTAAATTTATTAATTTGATTAGTTTAGTTTGATAACATAAAATAATGACATTAATTACTATTTTTATGGAGTATCTAACAAATAGGATTACAGTGGTTGTCAATATATTGATAAATGCATTTTACTTATACTCTCTAATGAATGAGTATTATTATTGTATATACTTTTTTGAATTGTTATTTTAAGTCAATGGATGAGAGAGAGAGAGAGAGAGAGAGAGAGAGAGAGAGAGAGAGAGAAGAGAAATATTTGTGCTGATGTTTGCATAAGCTATCATCTGATATATTATATATAATATTAATCATTTGATCCAATATATGATGTTTTTGGTTGATGTCAGAGGAATGTCATATAATAAGATCAAATGCCAATAAATTGATTACATTTGAATAGTAGGGCTAAATAATTACTTATATTAAATTTATCATTATATAAATTACTACATAATAATAATAGTACAATAAATACAACAATTATAATTTTTATTCAAGTTATGGTGAAATTATTTTAATGAAAAAATATTTAATGAGAAGTTTTAGAAAACATAAACATTAAAAAACATTATTTTTATTCCAAACAAATGTTTGAATTAAAATTGAATTTATTTTAATTATATTTGTGCTGACATTAAATGTAATAAATAATAATTTTAATATCTTTATGTTTTGATATTTTCTAAACTGTTAATAATCACTAAAATACTACAATTTTTTTTATAAATATGATTAAATAATAAGAAATTTTAATAACTTTTATTTACTATTTAAAAAAATCAATAAATAAGGTTTCGGTCATTGACTCAATTGTTAATCTTTAAGCAAACATTTTTAAAACGATAATACATTTTGAATATATCAGAATTTTATAACAAAATTAGAGACTATAAAATATTTTAGATTATACTATAAAGTAGTATAATATTGTATTAATAATACATTATAGATAATAATTTTTCTAATAATATGTTTATGTATTTCCAGAACTTGTGTCCACTAAAAAATGAAATGATAAATATGCCTAATATGCCGATTCAGATGACAACAAATCCGGCACATCTTGAAGGAGAGTATGAGATATTGGTTGAGAAGACCTACTCGACATCACAACAGGCGTGTAATACAAATCTTCATTTAATGAATCAAATAAACAACGAAATTACTGTTTATCCGAATGGTCTGAACTCGGTTTCTGGACCTCTAACTGTTGCCCCGCATATTGGCAGAGATGATCATAATACCGATCAGTTGACTCCTCGGTCGGGATCTATTAGTGAGACATCGACCTCACCAGAGAAGGCAAGTGACACGTCTAGCGGTGTTCACTCAAACTCAAGCAATGAGAACAACGGAACGCCTCCGCCGTCAATATTTCTTGAGAAGAGGTCGTCTTCGATGGAGAGCCTTATGCAACAAATACAGGCCGCAGAGGCCGCTAATAAACCATGTTTTAGAAGTTTATCTCTTCAGAGATATATGGCGTCACTGCCAACCGATCAGACATATAATAATATACCACATCAAAGGATGAGTTCGTTTAATGAGAACGACCAGACAATTGTCATTAGACGAGCTAAAAGACCTCAGAGGACATCAAATATATTTACTAATAATGTGGGCAACAATTCAAACGGTCAACAACTTTATGGTCGCGAAACAAACTTAAGAATGACTTCATTTACAGAAAACAATGATTACATGAAATTTCATTCAATGCCAGCTCAGCCTAAAATGGTTGCCATACCATCCGTACCTACGAGTCAGACACCATTTAGTAATAACGAATATTCTCGACAAACATTTAATGATTTCAAGCCATACATTGCAAACCAGAATCTGTACTCTCATGTGATTACAGGCACACAGAAACCGGTTGTTAGTATAGCTCCGCAAGTGATGTCTACCAATGGAAACTCCAATTTCCTGCAACAAAGTCAGCAACAGAGAGAACCAACCAATTATTCATTCATCAGCAGTCATACCAATCCTATTGAATCAGTACTTCCAATGCCATCGACGTGATTGCCTACAGATAAGATTATAACCGATTTATAGTAAAAGTTCATCAAAAATAATGTAATACAACTGTCACACTGAGCCTGGATTAGTGTCTGTATATATAATATGTATTTATGATATCACATAATATTGAACAATAATATCATTTGAACGACTTTCCAAATTATGCTGCGCTCAGCACTACAAAAGATAGACTGAGTTTTATATGATATATATATTATATAATATAAGATGATTTGTAACGTATATATTGTTTGTAATGTTTGTATAAATCTTTGATTATTTTGTATGACATTCCTATTTATGACTAACAGTAAACATCTTTTAGTCAAAAGAGTTGACGAATAAGCGCTCTTTAATTCTCCAATACTTGTATTATATATAATCTATTTTGCAATATAACTGTCCAAAAATAAGGGCGTCCTCTTGATTGTCAAATCATTGTTTATTTATAAATATTGATATTTGATTTAAACACATCTATCTGTTTCTGAGTGTATGAATGAAATGTATATTTGTTGTCATGATTTCTCAATTAAAAGGACAGTCATATTTTTGGTACTAACCTAACAGTTATATTGTTAGATAATATCATACAGTATTATCTAACATATAGTTCAATATAAAGACAAGAATGTAGTGTTTGTTAACAATAGTATTGTATATAACTATATAAAGTATATAAATTTTTATTAATTAGTTATACTATTTTAACAATTAAAATTTAATAATAATTGACATAAAATATCATTATAGTAATTCAAATGTAAAATACAAATGTACATAATCAAGTCATTATTTAAATGATCATGTTTATTTTATTTTATTTTATTTTATTTTACTAATGTTAGCAAACACTACAGCAATGGATTTACCGCTGATCTCTAAAAAATAAAGCTTATTATAAATAAAACAAAAACATAATGAAAATGACAAAATCTTTCTCACTGTTTATAATTTTTCTATATTTAAATCGTTTATTATTTTTTTTTTAAAAATAGTGTAATATCGTAAAACAATTATTTAATTATGGTTTTTACACCATATGGATAAAAATATATTTTGAAACTGACATCTTATTGCAATTTTAATATATTATTTTAATCTTTTTTTTAAATTAGTCTATTTATACTGTAAAATCAAACACTACATTAAATATTTAAAAAAGTGTTTTAAAAGTAAAATATTTTATGTAAACATGCAATACATGAAAGCTTGATCCCGAAAGAATAGCTCAATTTGTTTAAATTACAATAATCTTAAATAACAAAAAATATTAAACTTTAATACATTATAAATTATATATCAAAATTGATGTCATTCTGAGTATAATCTATCAAAAATTAATTTTTAATATTCAAATTATAGGGTATGTGAATATTATGTGTAATATTTAAATAATAAGCAATTTTGATGTCATAAATGCTGATCTCTTTCTCTGTCTCATTGTTTTGATGACATATTTAGTGCCAATTTATATATAAATAATACAATGAAATTCAACTTTTTATAAATAATGTATAAGTCATGAATGGGCTATCATTTTAATAATTTTTATCAAAATATTGTATACGATATCTTATTTCATGCATTTTAGCATTTTATTGGAAATCTATTTATACTTTTATTACATTTATATTATATTTATTGATTGTGAATACCGTTTTTATCTGATATTAAGTAAATTATAGCAACAGTATAACAAACCACTGTTTAATCTGATTTTTGCCGACTATTTTCTAGTCTTTTATCATTTATTATTATTATCAGTGCTATTGTAAGTTTAGGCTTCAATTCAATTGTAAAAATGTGATTTTAAAAGACCATACACTAAACATTTGTCAGAAAAAACAGTGTATAATATAAGTAAATTGTGAATCACTGCCACAAAATGGTAGTGAAAAAAGTCCACACATTTTACTTTTTATTGCTAATAAGTTATTGGTCTTTAAGTCGTATAAATTACAATTAAACTAAACCTAAACTTAATGTTTCCTTTATGAGCCTTATTTTATATAATATTATAAAAAAGATTATACATTTTTTTTGCTAAATTGGTTTATTAATACAAATTTTTATAAGAATAACCATTTGTGGATTTTTATATCATATTTATATAAAATTTGCTAAAAAAAAGTTATGTCATAATATTCATTATGTTTATGTTGCTTATTTAATAAATAATTTATATAATAATTAATATGTTAAACTAATTATTATTATTATTATTATTATTATTACGTTATATTATTAATATTTATATGTTTTAATGTATATAAATTTGTAATTTTAATATTAATATTTAAAAATTGTATCGAAACTGTATTAGTGATATTTGTTTACTTTAAAATAAAATAAAATAATTTAATTAAATAAATGATTTGTATTTTGAAATTATTTAAATATATTTTATAATTTATAATAAACTATAACATGATTTGATGTAATAATATAAATGTATAGTTAATTATTTACAAATTTATAGTTTGATATCTAAAATGCATGTCTGTCTGTATGTCTGTGTGTTGTAATACTGTTACAAATTTTGAATTTTAATTTCAAATTCATATAAAGAATCAAAAAGTAGAATAAGATTGTCTGAAAAAGTAATGTCCAAACAAACAGTCAGAATTGTCAACAAATATTTTTTCAACAAATTTATTTTTTACTGTTTTATTTACATATTTTATTTATATATAAGTAAATGATTGGTTGAGTATGTAATTATACATTATAATTGATTATTTAGTTATTTGTTAAAAGGATGAGAAACTTTTATAAAAATAAATATCATTAGTTTGAGAATATATTTTGAGAGTATTAAGAAATTTAAGTTGGGAATATTTTCCTTTTTTACGGGAATTTATTAGGAATTTACTTAAATTTGGTAAAAATTTTCATTTAAAAATGCAATAAAATTGTTTACCCCCACCCTATACCCCTCCTTGAGATCGGAAAACTTTAGTAACACTGATTATGATATTAGTGTAATAATATTCAATAAGTAACTAAAATTAATGTTTACCATTAAATAGTAATAGTTATTGCTTATGTTATAAACTGTATGTTATATTAAATTTAATTGAAAATAAAAATATATCCTATATATCAAAAATAATATAAAAATCAACTTTTAATAAAGTAATGTTAATATACTGTATATACCGGTATTATTAATGTTATTAACGGTAAGATATAGAAAATAATATTATAGTAATAATAAAAATAATTATCAAAGCGCGTGTACCGGTAGAGCATTAAAATTAATAAATTTATTATATGTAATAAATCACGATATTTTTGACAATTTTTATTTAAATTTAATATCAGTTAATATATATATATATATAAAGAGAGAAATAAAATCAACGGTCAATTAGTTTTGGCACAAACAGAGCACTACTAGCAATAAAAACCCGCAGCTATTATACCCATCAAAAGACCCAAATCTACCGAAGCAAATATGTCTCGCAATATGTCATCAGCTGGTTATGGAGGTAATCAAAGGAGTGCATCAGCTCAACATTCCTATGGATCTCAATTTGGCGGACGTCCTGTTCCCCAACAATACGGTCAGTTTGATGGCAATCAAAGTATGAATCGATCGGTTTCGGCACAGTCTGGCCGTTCAAATGTAGGCGAACAACGAGTAGTGAAGGGTTACAAACATCATATGTTGGCCATGGGATTTGTTCCGCAACAAACTCGAAGACGAACGGCAAGTAATGAAGAACTGTCATCTGGAGCTCGAAGATGTCAATCAGGTAGTCTCCGGTGTCGATCACAGAGTCCGATGAACTCAGGTGCAGGTTCTCGCAGATGGCAATCAGGTAGTCTTGAAGGTCGATCGCAGAGTCCCATGCCTTCTTCTAGGATGTTACCATCGGGTGCCGGTGCTCGCAGATGTAGATCAGAAAATATTCAGTGCCAATCATTTACTCAGAGACCATCTTCCAGATTGCAATCGAATCCATCAGATCCCAATCAGGTGCACATCGAGCAGTTTCTGAATGTGCCGCGAGGTCAGGAACAGTCAGGATTTGGACCATTTCCTCCTACTCCGGGTAATCGCAGTCGACAGTCCTCTAGGTTTGGAAACAATGATCAGTACTAAGCTTTAGCTAAGAAAGATTGCCATCAATACAGAGACTATTGTAATATTGTATGAACTGATAAAATCTAAATACAATCAAAAGTGTATGAAATAAAATATAATATTTATTAGAAAACAAGTGTTACTCGTTATTCAAATTTTTGAAATAAAATACATTTATTTAGTATTAGTATAAAGATTTAGTAATTATCATAAACAGAAAGTATTGATAGATTAGTTTGTAATCATATTTTATATTGAAATCAAATCAAATATTGAAAAATTAAAGTTTGAACTCAAATACTGTTTTCATTAAATAATATATCAAATAATAATCATTTATATAAGTTATATACCGTATAATAATTTCCTTTAATATTTATTAAAAATCAAATTATTATATTTTCAATATTGTAATGTTAACATTATTAATTTACTTTTAAAAATATCTAAAGCAACTCAAATAAATTATATTTTAAAAACATTAATAATAAATGTAAAAAATTGGGTTAAAATATTTAGCCATTCTTGTTTTATTATTGATTTATTTAGAAATTCATATATTTTTTATTTATAAATTAAATTTTAATGAAACTTAAATTATTTATTTATTAGATACAGTATATATTCACATTTATAAATTATAGTTTTAATTGCTCAAAATTAGTTTAATTTATAAAAATAAAATACTGTATAATATTTAAATTATTTATTTATTTTAAAGATTCAATTACAATATACACGATAAAATACTAATAGATAATTGACAATAAATTTGAAAAATATCTAATTTGTATAATATATTATATAATTACAATTACCGGTAACTATAATATTATAATTTTTAACATTAATAATATCTTATCATTTTAAAGAATTTTGTATAATTATTACATTATATAACAATAACTATTAATAGAGTAAACTTAAGTAAATATTAACAGTTATTAGAAGTTATAATGACATTAATTAGTATATAATAAATACAATATATTTGTGTAAATAAGTTTAACATTAAGAGAAAAAGTTAAGTATTGATAGTATTGATAGTTATAGTTGGTTGAGAAGCAATAGCTTCTTCATAAGAGGGCGGCATTTGTTGGGAGGCCTCGTAAGTGGGTGGAGGGTCTCGAGGAGGCAATAATAACAATAATGGAGATATCGGTTGACATACAATAGGATGCGGCACTTCATTACTCCCAACACTTGGATTTGTGTCAATACGACTATTGGTATTCATATGACATTCAACCGCGTCATCTGAATAAACATTTCTAATACCGTTTTCCCGATTATTGTTATCTATGCTATTAATTGGTGGACTCCGAGGATTAATAAATTTATATAAAAAGCCAATTATAGCAAAAACAACAAATGGTGAGACACTAAGTAATATATAGACGTATTGAAGTGAGTTTCGGTTGAGTACCCGATTGTCGCCCGTGTGGTACTCCTTCTCAAACAACTCAGGAACGCATACTTTGGCAGTACTATTGAATCTTTCTGGAGGACAAACCTTACATTTTTGGGTCAATTGGTCGAAGGCATTGATGTGAGAGTCCAATGATTGTCGACAAACACACACTTTCTTAACTTTTTCGCAATCACTGAGTTTGTCGTAAACGCGACAATTGGCCGTCGATTTGCATGACTCGCCGTGTTTTGCTCGTCGGTAACATTGCTCATCAGTCGAATAGTATTCATAACCATAATTGCATTGACACTTGGATTGTAAACATACTGTGTGTCCACCCGTACAGTCATTATTGAAAGAACACAAAGAGTTAATGTGTCCTCTAATACATGAATTGTTTAGAAAGGAAAAAGAAAATCCCGGACGACATACACAACGCTTAAGATTGTAATTGTCGACAGTTTTCACACAAACAGAGTTGTTCTCACACTCGGCGTCTATAAAACAGATGTCTCCAACATTTTTATACTTATCTATACATTTGATGTCATTGATGTTAATGGGAAAGTCAGGTTTGCAAACACAGATATGATAACTGCAATATGACTCTCGTAGTGGACAACCACCGCCTCCGATGTGCGTAAAATCACAGTCAATATTCAGATATTTTGTCTGATTTAAAGTCGGATCAATTGATAGAAAATTAGAAGATATTAACATCTGTGAACTCATTACTATTGATATCATTAATAATAAATTGTTGAAAACTTTGATTTGAATAAACAAATCTATAAATGAATATTGCATTTGATATCAATATAATAAAGACAACAATAAGAAGACATGATTTGAATCCAATTCTATGGCGACTATAATATCGATCGCTATTTTCAATTGAGTTTTACCTCTTCCTAAGCTTCTTGTGCGCAATCCTTGCAGTCTTTTATATATATATATAAATTTTATTGATATATACAGACTGTATAATACAGTACTAAACAACTCATATAATATACAGTAGTATTATAGTCAAGTCTATTAGGAGTATCAATATTTACTTTAATTTGCACTATATTTGCATATATATATATATATATTACATATATGTATATATATCACAAATGTTTTTTTTATTATATTATATATTTTTATTATTTGCTATTTTCTAAAATATTACAGATTTGCTACTAATTTAAATATTTCTAAAATATAAAGTAATATAAAGTTGTTAAATTTTAAAAATTTAAGAAATATTTAAAATAAAATTTTCATAATATATTTAATTTACTTGTATTTTACAGCTATTGTAAATAATTGAATATATTTATATTATTAAACATTTATATACATAATAAATGTAAACGATAAACAAGATTTAATATATTATTCCGTTTCTTTTGTTATCAATATTTACTTATTATTTTGAAAACGCTTCAATAGGTTTTATAATATATAATTTTATTTGTATAATATGTGTAATATTATAGCTTATATTGCAAATAATCATATAATAAATACTATATTTTCAAAATATTGTTGAATTACATTAGAATATACTTTGATATTAAACATTAGTTTAAAAAAATAATTTACTTATATATTTTATAACACATGTGTAAATGACTTTTAACATATATAATTTAATTGATAATAATATTTCATTATTTTAATTTATAATTATGTAAACTTAATTAAATATCAGTCAGTATCAATTAATTATAACTTTATAAAACTGTTAATCTTTTTATGGTTAATAAATAGATAGTATACAATATTATATATATAGTAATAGTTAAAAATATTTATTTTAAAAATCACACAAATGTTTCTTATAATTGACACTCTGGTTACTCACCCGACGATTAACGTTTCGATTAACTCTTCATTCACTTGTAATGTGTGTGTGTGTGTGAGAGAGAGAGAAAGAGAGAGAGTGAGTGAGTGTGTGTGTGTGTGAGAGAGAGAGAGAGAGTGAGTGTGTGTGTGTGTGAGAGAGAAAGAGAGAGAGTGAGTGAGTGTGTGTGTGAGAGAGAGAGAGAGAGTGAGTGTGTGTGTGTGTGAGAGAGAAAGAGAGAGAGTGAGTGAGTGTGTGTGTGAGAGAGAGAGAGAGGAGAGAGTGAGTGTGTGTGTGAGAGAGAGAGAAAGAGAGAGAGTGAGTGAGTGTGTGTGTGTGAGAGAGAGAGAGAGTGAGTGAGTGTGTGTGTGTCAGAGAGAGAGAGAGTGAGTGAGTGTGTGTGTGTGAGAGAGAGAGAGAGTGAGTGAGTGTGTGTGTGTGTGAGAGAGAGAGAGTGAGTGTGTGTGTGTGTGTGTGAGAGAGAGAGAGAGTGAGTGAGTGTGTGTGTGTGTGTGAGAGAGAGAGAGAGTGAGTGAGTGTGTGTGTGTGTGTGAGAGAGAGAGCAATTTAGTCTACTTTTTTAATTCATAAGAAGTGTTTATTTGTAAATTTACTTAAAATAAGTGTGAATTCCTAATATACATATACACATATATTACATAATACTGAATATTTGAAATGTAATATCAAATCGATAAATGAAATTTTGATGGTTTAACATATATTATCAATTAATGCTTATTTGAAATAATTGAAAATATTGATTTACTAGGAAATAGTTGCTTAAAATTATTGATTTAAAAAATTTTTAATATCACAATCTTTTTAAATTACATTTATATAACAATTACTATAAACAACAAATTATATATAGCCTATAGTAATATTTTTACAAATAAAAATAATACAATTTATTATACGATCGTATAAAAAAAATTGTATTAATTTTTAATTATTTGTAAAAATATTGGTGTAAATAATTTGTTGCTTAAATTTACTATTAATGAAACAAAACAAAAATATATAAATTGTATAAAATGTATAAATTAATTATTTTAATTATTATGTTATTATATATAGTATTTGTATTATTACTGTATATTAATATTTATTTTTAGGTTTAATAAAAAAATAGTTATTTATATGAAGTAAAAGTGATTTAAATTAAATAAATTGATTGAATGTGTGATATGTGTTGACCTCTGGTGTGAAATACGTGTAAATATGTGTTAATATTTGTCAACACATCTGAAGACCAATTGGTTTGTTGTCTGAAACAGTGATTGCAATCCATTGTATGATATGTTGTCCGACATGTGATATGACATCGACCGCAACGACCGACGAAGCAATGGTCCAACCAATGGCTCAATCTGTGGCCCGATTGGCACAAATGACATTCACTATCAACAGATTGGTCGCTGAAGACGTATTCAATGAATCACTCAACAAACTGAAGAAATTGTTGTCACAAATGACACATAAAGACATCAATTTAGACAAAGAATTAATGAATGAGTCGTTGATTAGCCGATTGCGGTCACGAAGATGTTCTGTCACTTTTGTGCCCATCTGTGAGACACAACACTTCCAGATGTGTTGTTTTGCTTTGCGAACAAATCGATGTCGGATTCCTCTTCATAATCACCCGCAGATGTTTGGACTCATTAAAGTGATCTATGGATGCGTTTCGGTCGACAACTATACAGCACTTCCTGTTGATGGCAAATACATTCTTCCCAATGATGTCAGCAAACGTGTCGAGCGATGGCAAAGAGATTTCTTGGGTATTACTTCATCAGTAAAAGATTTATATTGAATATTAAATTATAATTACATTATCACTAATCAGTTCCCGTCATATATAATGGTAAGACAACAATCGACAGTCAATCAAAAGAAGTATGTGTTTTGACACCAAATCAACGTAATTATCACGAAGTAGTAGCCATCGATGGTCCGGCAGTTATACTCGACATATTAGGTCCGCCCTATCGTGAAGACAGAGAGTGTCACTACTATAAAGTGGTGACCACTGTATATGACCATCGATTGCAACGGGATATCACTTGGCTCTTGGAATTAGAGGATCCACCTGAAGACTACCGGTGCGATTCATTGCCATATATGGGACCAAACATTTATTTCGATTGATTGTTACATTTTAGTGTAATTTATGTAAAATAATGTCATATAATTTGAATAATAAATTTAGATAATAGTAATTAAATAAATAAGTATTTCTAATAATGTAGAAAACAAAATAAGTTTTTTATTTTACTTAATAATACTGTGATTTCAATTGTAGTTTTAATTTTGTTATATAAAAGGACAGCTTTATGTGAATATCAGTTTATTAAATGAATTCAAATTTCAATGAAATTATGTAAATAAATTTACTTGAATTTTGTAGTGAAAATAAAATAAATAAAATTTATTTTTAAGTTTTTTATTAGAATATATATATATATATCGAAATTAATTTTTTATCAAATTATTATTATTTAATTGTTTTGTAGAATTCACTGTTTTTTAGTCAACAAATAAACAGTTTCTTGCACTTGAATTGATTGTTTCATATGATTTTGATAAAGTTGGACGTGTTGTGGGACAGTACTCTCTAGTTTGTCAATGTTGCAAAATGACCCTGGACATTTATATATAATTAAAATTACCGGTAATATAATAAATACGATACTATTTTCTGTGTATAATTCATAAAATGTTTTTTTTAATTTTATATTTATATAATACTAACCATACAAATGATTGACGCGTTCTTCAGATATACTAAATGGCGGTCCTTTGAATAAATTGTCATCAAATTCAAGCACAAGTAGTAAGTAATGGAAATCGGGTGCTAATAAATGTCTCATTGTATTAGCGTAAAGCACCTGCTCTTCATAAGTAATAGTACCGAAGCTGCCTCTGTCCCAAACGGCATCAATTGTATGTTTTAATTGTGGACTAAAAAAATATTTAATAAACAAAAATAAAAAATAGTTTTATTATTAATTAATTTGTATTTTATCTATTTGTATTATACCTGTCTAATGTTAGAAAATTTGTTTGAAGTATTTTTAGGTTTTTGTCATTTGTCTAAAATAAATCGTTAATCTAATTAATATCACTTTTATTTTGTTAGTAAAACAGTTTCTCACTTCAAATATTTTGCATTTTTCCAATTCAGACGATAAATAACTTTTATGGCTTATCTTATTTACACTGAAAAAGTCATCAATAGCTTCATCAGCGCACTCAACACCAATCACTTTATGTCCTGTTTCCCAATACCTGTTGTGACAATTTTTTTTATGTTAGTCTATATACATATTTTTTAATTAGTCAACTAATGTTTTTCTAACAATTTTCCATAAATATTATAATCAAAAGTAAAATACTGTCACTTTTTTTTGTTTAAAAAAATTGTTTTGATAATAATTTATTCATACCATTTCATGTCAACATTTTTGCCGCACAGAGGAAATAGAAATCGCTTTTTATTTGAATTATTTTCATTATTTGTTAAAAGATGATCATATTTGACCAGGACACTTCAATTAAAAAAAATGTTTCACTTATCAAATTATATTACATATAATATATAACTATTATACACTTACGGGTGTCTGTTCTCCAAATGCCAGGCCGTGTCCCTAACTGACCACAACTTTTTCCAAATATCCAAATAATTGTCTACATTTTCATTGCTAATTGAATTACTAATAGTAATTGGCATTTTCAACTAATTTATTTAATTGTTCTACACATCAACTTTTTAATTTGACAAATATAATAGATAAAAATATAAAACTTATTTTGCTTTTATACTTGATTTAAAAAAATAATTTATTGTAAGGTTTTGGGTTAAACATAATTAGATATACTTATTATTATTAATAACTTGTGTAAAAATTTTTTGTTTGTTGATCAATGAAGGTTAACATAAAATATAGATAAAGTCTATTAATTAAATAGAGATTTACGTACCAAACAATTTAGACTAAACTAGATTTTAGATCTAAAATTAATTTTAAAAATCTATTGAACACACATAATCTACAGTATTTTTTATGAAAAATTACGGAAAATTTCTCTAATTTAAATTATACTTTATTTTTGAGGAAAATAATTTTTTAATTTAGTAAAAGATAAGACAATCTATAAATTATGGTATTCTTGAAATTTTTAAAAGCATTTTCATGTTTATTTAGAAATACAACAAATATTAATTAAAAATAGTTTATTATTTTATTAATAAGATAAAAATTTGTTGTTTAAAATATTTAATAACTATAAAATTATTTTTGTTAAAAACAATTATTTTTGAAACACTATATAAAAATATAAATTAGATACAATTTTGTGATGGATGCTTTTATAAGTTTAAAACAAAACAATTGAATGTTTAATCAATATTCAATGAAGTTATTCAATACTATATGGATTCAATAATAATAAAATAATGTAATTAAGTGCATATATATAATATGAAATATTTATTGATATATAATGAATATATATATATAGATATATAGTATTTTATTTTTTTAGAAAATGATAATTATTGTCTGGATCTTAGTTTGGGTTTATATTCAATAATATTGGCACAACTGAGCTGATTGGATGAGTAGTCTTGTTTGTAGACAATAACAGATCTACTGATTATATTATTGGGTCCACAAAGTGGTAAAAACATATCAGTAAAAAAATATTTCCCGATATCGAGCTCTCCTTCTTCGGTTACTTTATAAGGAGGAATGTCTATAAAACCCAATTTTGACGACATGTCACCCAATTGGCACCGGTATGGAGTGGTTTGAGTACAATCCCTTTCATAGACACAATTTGCTGATACATTATATGGATTGAAGATATCACCGCTAGTTCTACACTCAGATGTACTCCAATTCATATTACCTGTTAATTAATTAATTAAAAAATTATCATATTTTTAGAAATACACAAAAAAACTTAAATTACCTGGACTAATTTGATTAATATGTAGCTTCCAGGGATGGTTAGACGTTTTGGTGGCATTGTCGTCACCCGGTTTGGAAATTTCAATGTAGACATACGTATCAGCACTACAATTATCCGATGGCTGTCTAAATATGAACTGTCCCTGAATTGGGTGATCAAATGTGGCAAATGCTGTCGTCATATTGACACCATTGATCTCAATGTTGGAACAGCCAATTGTGGTTCCTTCGGGACTATAAAAAACAAGTGCTCTGCCGATGACAGAGTCGCGACCAAAGAGAGGTAAATTAAAATCAGTTAACGTCACCACTTCTGTTGTTTTGTCGGCCAAATTTCCGTATTTACCGCTCAAATCTCCGACTGCATACTGATCTGTAGTTCCTAATCCTTCAGTGGGAACAGAGTCGGGATCGATATTACGCGGATTAAAGATAATACTATTAATGTTTGGACAGTCTTTATTAGACAGTTCTTTGCTTCTGACAATTTTGGGTAATTCGTCGATTCCATAGCTGTAAGCGTTTCTGAAGAGTTCAATATTGATTTCAACAATAGTTGGATCAAAAGGTGTTTCTTGACTCAACTCAACCGATCCCTTAAGCATTGGATAATTAAATTTAGCCGAAGCTGTGCGGGTATGCACTCTCTCAATGGGAGCACAACTTAATATTTTACCCGAATTTTCATCGGAATATATAATTAAATAGACGACAGAAACCAAATCAATTGATAATAAACTCTCAATATTTTTAAATGTATTGCCATTACTTGAAAAAGGATCCGATCCTATATTTATTGTTCCGGGAGTTAACTAAAGCATAAAAATTATATTTATTTATATTTTCATAAAATAATTGATAATAAATATGTCAAACCATATCTTTAAAGAAAGGGCGGCCAAGAAATGAGTTGCAATTATTAAGTCGATGGTCAGTCTTTGCTTTATCAGTTGCATCTGAGTCGAGACCAGCCATTAGTGTCCACTTATTTGCAGACGATTTCTTTACTTGTGTTGAATACGATAGACTCGACATAAGACCCGTTATATTATTGCATTGAATTAAGTAAACTGAGCCTTCAATTGGTGAATAAAATTTGGCCTCAAATATCTTTTTAGAGCCAAACGGCAGTATTATAGCACAAGAAATTGATCCGGTTTTCAGATTTCGCAAAACTAGTGTTTTGCCAATCAGAGTGTTATCTCCGGTAATTGATTGAAATCTGGCCGATAATATGTTTTCGCGACCAATTTCTAATGGACCCAACAGAGTGGTCAGATCTAAGCTCATGGATGATGTACTGGTCGATGGACAGCCTGTTTCGCCAGACATGCCAACAGAGCTTCCATAGACTTTCCAATCAAATGATTGTTTGTCATTTGATCCCAAAATATTGGCCCGAATTGAAGTAAATCCGTTGTTCTCCACAAACAATACATATCCTCGCAAACCATTGGACTGAATGTTTGCGATCAAACTCTGGGAAAAGTCCAATACATTAGTCGTCGAAGAATTGCTTGTGTTTGACGACAATCGCTGRCTATTTATTGCTATTATAATTGCAATTAAATTGTGTTTGCAATAAATTATAATTTGTTAAATTAATTTTAATATTATAATAATTTAGTATAATTATAATAATTATAAATAATAAATAATAACATTACAAATTATATGATAATAATGAATGTTTATTTTTTTATTACTTTTTTAGTGCCATTTAATTTAATTTATTTAATATTTTAATATTGATGTTAAAAATATGCTACCATTAATTTGTTTATTGTTAAAACATAATAAAAACTGGATCTATATATTTATATACACAGTTAAATATAATACATGTATAAAGTAGTATTTAAATTATCTCATACTTTATATACAGTAGTATAACATAATACAGTATATAGTACACACGTATTAAAGTGTATGTATGTTATATGAAATGCTGTTTTTAAATCTCATATCGCAAATAATAGTATGCAATCTTAAATTGTTAACAAAAATATTTGACCTCATTTTATCACTTGTAGTGAAAAATCTTGAACTTATATAATAATAATAATATTATATTGCAATTAGTAAATATATCACTGTTTTATATCTTATACGTGATCTGATATCTATTGATTTAATCTTCACTTTGATTGTAAAGTTTTATATAAAGTTTTAAATTATTCTAAACTAAAATTTGTAAAATACTGAATAAAGTTTATTAAAAATTATGTAAAATATGTTATTAAACTATATGTATAAATAATTTAATTTAATTGTTTATAAACGAAACAAAAATATATTTAATTACAATTTATTAAAAAAATGTTATTTAATTATAATTAAATAAAATTTATAAAATTACTAAATTAATATTACTTACGTATAAATAATGATAATATGATGAAAGTTACAAAAGTCGACAAAGTGTTGAAAAAGTCCGTTAACACCATTGCTGTCCTAATTCAAGAACTGGTCACAAGACAGACAATGTTTGCTAACTTTCTATTGATATTCAGGTCTTATATTGAGGTCCGACCCAAACCAGTGAAAGCCTTCACAACAATCAATACAACTAAATAATTGATTAATTTATCAAAAATAGCACTTTTATGTAGTATTGTTGTTATATTTGAAATTACAAAATTTTCAATATATAATACAATCCAAAAAATTGGTTTTTATTGAATACTCTTTTTTTTAAAATACATGTATGTCTTAACTCGTGCGGAGTTAATATGAAAATGAAATTTAATTTTAATTTTAACATTAGATGAAAGCAGAAGCAAATGGCAAAACAGGAAACAATTATTTAGTTAATTAAACTATTTTTAAACTTTCTTTTTCGGTAAGAAATAGCCCACACTTTACAAAACAAATCGTTTTTATTTAATTTTCATGGCTTTCTCTAATTGTATGTTTGTCTAAACATTAAACTAATATTATGATTATAATAACTTACTATTAAAATTTCATGAGATTTAAAAAAAAAATTTAACAAGTGGTTGTATTATAATTAGATTATATCAATTGTTTTGTATATCAAAATGTTATATCTCTCCATAATTTTACTATAAATAGTTACAAATAAATATTAGGTTTTTACTGTTAACTAAGTTTAAACAATTGCATATTTAATTATGTGAAATATAAATGTATTAATTTTACAATAACAATACAATTAAATTGTTTATGCAAACAAAAAATTACCTTTTAGAAAATTAACAATAATAATAAATTCATTAATAAACCAAAATAAATTATGACAAATTATCAATTAATAATTATATAAATAATTAAAAAAAAATATATAAAATTTATTCATTAATTTTTAATAAAGTTTGCACTAGGTCATATTGTCCATTTGCTATTCAAAAATAATTATATTTTTATATTATATTTTGTTTTATACATTAAATAATAAGTGTATATATTAAATATATAATTATTTATTAATTAAATGAAATGATTTAAATTGTAATTAAAATGTTTTAAAAAGTATTGCTGAGATTGAAATTATATCATATCATAAAATATCTATATTTAAAAAATATAATATAAAAATGTGGCATTTTTGTTGTGTTGTTGTTGTATTTGAATTATAAAATTTTAATACGTTTATTAATTATCATATATTATTCAATACAAACAAATAACCTTGGTTCAACTATTCATAATTAGTTAATTTAATTAAATAATGATTTAAGATATAAAGTTTCAACAAAAACAATCATTATTACTGTTAACATAAATGTATTAATTTTATTAAATATTTTCATTTTCAGTGTACAGATGGCATTCAAAATATATTTGCAAAACTGTATAAATTTATTGCAATTTAAGTCTAAATTTATATTTTCAAAACTATTATATAATATAAACCATCGATAAGTGTTACCAAATGATAACTTTTTATTTAGTGTTTAACATAGCTGTATATAATATAATAAATTTTAATAATACAGTATTTAATGAATTTATAAATTAAATAAATTTATATAAAACCAGTTGAGAATGCTAGAAAGCATTTTCAGACCAACTCCACCACTAAATTGGTTTATTAATTAATGTAAATATATTTATTAATAGTTTAATAATATTTTTTAATTTAAAAATTTCTTAATTACATTACATTAATAATGATATAATAATATGTAATCCATAGTATAAAATGACTCAAAGATGAAAAAATAATAAAAACTATAAKCATATTAGGTATCACATGATTCAGTAAAATAAAACAATATTTATTCATGTTTTTAATGACACAAAATAAAAAAAACTCGTCACTTATAATCACGTGATATCATAACTAAACTAATTATTATATAAATAAGTTTTTCTTATTTTTCTTATTTAATATTTTCATTTATATTTTGATATTTATTTGCAAATCAAAATTTTAAAAATGTAAATATATTTATTTTGACCGCTATTTTGTTTTTAAGATATAGATCATAACTTTTTTTTTAAACAACATTTCAGATTAAATTTTGATGTTTGAAGTCTAAACTTTTAAAAAAATCATTTTTATACTTTGGCCACCTTTTTAGATATTTTAGGATAATTTAGATATCATACTGATAGTCTAAATATTATTTTTGATGTATAATCCAAATCTGACTTAAGATTTTCAAAATTAAAAAAAATCCGACCAAAAGACAGACGGAAATAAATTCAGACAATTAATGCTTTCAGGAGTTCGTGAAAATGAGTGATAAATTTATAGTCATTTTTTAATTTGTAATAAAAAAGTCATTTAGTATAAAACTATACAGTAGTTAATGTATTTTACATTTCATATTTTCATTGCATATTAAATTATACGCACAAACATATCGTATTAAAGTTTTATATTTTAATAACAGTTAACTTTTTATTTGTTGGTATGTTTTTACTTTAAAATTGACCCAACATTTTGAAGATTACAACAGAATTTTAATTGAATTTTGTATATTTCATTAAAACTTATTTAAGACTTACATGTATTTCTATAAATTAAAATGTGAAAATTGTTAATACTATTTATACTATTTATATTATTTTTAATTCTAATTTAATTAATTTAAGTTTACTTTGTTTTCAATATTAAGATTTATATTCTAATATAATATTATTGTAAAATTCTTTAAATAAATTTAAAACATTTAAATGAATATTTTGTATGAAATATTTTTGTTACTTGTATTAGATCAGTATTTCCTTTATAAACCTTTATCGTAAATATAGTAAAATAAAATTTTTATTAATGAAATATTTGTTTATCAATTTGTTATATTAATTCAATTTTTAAAATACTTGTTTTCCAATAAAAAATTTATTTTTCAAATTATTATAATTATTGATATACAAAATATATGAAAAATCAATATGTGTTGTTACAAATTTTATAAGTTTGTTTTAAATACAGTATTTATTTTTGTGTCATCAAAATTACATTTATTATCTGATATAAATAAATTGAATTTTTCTTAAATATCTTACTAAAACTAATTAGTAAATCTAATATTTAATTTAATTTTGATCTTTTAATTATTTGCAATTAAGTTCTATACTATTAAAAAAATAAATATATTATCTTATAATTAATTATACAGATGGGAGATAAAATAGACTATTATTGTTTATAAATAGTTATAATTTATGTTTGTTAAAAATAATTATCCACTATTTATGTAAAACTCAAATCAATAAAAACTTCTGTTGACTTATAATACTATAGGCTTTAAGAGTCAATTTAATAGAAATGCTTTATTTTTAGCTAAATATTTAATGTCTAAATTATTAAAGCAAAACTACATTATATAAACGCTTAATATAAATGATTATGACTTAGAAATCAATATATGAACAGATGTTAGAATAAGATTGACAGCAATTTTAGAGATTATTAAAGATTAAGACATTTTGTTATATAAAACTCATTTATTTTGCATACAATATTTTACAACCAAATCTTAGTTAATAATAATAATAATAATAACTAGTTTGTCCCGAGCAACATGTATAGCCGTGCAATTCTTTTACTAATTTAAAAATATTTACTATAAGTAATTTGAATGAGACTTAATTTGTTTATACAACTACTACATAACCTAATGTAACAAAACTACTGAACCAATACACATTAATTCGACTAAACTTTTGAGAAATTTTAGTTTTTATATATATTTAAATAATTTTAATAAAAATTGAAAATTTAATTTTTGCGAAAAAAAATTTGCATTTGAAAAAAATTTACTGAAATTTAACACATGTAGCTAACATGTGCCATAAACTCACACAATATAGCAAAGTGTAATTACACGACACACCAGCCTACCTGTCCCTAAAACCTACCTGAGCTCAACAAAAATTTAAAATTTCCCATAGAAATAACATTACTTTAAATAAAAATTGAAAATTTTAACACAAATTGAAAATTTTTGCATTTGAGAAAATTTTACAAAAATTTAGCACAGGTAGCTTACCTCCCGGTGCCCTGTAACTCATATAATATAGCAAAGTGTAATTACACGACACCAGCCTACCTGTCCCTAAAACCTACCTGAGCTCAATAATCATTTAAAATTTCCCATAGAAATAACAGTGCTTTAAATTAAAATTGAAAATTTTAACACAAATTGAAAATTTTTGCATTTGAGAAAATTTTGCAAAAATTTAGCACAGGTAGCTTACCTCCCGGTGCCCTGTAACTCATATAATATAGTAAAGTGTAATTACACGACACCAGCCTACCTGTCCCTAAAACCTACCTGAGCTCAATAATCATTTAAAATTTCCCATAGAAATAACAGTGCTTTAAATTAAAATTGAAAATTTTAACACAAATTGAAAATTTTTGCATTTGAGAAAATTTTGCAAAAATTTAGCACAGGTAGCTTACCTCCCGGTGCCCTGTAACTCATATAATATAGCAAAGTGTAATTACACGACACCAGCCTACCTGTCCCTAAAACCTACCTGAGCTCAATAATCATTTAAAATTTCCCATAGAAATAATATTGCTTTAAATTAAAATTGAAAATATAACAATATATTTTTAGCTTTGAATTAAAAAATGGTTGTTGAGGAAGTGTGCACACATACAAACAAACAAACAAACAAACAAACAGACAAAACTATTATATTAAAATTATTAGGATAATATAATTTATAACTAAATATTATACTGTTTTTTCTATTAATAGTTAAAACAATCACTATTCCTTATTAAATTATTTATCATTAATAGTTATTAATTATATGTACATATAAATATTTATTTATTATTTAATAATAAAATAAATAGTAACTACGATTATAATTAATGTAACTAATACATTAATGTATATATTTTTTAAAAATTAATAACTAGATAAATAAATTAGTGATTAACAAAAAGTCAATTTCAAAACTAAAATTATAAAATAATAATATTAAAATTAAATAAATTTTTAAAAATTTAAACTTATTTATTTTATGATATTTTCAAATAATTTTTGATTTTAAGAGAATGTGCACTAAATTTTGAAAATAATATTTTAATAAATTTAAATAAGTAAGAAATCTAATAAACCGAAACCATGCTTTATTTTTACACTAAAATTTTAACCCAAATCCAAACCGTTTTTAGTTTAGCGACCACTAAATGATAAAATAAACCAATCAATCAAATTGTATACGTAATAGCAATTTATAACATGAGCTATTGATAAACACTAGATATGGTATATAAAAATAATATGAAATATAGATTAATCAATTATTTAAATTATATTTAAATAACATGCGGCATAATATATGTGCTAAATAATGTTTTAATAAAATAACAAAAATAATTTTAAATATTAATTAAATCATTTTCACTTTAAAAAATTTAACATTAAAACCATTTTGATGTTTCGCTATATACAATCAATGGCTTTTTTAAAACAAAAAATTCAATAAAAATTTTACAAACTTTGCTTTAAAGTTTAAACTTATATAAAAATATTGTTTACTATATAAATACTGTAATTATCTTTCAACAAAAATTGAGTTAATCAAAGACATAATTTATTAAGACTGAAATTAGTAAATTAATTAATAATTTAGTCCTAAATGAGTTGAAAAATAAGATTATTTAATATTTTGAGTCTTTTGAATTACACATATAAGTGATTATAATTGTTAAAAATTTACATATAATTTAAAATAATTTAGGATTTTCTTGGACTAAGATTAGAGATTTAGAGATGGGCAAATAGAAAGTTTCTAGAAAATTTCCCATGAATAAATTTCTATAGAAATTTAACTTATATTATACTATTGGATCCCCATATCTATATTTATTGGAAATACTATAAATATATTAATGAGACATAATATTGTACATATAATATTATATAAATGGGATACCTATATAAATAATTATAATTATCCAATAATAATCAGTTTTGTAAAATTTTATTCATTTTATTATATCATAGTTTAATATAATTAAATAAATTAATATTTACTTTAATTAATAATTAAAATACTTATAATAATACTTAATTATTACTTGTAATAACAATGTTACAAGATAACAAATATCGAGAGAACAAAATTAACCATGGGGATCCCAAAGATAGAAATTTCTTTTAGAAACTTTCTAGAAATTTCTCTATTATTTTATAAATTTCTCTTTTTTGCCAACACTAACTAAGATTTTAAAAATAGGATTTAAAAGTGTTTTCATATCATATCATATTTTTCGTTTAAATAACTGTTTTTTCTATAAATCTAAACAATCGACTAATTATTTAGATCTTCCTAAGAAGTTATGTCTCTAAATATTGCATTCATACTAATGAATAAAATATATTTTATGATGTCTTCTATATATAATATACCGTATATTTATAGTATATTTTATGATAAATTATCGTTATTTAGAGCTAAACATTAAATGAAAAGTGTCTAAACAATAAAGAAATGTTAGTAATCAAAGTTTTAAAGTAATTGCCATTGAAATGATATAACACTATAGAATATAATATGAAATCGTTATGATATATATAAACCTGAAATGAAATTTAATAAAAACTTAACTTTAAGGAGACTCCAGAGAAATCTATGATAAAAATGGATAGTAAGTCATAAATAAGTAACTTTTGTTACAAATAGTGTCATATATAGTATAATCAAGTAATGTAATACTGTATAGTATTGTATGAATTGAATGCATTACCCGTGAGACATAATATAATATTTTCACTTATGATATACAAAATAAATACTACAAAATTTTAATAGCTATACTATAGTGAAAACTTTTAATTATATAATGTTTGTAATGCTATTTTACAGTATTTATATTACTTTACTGTATAAGTCATAAATTGTTACTTTATTCAATACAATAATCTGCTCTATCTATATATAAATTTATTATTTCAAAATACTATATGATTTATACTATGTAATTTTTCGAAATTTAACAAAATCTATATCATAATTATTCTATAAGTCTAAATATTATCAAGCAATTAAAAATTTAGTTCATTTAACATTGGTTTGAATTTTGATATATAAAAAATTGCACTTTTTTAATCAAACTGTTGAAAACTAACCTAATTTAAAAATTATAAATTATAAGTAAATATTCTACAATACATTAATGTTATTTTAAAATAGAGACTAACAATCACTCTAACAGTTAGAGTCTAGCTTAACATTAAAGTTAAACTACTGTATAGTATAAGCTTAAAAACTTACGGTACTTTAAATTTTTTATAGAAAAATTCATTTATATAGTGTTTTGGCAAATATTGTTTGATATTTGCCACGCGTTTAATACAAATGATTTGCTTGTGATTAGTGTAGAAAATTATTTATACACTTCAATAAAAAAAATGATAAAAAATTAATGAAATAAAATATTATTTAATGATCGCTTCAATTTATTTTTATTGTCAATTGTTTACAATGGTATTTATATAATGTTACAATTTATATACTTAATTTACAATAATTTTTAAGAATACGATTGACTTAATTGATTGTATGTTAATATGAGAATACATTATATTAATAGATATAATAAGATCTATTTAAATAATTACTAATTTAATTACAAAACTTTTTCAATTTTTGTCAAAACACTTAAATTTTTGTATAATTATATTACTATTGTGTAAATTTTGTTGTTGTTGGTATCTAAGCTAATTTGTTGTAAAATTTACAATTTAATCAATTAGTCAGTCATATATTAAAATAATAATAATTAAAGTACATTATATTATTATTACTGTATTATTAAAAAATGAGAATATATTGAAAACTTGCTCTCATTATATATTTTATGGATATATTATTATTTAATTACTAAATAAATATTACTTTATAATTAATTTTATATTTACAAAACAATAGCTAATAATTTAAGTTATTTATATTTTGTTGAATTAGGGTTTTGTTAATGAACTCAAAAGAAATATTTTGACAAAAAAATAAAATGAAATATTAAACAATACATTTAATACATAATATTAAATAATAATTTAATACTTATATTAAAAGATGTGTTGGAAAAAATCACAACAAGTGATCCAATGGTTATTATCATTATTATTGCACTATTTATTTGAAAACACTATATGAATGATAAAAATACAATTAACTGCACTTCACATATAAAGTGTCTATATTTTTATTGGTTTGTCCTCTAACTCGGCGGTAATGCCATAGAATGTGTCAAAAACGGGTGATCTTTTTTAAGTCGATTTTCGGTGAGTTCATCGGTGTCCTCGTCGGATGACATGTCCTCCTGTCCCGAGAGGTCTAAGTTGTTTTGATGTTTTTTCTTAGCGGTGGCCATCTCTGCCGCGTGTCTAACGATTGGTTCAGAGTTTGGATTCAATTGTTTTTTATGGACTCAACTCTACTGAAAACAACTGTTTGCTCACCTTTTCCTCCATTTGGTTCTCCGATTTTGAAACCATACCTATCATTTGAAAACATAAATTTCATTTAATTAAGCATAAAATCTTATGTTATTTAAGTTTAAATTGATAGTTAAGAAAAAATAATGTAAAATATATTTATAGTATAAAATTATTTTTAAAAAATTGTTTAGTTTATTAAATTTATATTTAAATTTATTTAAAAAATCGACTGATGTTTTATCTAAGCTACAGTAAATAAAGTTGCATAAATAAGTATCTCTAATATAAGTTAATAGTGTAGTAAATTTTGGATGATATTTTAATTATTATAATGTAGATATTGTATATAGTGTACTCTAATTTATTATAAAATTTATTAAATTACTATTTTAGGGCCAATTCTAGAGCAATAACTTAATTATATCAATCCAAATAAAAATTTATTATTAATTTTATGTCAAACATTGGTTTATTTTGTTATGATTAAACTCAAAATATAACTAACAATGTTATAACATAAAAGTAATAAAATATTTATTTGTAATACACTTTATCTGAATTATATGTTATATACCAATAATAAAAAAATCTAAGTGATATAATATTATTTAACATTAATAAGTTTACAAATATCATATATAAAACACTTTAACAACAATTGCTTTATAATATAATCACTAAACATTTTGTTTCACATTAAGTGTCATATGAGTACATAATAAGAGCGATAAAACTGTTAAAATTGAAGGCAAGATATGAACCATAAAATAAAGAAACGTTTTCTAAATATGTAATCATATGGTTATAATAATGTGTGGGCGATCTCTCAGCCACAATAATAAACACTTTTTTGTGTATTTTATTAAATATATAACTTATAAATTATATACAAGTAATTGTTTTTTTTATAGATATTGATATTATGTTTGTCTATGAAAACATTTAATATCAAATTAAATATCTGACTAAACTAATGATAAAATAATAGGCACATTGAGTTAAATTAGGTTCAAATGACACAAAAAATTGTTTATATTTTTTTTTATAAAATAATGTGATTATTGTGTAATTTGAAACATGAAATAAAATGTAGGCCTACCTTGACTTGACTCTCAGACATGCCGAGAGCATAGGCCAGTTTGGCCCTCTCAGGTCCGGCCAAATACTTTGTTTGTTCGAATGTTTTTTCCAGAATATATATCTGATGTCCCGAAAAGGTGGGTCGGGTGTGCTTTTTCTTGCCGTCTTTGTCTATACATGTTTGACTTACTAAGTGGACATTTCATGATTTAATAAAAATGATTGACATAAAATCAAACACTACCTGCACCGGCTAGTCGTTCCCTCCAAAGTGCTTGATTTTGAACCATACTGGGCCAGTATAAGTGTCGACCAGAAAGATCGCCCAATGAGGCCAACTTATGGCTCAAACCATTCGCTTGATTAAAATACATTCCTCCGGCAACAGCGGCTGCACCTAAACTGAATCGGGGTAAAGCACCTGCCAGTGCTGTATTGAACGCTGTATTTGTTTGTGTTGCCGCCAATGCTGCTGATGGACGACTTAAAATATCGTGGATATAATGAGAAGTTCCCGAAGCGGCTGATGATGTGGACGAAGAACTAATGGCTGATGGAGATGAAGAAGCAGTTGTGGTCGCTATGGATTGCTTTATGTTTAGAGAAGGAGAAGAACGAGAGTAATGAGAGTTTGTGGTCAATGATGACGGAGAAACACCGGTATTCACTTTAAGGTCAGTCATCGAGTGAAGGGCAGACAGGGGTCCGGTGGATGAGCCCAACAAATGAAAGGCATTTTGTCGAGCAGTGGCCGCGTCGTGCATATTCATGTTAATCATCGACAACATTGATGAAGCCGTGTGGGGAATGTTGGCTAAATTTGATGGGGTCGGTCCAGATGGACTGCCCAACTCTAACATCTCACTCAATACAACTTATAAATAATCATTATCAACTTATCATTACACTAATAATAATTATTATTATTCACAATAATAATTCACAAAATATACATCAAAAGAAAAAATGATTAAAAAGTTTTTATTTACACGACTCTATAGTTGAGTCTACAATAAATTCAACAATAATTTCAATGAATTCAATGATTGTTAAAATAACTCTCACTATTAGCCAATGACTCTATATTAGAGATGACAGACAACTATTATGAGAGCAGTCAGTCATTGCCTGACAGTATGCCATAAATGAGTGCTAAGTTTAGTCCGGAAACAGCATAGGGTTTGTTGAGGTGTTGGGATCGGCTGGAGCTCCACCTCTGCCACTGAGAAATAACACCCACTTAACTATCGGTAAGTTTGCAGTCACTCATTCATCATTGACTGCAAGGCTGAGCGCAACTCTTACACAAAACTCTGGCAAATCGTACGCAAACTCATTGACCGAAAGCTGCAAATTGTGATACAATTATATTAGTTAAAGACAACACAACAACATGGATGACATGATAACTAAAGAGCCTATCATATGATACGGACTCTCTCGCGACACAACTAAATGATATCTAAACTAAATTCAAGTATTATAACCATTAATATGCTATGAAAACTATGTTCAACACCTATAATAAATCAAAGTCGAGCTCTAATTTATTGCTTTTTACAACATTTATAACATTTTTAGCTAATTTTTATACATATATCAGGACTTAAAAATTGTACATCACTTTGATCTTTGATGTCGATTCTCACCACTAAGACATCACTTTTGATTGCATCCCAAGACACTACTCTCAACACTTTCATTTGAGTCAACACAATTCTATGTATGTATGTATGTGTGTATGTTTATATGTATGTATGTGTATGTATGTATGTGTGTGTGTGTGTGTGTGTGTGTGTGTGTGTGTGTGTGTGTGTGTGTGTGTGTGTGTGTGTGTGTGTGTGTGTGTGTGTGTGTGTGTGTGTGTGTGTGATAGCTTAAGTGATGTTATGTATGTTAAAAATTAACAACAGTCTGATTGGTAAGTGCTATGAATTGACTTCTTTTAGTGTCAAAGTTATCGTAAAACACGTGAATGTATTAAGCATATGAATACTGTAGTGATTTTCGTATTAAACGTTGATATGTATAATATATTGGATATACAGTATAGTAAATGTGACATAAATGGTATTATAAGGTGAATATTGTATATATTTTGTATATAATTCAATAATAATGTGTTATTCTTATGGCTATTTTCACACCGTTCTGGTCATTAGCCTATTATGTTATTATTATTATAAAAGATGAGCTAAACTGTGAACATTTAGCACAATATATATATACAATATATGCTCAATGTTTGGTCGCATTCATATTGATCTGAATGCCAGTAATGTTAGCTCTGGGAAAAGGTGCCAACCGTTCATGGGTTGGCATTTTTTATGCCGACCCATTCAGCCATACAATAATCACTTTAACACATGCAAAACCTTTTGCCTGTATTTAAAGCCTATTAAATAGAAAATATCGGATCTATCGCAGGGGATCTACAATATATTCATACAATAGATATACTGTTTGCTGGCATTGCCTATGTTTGCTAGTCTATGGTGTTGTGTGTATATAAAATTGTATATAATATTGTATATATGGTTTATAAGCCATATCGGTATAAATATCAATTGCCTGTTGATATTTAAAGAGCAACATTATATGTTTGACTATTATAGCGCTATTGTCAACCATTGAAGTCAACGTACATTTTATAAGCTGATCTCATGCATAAACCATTGCTTTTATTATCTAAGTTTTATTATATATGAAAAACTGATTCATTGAATCATTCAAATCATTGCCAAAACCATTCAATTCATAGCATTTTTACTATTGCACTGACATTACACCCGACACTGGTCTCTAACCATCTAAATATGTTATTGATTACTCACAGCTATCTCAATAATAATATAATAATAATAATAATAATAAACCATATTATATTGCTTATAATATTATATATATTATTACTAAAAGATCTCATTCTCACATATATCCAGTAAATTATATCAATATATAAATAGTTAATTCAATAATTGTATCAACACATTGATATACGCTCTCATTAATAATGGTTGTAAATAAGATGTAGCAGTGAGTGATTTTTTAATAACTAAATTAGATAAATATATGTATTTAAAAAATATTTTAAAAAATATATTAAAAATTAAAAATTTGTATATTTTAAAATTTCTTTTTATTTTAAGAAAATTTTTACATTTATTTATTAAAACGTTCATTAAATATTTTTTCTCTAAATTGTTTTTCTAAAACGTATGATATATTTTCTTCAATTAGTTTACATTTATATTCATGTATACGTCTGTTCCATATAATCCAATGCCAGTTAGAAATTCTTGCTTGTTTTGAAGCATATGACCAAACATACATTGTTTTGGTTTTAACATTATCATTAAAACTAACAGATTTCATTATTTAATTTTATTAATTATTTTAATAATTATTTTATCATTTAATAATCTGTTATGTAAAAAAAACTTTAATATATTTTTAAGAGAATAATTTCTTGTTCTAAGTAATATATAAAAAAGTGAATAATAGCCACATGTAGTAGATAAAATGCGTTGCAATGGTATGTGATTAAATATAAATTTGTTACCATTTAATTTAATAAAAGTATATATTTCTTTATGATATGGTTTTTTACCAAATGAATCAAAATATTCTATAGGTCCAGTTATGGGAACATAAATAGCAAACCAATGCTCACCAGGTTGTGTTGATTTGTGTGTGTTAACAATAAATGCACAAGGTTTATTAGTTTTCAAATAAGTTATTTTATCTAAAGCTAAAACTCCACAAAATTGATTTTTAGCTATTTTATCTTGATTAATAAAACTTAATAAGTCATATGTGTTCATATTTAATAATCAGTAGTTATATTTCGATTTTCATCAATTTCAATAGTATTATCAAAAACAGCATAACAAATTAATTTAATAGCATTAGCTAAATTTTCTGAAAATTTTAAATGCACATTAATATATCCACTTTTAGGTAAATTAATGTATTTATCTGTAAAGCTAAAATCATTATTTAAATTAAATGCATATAAACATAAACCATTTTTATAATTTTTAACATCAATAGGTGATGGATTATTAACAAAGTTATAACCCAAATTTAACAATAAATCATGATATTCTCTAGAAAATAAATCAGTTGTATAATTTGGTTGATATGGTAATTTTGGAACCATTTCCCCATTAACATTCAAAACTAAGTGATTCAAATTAAAATTTTGAAATCTTAAAGGATCTCTGTAACTATTTCCTCTATAAGCAGCATCATCAACCATTCCTAATATAATTTTACTAGGCAATTGGCCGAGAAATAAATTATCTATATTAAAAGTTGATTGTCCTTGTGTCAAATTAATTACTTTAATATTAGGTCGCTTTACTGGATATAGTGCATTAGATATTCTTAATGCTTGTGCGTGTGCATTAAGTAAACTTGGTGTTACCTTTACTTTCCTAGCAAAAATACTCATATCTGTAATTTTTAATAATGGATATTGATCTGCTGTCATTGCTGCCTGTTCTGAAACTGTTGGCCATCTTTCATTTGCTTTAGTAAACTCTAATTTAATAGGTACACCACTAATAAGTAATTTGTTTGATGTAAAGATTGGCCCATGTAATTTTCCATAAAATTGCATTGATTTACTAGAATTACATAACGTTACTAAATGTTCATTTGGATTTTCGTAGTTATAAGCTGGTGTCCAAAATGTTGTAACAAATCCTGACGGTGTTACGCTCCCATTTGAATAATTTGATTGTTTAGTAACTGCTTCAATAAATGACATATAATTATAATTTTGTGCTGCCTGACTAACTAATGTAGAGCCTAAGTATATTGCTAGTTGATCAAATGATGTATTTAAAATATAATTTGTTGGTGCAAAATTATTAATTGCCGCACCAAAGTTTGTCCCATCTCTATTTGTTAGTTTGCAAGTAAGCATTAAATAAATATTTTGCATATCAATATATTCGTCTGCTGATGCTTGAATTTCAAAGTCAATTGTGTTTGAATCAACAACATTTGATTTTGGTCTGTATTCAAGTAATTGTTGACTTTCTATTGCTCCTTGAAACTTTACTTTTTCAAACAAATTTAATTCTTCTTTTAATATTTCTGTTGCCATTATTAATTAAAAATATTTAGTTTTCGTGTTTTCTTTCTTTTTATAATCCTTTTTTTCTTAAACTTTTTTGATGGTCGTTTTTTTATTGATTTATTTGAAGAATGTTTTGTTTTACTTAAACGTATTTTATTAATTAATTTTTTTGATTTAACACTTTTTGATTTTTGCGGTAAGAAATCAATATTTGATGGCTCTATTTGATTAATACCTTGAATTGGTATACCAGCGCCTTTTTGATTACTTTTTGCTTGAGCACAATAATAAGAACTATAATCCATTATTTTAAACATGTAAACATATTGATTACTTTTACAGAACTAAATTATAAATGATAATGTGGTCTTATAATTATAGTAGCAAAAATTTTTCCTCTACGAAAAGTTAATACATTATTTTCTTCATCAGTAATTATCAAATTAATTGAGTTAAATTGATTATATTTTAAAGGAATAAAATTTTTAATATTAAAATCATATTTTATAACTTCTTCTTTTTCGGTACAGTTTGTCGGAATTATTCTTAAAATATTAGTTTTTTTATTTTGATAATTTGAATCAATAATTAAATTACAATAAACTATAAAATAATTTATATTTCTTGTAATACTTAAAGGGCGAATGTCACTTATTATTTCATTTCTTTCACTAAGTGTTGTTTTGAATATTCCAGGTTCATACTCATTTAAATGTCTTTTTTGAGATTCAAAATTTTCATATAAATTAAAATTATCAAATAATTCATCTCCTTCTCCAAGATAATAGTTTTTAAAACCTAACAATTTTTTTAAATTTTCATTGAAATCAATGTAAAATACACCTCTTAACAAAAAATATTTAATTTTTTTCTGATTATTTTTTATTGGTATTTTATTGATTGGTTTTCCCATATCATAATAATCTTTATCTGATATTATAATATCATCATATAAATTAAACCATTCTTTAGTTGGCATATAAAAATTACCATTTTTAATTTTATATAAATTTTTATCTTTATCAAAATCAAATTCTATGTTATTTATTGACCATTCTATTTTTTTAAATAAAACTTTTGGTAAATTTGATGTTTTTGATGAGGGCATAATATAAACAGTTGGATATTTACTTTTAATATACTGTTCAATTTTTGAATTAATTTTATTTATGGTATCTTTTAAATTATCTTTCCAATGAATTTCTTTATTATGTACTATTTGATATTCTTCAGTTATATTTTCACCCAGGGAATAAGTTGGGTCAAATTCAACAAGATATTTGGTTATATTACTTAATTTATCTTGGTCAGTATCAACAAAGTCATTTTTTATATCTCCATAAAAAGTTTCAGGTACCCATTTAAAATGAAATATTAATTTTAAATTTTCTAATGGCTTTTTTAACTCAAGTTTTTTCGGTATAATTAGCTCAGTTAAAGCACATTCTTGAGGTTGTTTAAATGAAATTGGAGGATTATACTCTACCTCTATAATACTTTCATTATTATCATTAGTTAAATAAAAATATTTGTCATCATTTTCAAAATAATTCATTTTTATTAAATTTTTATTAATTCATTCCCATAATATGAACCTCTTATTATAAGATTATTTTTATCTTTAATTTTATATTTATAATAAGGAGATGTAAATAATATTTTATGAATCATAAATAATTCTTCACTATAATTAGGTATATATCCTTTCTGAAAAATGTTTCTTAATAATTGTATTCTAACAATATCACCAATTTTAAATTTTTGTTTTTCTTGTGATTTATAAATTTTAAATAAATTTCTGTAAACATATTTTTCATTATTTTTTGTAACATCAATTGGTTTATATTTTGTTCTACTATGTACTGTATTATTATAATTATTTATTACACTATCAAAAACATTAATAAATTTATTAGTTTTATTTTTATACATGTATTTATATAATTTAGATTTTAATGTTTGTATTAATCGTTCAGCAACTCTAGCTTTTGCTGTATCTTTTAAAACTAAATGTTTAATGTTTCGCCACTTTAAATATTTTTTTAAATATTTATTAGTGAATTCACGACCAGCATCAGTAGATAATATTGTAGGTTTTCTTTTAGTAGACTTAAAAATTTTTAAAAAAGCAGATTTTACATTTTTAGCCGTTTTATTTTTTAAAAGTTTTGCCCATGCAAATTTAGATAAATTATCAATAACAATTAATATATATTTATAATTTTTGTTTGCTTCAAAGTGCTTTATTTCCATAAGATCGGCCTGCCAATTATGATCAATATGTTTAGATACAATTGGATTTCTATTAAAATTTAATATAACTTTATGATGAACTGCATAAACTTTTTGCTTTAATAACCAATTTTTTATATAAGATTTAGTAATTAAAGGAACTTCATTTTTTACAGATTTATATAAATTATTAATTCCACTATAACTTGAAGATAATTTAATATTATAATAATGTTTTGATATTATTTTATTAATATTTTTCCCAATTAACATCTTTTAAATTTAATTTTTTAATATTACGTAAATTATATTTTTTATTAGTTTTCAAAAGTTTTAATTTATCAGTAGAAGTTATTTTAGGACTAATTTTTAATTTATTAGTGGACGTAATTTTTGGACTTATTTTTACTTTATTGTTTGATTGTATTTTATCTGAATTATATTTCGGTCGCTTCCGTTCAGATGGTGTAGAAATTAATTCCCTTTTATTACGTCTAAATGGATTTTTTACCAAAACAGGATTAAAATCATCAATAATATTTGATTTTGGTAATTTTTTAGGTATTTTACTACGTATTTTTCTAGACTTTTTTACAAAATTTAATACATTATCTGGATCAATAATAGCTGGCAAGTTTGTTATTGCATTAGTTACATTAATATAATCTTTTTCTTCTATGTTTTGAAATTTTCTTTTAAAAACTAAAAATCTTCTTAAAGCTTCGGCATATAATTTTGCTTTATCACGTTCATTATAATTACTGTTAAGAATTATATAAATTTCTTTATCCAAATTATTTATTTGTAATAAATTTGGATCTGTTTGAATTTTTTGAATATTCAAAAATTCATTAGTTTTATTATCAGTTGATAAATCTGAGCTTACAAGTTTCATTTTTTTAAAGCTCATTTTGATTTTAATTTGTTATATAATTTTTTACCAGCATATTGCATTAGATGAGATAACGCTTGCTGAAGTAATATTTTTAGAATGATATTACCACCACTTTGATTTAAGATTTTTTTTCGTTTTAAAACTGTTGATTTTTTTGATAGTTTGACTAAATAATTTTTGTAAATTTTTAGTTTTTGAAAATCACATGTTTTTAAAGGGATATTTCCATATAGACAGTTTTTTGCTATCTCTGATATAGCATTTATTACACATTTGTTTGCTTTTTTTATTATATTCTTTCTATTTTTTAACGTTTTTGCTAAACTTAATCTTTTTAAATATGGTAAACACTTTAATACATTATTAAATTTATTATTTTTTAATGTATACAACTTTTTCATTATCACCAGGAAATATATTAGTTCTAACTCTCATATTAATAGAAGTATTTTGATCAAAGTCTAAAAATAAATAACTAAATGGTTTATTTTTAGTAGCATCTATATATGACTCATAAATAAATTTAGGATTTAAACTGTCAATTTGATTACTTAATATTTTTACTTGTAAGCTTTCTCGAGGATTTGACATTAATATAATATATGTTGAATTTGTTGAAATATCTCGCATATATTTATTTTTTGGAAATAAATTTTGAATTAATAAAACTACAGTAATATTTTTATGATGAGAAGTTTTAGTAAATAAATCACTTATTAATAAATCATTTCCAATTAAATGCATACTGTCATCAATAATTAACAAATTATTTTCATGTTTAGAGAAACTATCAAGGATATTATTATCTATTTTATCAATTTTTTGAATACTTATTTCATGGACTTCATTTATATTTGGAAAACCCTGACCCGAACAATAAATTATTTTGTTAAAATAAAATCCATATAATTCATACATATTTTCTAATAATTTGACAACAAATGTTGTTTTTCCAGAGCCTGATGGTCCATAAATTAAAAATCTCCTTGGATGTTTAAAAGATATATCATAAATATTCATTTTATATTGATGCAATTACCTTGAAAATTCTTATATAAATAAAAATGTTGAAAATGATTCGTAATTAAAATGGCTTTTATTTGCCCAAATTTTGAAAATATAAAAATTATAATTTGTTCAAATGGGTTTAAAGTTGATTGTGAATTTATTTTGCGTGAAATTGGATTTTGTTATAAAAATATAAGCGGTTCAATACCGTTTAATTGTCGTATGAACAAAAATAAAATTGACGTAACTAATCAATTTTTAATCGATTATTTAGAAAATGAAAAACATGGAATAAAATTTAATAAAAAATTTGAATACGGTTTATCGACAAGTGAATTTATTTCTGTATTAAAAACATTATATCATTTAAATAGTGATAATAATGCCAAATATATTGGTATTTGCAAAAACGACGATGGAATAAAAGGATTGCTATATAAAGCTGGATTTGGCCAACTAATTGTTGAACTTGAAAACCTTGATATATTTAAGTTATGTGAAAACAAAATTCCATCAGATGCTGAATTAATGATTATACAGACAAAAGACTTAAATATAAATCCATGTGCAATTCACGACAGACTACAGTCAACTTATAAACCTTTGTGTGCTAGAACTAAAGCTGAATATCTATTTACATATTGCAAATCATTAAATGATCAATTAAAAAATCAAGTTGACTCATCAGTAACTATACAATAAGTAAATGTCATTTGCTAATATGAAGCCAATAAGAGAAGATCAACCATCTCTTAATAAACTTTATAAATCTGAATGTACACGCAATACTGTGTACACTATTTTAAATGAAGAATTTGATTATGTATTTGATAGTTTATTGAAAGCTGCAGAAAATATTAAATCTTTGTTAGGATCTCAAGCTATTCGCAGTAAAGATGATATCAAAGAAATGTTTATTCAATATGGGTTTCCATTAGAAAATCTAAATGATTTAAAAAATATACTAAACACATTAAAGCATTGGAAAAGCGTAGATGTCTGCGATTCTTCAACTACTAATATAACCGAAAATTATGAGGATGTTATAGACGCTATCTAGTAAGTAAAATTGGGTCAAATTAATTATATATTACTAATTGTCTCAATTTTATTTACAGAAAATAAATCAACTGAAAATAATTAATATAATGCTTTATTATAATATTTTTTTTTACAAAAATTATTTTTATATAACTGATTAATAATTTTTTATATATTTTTTATAAAAATTTCCCTTCACCATATTTAATAAAATAATTATATAAAAGTAAATGTATTAGTTTTATTATTTATTTGTCCGATGATCCAAATCCTTTAATACCTCGTTTTGTATTTAATATTGGGCCAACAAATGCTGTCAAATCTTTATGTTCTATAATAGCAATTTGAGCAATTTTATCTCCAAAAACATAGCCAAAGTTATCCATGCTGTTATTTATTAATAGTACTAATATTTCCCCAGTGAAATCAGCATCAATAATGCCTGCGCTTACATCAATTCCTTTAATTGCTAAAGAGCTTCTTGAGAATATTTTTCCAAAACAATTGTGTGGTATTTGCATTTTGACGCCAGTCTTGATTAATTTTCTTTCACCTGGAGCCAATGTACCTACTTGGTTGCAAAATAAATCATAGCATCCACTATCAGGTGTTGCCTTAGTTGGTAATTTTGCACCATCTTCTAAATTAACACGTAACTGTTTGTCTAATAATTAAAAATTAGTTAATATTTATTAATTTAATTGTTATTATATACCTCTAGGAACAAGACAATTTGATGTATAAGTCGATGGTCCATTTAGTCCTCTTTCTTCTCCTTGCTTTAATTGTGCAATTAAGGAATATCCAATTTTAGTATTTTCTAGTAATATTTTCCTTTCAATTAGAGATTGATTTGATAAACCTAAACGAATATATCTTGTGTCTGAGTCTACCCAAAAAAATTTACAAAATAGTTTTATATTATTTAACTCTAAATTTGGCATTAATTCTCCCAAAGTATAAGCTGGATAATTGTATTCATTTTTAATGTTTATAACAAGTCTATGATATGGTTCGATTACATAAGTATCAACTGGTATTATATTTAAGATTCCATAACATACGAGTTTTAGCATTTGAATTGTTTTTATTGTAACATTATTTATGTTGCAACTTTTGTTAGTTTCAATAATTGTAGCCTTTGATTGTTGATTGAAATTTATATTATTTTTATTAGAATTGTTATTAACTCTAACATAGCCATGAATTGTTTTGTTTTCAGCTGGATTATTATCAATTATTATTGTTTTATTAGTGTCAATAACAATATCTTTAACATTTTCTTGAATATTATCTTGAATATTATCTTGAATATTATCTTGAATATTATCTTGAATATTATCTTGAATATTATCTTGAATATTATCTTGAATATTATCTTGAATTTTTTCTTGATTATTTTGATTATTATCTTTAATATTATTAGTATTATTTGATGTATTTATTTCTGTAGTTTTGGCATTAGTATCGTTATTTTTTTTTTCTTTTTTATTATCTATAAAATTAAAATAAATTATAATATTTTAAAATGACCAAATGGTAGGCTATTGATTCCATTATTCATTAAATAGGTTTTATCATCAAACGGATGCATTACGAATTTATTTAATTTTAAGGTTTTAAGACTATGATTTTTTGATTGAATTCGATTCATTTTTGTATTGTAATAAAGTTCGTTAAATAAAACGTTATGATAATTTGAGTGAGATAAATAATTATTTATTATAGATTTATTAATACCTTTAGCAACTTTTTTATTAAGAGTATTATTATATTTTATTGAATATAATTTACTTTTTAATCCGATAAATTCGTTAACAATCATATCACCATATTCAGATTTTAAATAACCAATTAATTTTTTATTTTTTTCACTAAATAATTCATGTGATTTAGAAAAATTTGAAAAATCCATTATAGGAAAAAATTCATTTTTTAAATCTTTATAAATATCATTAGTTTTTATTTCATAAACTAATGAGTCAGTGTCTGTATATAATAATTGTATATTAGATTTATAATAATCTTTAAATAAATTATAATGCATTGAATACATATATGCTTTTGATAATTCCAAAACTGAAAATCCAATACTAATAGGTTTATCTAAAGTAATATTTATTTTTTTCATTTTTATTAGTGATGTATTAGGTGATAAAATTTGAAAAGTTTCATAATTAATTTTTTGAACACATTTTTCAGCTTGTTTCCAATTTAGAGCTAATTTAATATCCATGTGTTTGCGTTTATCTTCAATGCTTTTTCCAAACACTGAATTATTCATCAATTTATACAAATCTTTTTCAAAATCGTTATTAGCTTTTTTTCGTAAATTAGTATTTAATATTATGTAAGACTTTAAAAAATTGTCTTGTGTAAATGAAATACCTTTATGTATTTTAGATAATTTTAATCCATAATTTAAATATAATTTTAAATTTTTAAAATGTATAATATAATTTTTCTTGTCATATAAAGTTAACATTAACTTTTCAGTAGCTGTACGTTTGTAACCGTATGATTTAAGTTTTTGCAATAAATTTTTTTGATAACTACTTAGTAATGTATTTGAAATTTTCTTTTTTTCAGGTGCTAATGGGAAATCTTTATGGTACTCATGTAAATTCTTTGGATAAATTAAATCACATTCAAGAATATATCCTTTTTCAGTATTTGTCTCAATATTATACCAATCAATATTATTTAATTTACTTATTGATTCCCATTTGAAATTTTTTAATGGTAACTTTTCGCTTAAACTTTTTCCATATAAATTGTTAACATCAAAATGAGCTAAGAAAATTTCAGGTTTATTTTGATCATAATCTTTACAATACTTGTTATTTGCTAATGAATGTCTTTTCATTGTATTACAAATACCACCTCTTATTCCTTTTTCTATAAACATATACATGTTGACATCTGTCATTAATTCTATTTCAACTTTTGTGTATTTTAAAGCTGCAGTCCATGCTAAACCAGGTATGCTATAAAAGTGAGTAGCCTCGAGTTCATATGTATTATATATAGTATTTCTAAATGTTTGAAAAATATCAGCGAGCAAACATGTATCTAATAAACAGTATATTTTTTGATATTCGCCTAAAGATTTAATATTAAATAATGACCATACATTTTTAGCAAATGAATAGTCTTCTATACTAATAGATTTATCAGTTAAAGAGGAATAAAATGCTTCAATAGGTGGTAATTTTTTATCATTTAATTTGTCCCATGAATCCATGTATTCGTATGGGAATACACCTTTTTTAAAAAGAATATCTATATTTTCATTATTTTTAAAATACTTTTTAAATACTTTTGTTGTTATTTCAAATTTCCCATTTGAATTTTTCAAGTTATTAACTAATTTATCCAAACTTTCGCTTAAGAATTGATATGAATCTAGTACTTGTATGTTATCAATACTAAAAGATATAAATTTTTCAATACTTTGTGGTATTATACTACATTTTTTGAAATATTTTGAATTTAGACTCGAAATTATAAAATGCGAGTCATAATTTTTTAAATTATGTAAAAATAAAGGAATTTTTTTTGGTACTTGATAACGTAAATTACATAAATTATGCGCAGCACCTCTATATAAACCAGTTAAGTGATCATGGTCGTAAACTTTATCATTATTTAATAATTTTTTACATAAGTGACAAACAATTGATTTTTTATGCTCTTTATATTGTGATTCATTCATTATCATGTTATTTGTGTTGCATAATTCACCACTTATTCTTGAATAAATTAAATATAGTGTGTCAATAAAATGGTTTAAACAATTAGGTCCACGATAAGATTTATTATAAAAAATATCATTATTATTTTTAATTACAATTATCGAATATCCGGATGCAATATGGTTATGAGTTTGAAATGTTTTAGTATTAATTTGTTGTTTTTCTTTTATTAATAAAGATTCAAAATCTGCAAACATTACATATGGTGTTTTATACATATATTCGATTTTTTCAAATTTCATTATATTATTATTAGGCATAGATATTTTTGTTGCATTGAAATGTTGACAACACTTTTTATGTTCTTTCAATGACATTTTATTGCGATAACCTGTCATACAGTTTTCACAAAAATGATGACAACTAGAACTATAACTACCACAAACAGCATTGAAATTTTTTATTAAATAATAATGGTTTCTATAAAATAATATTTTTATTGTATGTTTAGAAGTTCTTTTAGATATATATAAAGGTACTATTGAAAAATCATTTACTATTTTTTCGTATCCGTAAATATTTATTCTTATATTTAGATGTTGATTATTAGTTTCAAATTTTTTAATTAATTTAAGATCAAGTGGAAATTCTATATTGTTTAAATTTATATATTTTTTAAAAGGTAAAATTTGTGTTAATTGCTCAATTCTATGACGTTTTTTATCGTTATATTTATAATAATTATTTGCAATATAAGCAAGTACGCAATATAAAAAACATTTATTATCATTTGATTTAATTGAAATTATTGCGTGTTTATTTAGTAATTGTTTTGGTAAAATACTATTAACACAGCCACCTCTGATTGGTTTATAATTTGCTATTCTTAAATCAATTCTGTCAATTTCACTAATAGTCCACCCGGAACCAACAGCTTCAAAGTTTGAAATTTTATTATCCATATAATCGACAACATTATTTATTAAATATTTAAAATTTGAGTGTTTATTCACAATAAAATTTTCACTTATAAAGTATGAAATTGTATAAATTTTAATTCCATTAACTTCTTTAAAAAATGTAGTTTGTATACAAAGTTGAACTTTAATAGAAGTTAGAGATTTTAGTATAAATATTAATAATTCTTTTATATCTTTAAAATAATACATAAAAAAATCAGCAGCTGTTTTGAAATCTTTTTCAGGAAACAACTCGTACTGCATTAAAAAATTTTTGAATGCATGTTTGCTTAAATGAAATTTAGATTCTAATGGTAATGTAGGCATTTTAAATTTGCCAAGACCAATTTGTTGATTTTCTGTAATTTTGTGTTTAATAAATGTTGATAAATTATTAAATTTTTTTTTACAATAATAACATATAACTGGAAAAATTATATTTAAACATGATGAATAATGCGTTCTAAGTTGCTGAGATGTTTTAAATTTTATTAAACAATAATCACATTGATTATTAGTAATTTTATTATTATGATTTTTTCTCAAATGTTGTATATATAATCGATGAGAGTTAAATTGTAGTCCACATATTTCACAAACAGGATTCAGATTATAAATAGGATCCATGTTATCTATTTAAAATGAATAAAATTAATATTTTATTAGCTATACATCTTATAAATATATTATTAATTTTTATATGTTTATATAACATCACTACAACAAATGATTCTAAAAAATTACTTGATTATGATTTAAAAAATCAATTTGATAACTGTTATTTAACTGTTCATAATTTTGTGTCATTTAACACAAGTTTAAAAATAAATAAAACTGATATTTTAATGAATATTGATAAAAACAAAAATAATTTTAATACATATGTATCATATTATTCGAAACCATATTTAATTCAAATGATAAAAAATTCAACTAAAAATTGCTTATGTTGCTAATAAATAACACAATTTAAATGCAAAATGAATTTATTAAATTATTAATTAAAATCAAAATTACATTAAACAACAAAGTGTATAATTAAAATTAATAATAATACAAATAGAAATAATAAAAATCAAAATTTAAAATTGCCAATATTAAAACCCAAAACCTTAAATATTTAATTTTATTTAATAAATTTAAGACGGAGTAAATGCAGCATGATTTTTATCTGCTAGTGTTAAAACATTTATGTCGTCATCAGATATAACAAAACTGTAATCTCTATCATTTCCAAACGCCATATTGAAATCTTCAATTGTAAATTTCGGCAAAATTTTTAAGTAAATATCTTCAATTTTGATGCAATTTTTTAAGATGTATTCAATATATCTATCTATAAAATACCAATCATTAGAAGTAATTTGTATTTTATTTACAGATTTGTAAGCTATATCGTAAACAGCCCATATTTGAGTAATTACTCCTGGATAAAACATTAGGTTTATTGGAATAACTTTATGAATTTTGTTTGATAATCCAAGAATATATAAAACCAAATTAATAATGACAAAATTCATAGATAGCTGAAAGGGCTCTTTAACTTTTTTCATTTCCCTTTTGTTACAAAATAATAAATGTTCCAAAACTTCTGTTGTTTTAATAGCATCGCTGTCACATATAGGACATTTTAAACGCAAAATTCTACGTTTAATATATGGTAATGGAGCTACAAATTAAATAAAAAATTAATAAATATATAATTTTAAATATATAATTTCAAATATCAAACAAACGACAATATTATTAATTTTTATATTTATAAAATAATTTAAATATTGTATATTTAATTAATAAAAAATATTTTAAACATTGTTTTATAGAAATTTAATGAATTTGTTTAATGTATAAAATCTATATAATTAATTAATAAAGTTAATATTAAATATAATTTAAATTATTATTTTTTTATTGTCTTTATTATTATAGTTTTACGACTTTTCGGTCAATTGTTAATAATTTTAATTTTAAAAATTAATTTGATTTAATTATTAGTATTTAAAAAATTTTTAAATTTAGATTCTTAATTTTTATTTAAAAGCTTAGAATTTAAATAAATTACATTTGTTGTTAAAAAATAATCAACAAAAAATCTATACTATTAAATGCAAAATAATTGAATATTCTAATTAATGTAAATTGTATAATTAATTTTTAAAAAAATATAATTATATAGATTTTTATTAATACTACTATTATTTAATGTATGAATAAATTTACTGTATTTTATAAATTAATGTAAAATATCGTTTATTATATCAATTAGTATATTTTATCGATTAATTAATTATATGAATATTTTTATTATATCGATTGAATTAATGTATTAAATAGAGTAAACTAAATATATATCAAATATTCTCAACATTTTAGTCGAATTAATGTGTATTGATTCTGTAGTTTTGTTACATTATGTTATAAATTATTTTATAAAAGAAATTAGTCATTTAAATGATTTAAGATATTTTAAATTTAATAAAAAAATTGACGGCTATACATGATACGCAGGACAAGCTAGTATTTTTTCTAAATAATAAAATATAGATAAAAAATGTTAAAATTTATTAGCAGTATATTAATATACTTGCAAGTAAATTTAACATTTAACATTTAAATTTTTATTTTATATTTTAAAAATATTGTTTTTATTATTAATCACTAGATATCATTAAAGTGCTTATTAGTTAAATATTTTGATTCAAAAATCAATGTATAGTATAAACTGATGTATAGTTTTAAAAAATCTTGTATATCAAGTTTTACAAATTCAAAACACTATAAACTACTGTTTCTATAGATTAAATAAAATCTTATAAAAAAAACCAGTTGAGAATGCTAGAAAGCATTTCCACACGAATTCATAATCATAATTAAAAATTAAATTCAGTGATAAAATAAAATCAACTATAGTTATGTAGGGTATCAAACGATTTAGTATGACAAAATAAACAACTATAGTTATGTGGGGTATCAAACGATTTAGTATGACAAAATAAACAACTATAGTCATGTGGGGTATCAAATGATTCAGTATTACAAAATAAACTAATATTTTCCTAAAAAATAAACTTAAATAAGAAAAAAAACAAAAAAAAATTCAAAAAAATTTTTTTTTTTAAATTTAAAATTTTTTTTTATTAATTATTGAACACCATTTTGCTTTTTTTGCTTAAAAATAAACTTAAAAATAAAAAAAAAGCGTAGCTGAGTCTGGATTCGAACCTATGTCCTCGTGGGACAGACAGACAGACCGACTTATAGATTTCATATACGTA